TCCGAGTTCTAGCCCCCACTTAGTCATAAAGCTGACTGGATGAGTCTGAGCCAGTCACTGACTCTCAGACCTCAAACGGCTGTTCAAAGGATAAAATAGAGAGCAGAAGGAGAACTGTGTAAGCCACCTTTGGTTGTTTTGCACAGTGAAAATGGTGGGCTATAAATGTAAACAGCAATAAATAAACAGGTTGGCATTGTGTCCTCTAATGAACATTTAGCAAATCTGTCCTCTTCCAAACGAGAAGGGACTTTTACCCTATCAATCTTTCTTTGAAGTAGCATTGGCCTGTGTTTCCTCTACTGCAGTGCCCCCTACTGAAGCCCTCCCAACTCTTAGTTTCCTCTCCTCTTCTCTGACCCGTTTCAGTGCTCAGTATCAACCACCCAATCACTTCTGCCATCAGCAGCCAGCCTTAGCTGCCCGCCATCAAAACCTGTCTGTGTGTTGCCTGCCTTGTCATATTAAGGGATGCAACCCTCCCGCTCGACTGCACACAGCAAGTTTCTGGCTGAGCCGTGGCAGCCGGCAGGCTTCGGGACATGCTTGTTAGCAATTTATGATCCTGCTGAGGATAGATGGCAGCCTGCAGGGCTGGGATTCATAAGGAAAAGGGATGACTGTGATCTCCAGAACGAATGTGGGAAGGCAGGAGTACTCTACGGGAGGCCAAAGCAGGAGCAGATTCTCTGGTGTAAATATCTGGCCAAAATGGAACTTTGGTGTGGAACAAGGAGGATGCTGGGATTGGGATCTGCTCTCCCAGGGTGCATGTTTTAAAATCTTTGCTATGCCTGTCAACCTTTGGATAGAAGACAATTGCAGAAAGGTTATGATTTTTTTTAGTAGACCTATACCTAGTCAGTCACTCAAGTTGTCTTGTATAATGAGTAATGGACCTAAGTCATGAGATGCTGGACCTAGGAAGGGAACAGGAAGTATTAGGAAAGGAAATCTGCAAAAGGGTCTCTCCATTACTGAACTTGCTAAGATAAGGCTTCTGTGAGCACACCTAGAACTATATGAAGACCTCAGGTTGGAGCTATACTTAACTATTCTTATTTTTTTAATATATCTTGCCCTTTTTTCCCTCTTGCAAGGAGGCTAAGGCAGCTTACACGGTCCTCTTACTCTCCATTTTATTTTTACAACTTTGTGTCATGGGTTAAGCTGAGAGTCAGTGCTTGCCCAAAGTCATCCAGTAAGCTAAATTATCACGGGGGGACTAGAACCAACATCACTATACCACACTGGTTTCATTGCATTAATGAAACAGCTATGGGGAGTTAAAATCAGCTTTACTACACTAAACAAAATGATGTTTGTAAAGATGGAAGAGAATGGATAACTTTGCTTTTCTTAACTATAGATTGCAATGCATCTCTTATAATGAATGTTAAGCTTTCCCATTAGTCACTGCAATTGAGTTAACAATTAGTTGTACATTTAGGGTTGCAGTTAAAAGAACTTTCAACGACATCTCAACAGGGGGGGAGTGAATAGAATTCAGAGAACTAGGGCACTGCAAGCATGCTCCTAGTTTTATCTGTGAGATGTTAGAGGATGTGGCTGATTTATTTGTGAGCCGCCCCGAGGCTTTGGCGAATGGGGCGGCATAGAAATTTTCTAAATAAATAAATAAAGCATCATATCCACCTGTTTATAAGAAATTGGGATGGAAGGAGCCATGCCATGGTGGTAGAGGACAAACAGGTAGTGTTACTTGTGTTTGCCCCTTGCTTTAAGAACCACCACCAGCATCTCCTGCCTGACCATCTATTCACCTTGTAGGAGATGAGAAGTGCATGGTTGTCACCTTTCTTTGTCCTGACAAAGACTCCTCATACCTTTAACAGAGTGTCTTGCAGAAATTCAACAGCAGTGGTTTCCCCCATGCCTGCATCACCAGGGGAAAGTTTCCCTCTTGACTTTCAGGCATGTAGCTGTTAAAAACATATTGACCACATCTACAGAGAAAGAAGCTTTCTCCAAGATGGAGAAAATGTTCTTATTTGAAATCTAGACAGCCAATACCCCCCTCTGTTTTTAGCAGTACACTATAAGTGAGGAAACAGCCTTTGCAATCAGCTGTTGATGCCCAAACATGCTTCAAACTGTCCCCAACCTTTGCTGGATAAGTACCAACCCGGAGAATTTTTGATTTCAATAGCAGCCAATGCAACCTTTAAGAAGCCTGATATCCCCTCTTTCCTGAAAATGATGGGGGTATTATAACTCATGTCTCCCTGATGGTGACCTAGATTTTCTCACCAAAGATTTTCTGCTTTGGATTCTAGGGAAATGTCATAGTCTAAAAAAATTAGTACACACTTACAATAAAATCTTCCCATACATCTTAAAGCCCATTAGGGTTTGCTCATCAGCTAGGAATACAGAACTAGCAGAACTCTGTAACCAACAGATTTAAATTTCACTAATTGTAAATTAGTGTAAGGTACTGTAGCTTGCTAGTGGAAAGCTGCTACAGTGTGTAACTCACCCTGGAAGTGCACCACCAAATTCTTCTCCAGCAAACAAGTCACCCCAATCTGCTCATCTTGCTGGGATTCAGTGAACCTTAGGACAGGAAGAGGCAGCAATGAGACTCATGCTTCTATATGTGCCTACTCAAAATTAAACCAGCTGAATGCAAAGGGACTTGCTCCCAGGTAAATGTGAGGCAGTTGTGAGTACTCATGACTATTTGTATTAAATTTTGTATTAAGTTGTGGAAGCAGGGAATTATATATTTAATGTCTTTTTGGCCTGAGCACAACATTTTCCTATAGTTTTTCACCACCCTTAACAGGGAAACCCCTTTCCTCAATTCAAAGTTTGGAGAGCTGGTTGTGGAGGCTGGGGGGAGGGGGGGCACTCTGCACATCCTCAGATCTCTACTAGAATGCATGTCCAGGGTTGAGGCTGAACATTAAAACCAAACACCTCTTCATGTGCTTTGCTGCTTTTATTTATGTCTTTGCCTGTAACAAAAAAAAATTAAACCACTTCTCCTGATACCAGAGCTTTGCTATTTTAAACGATCATCAAATAAACCGATTCTTGGTTTGATTCTTGCGTTCATTTTCTTGTAATACTTCATCTCAGCCATCACAAATCTGCCTGTGCTTTAGCCAGATAATGAAGGACAAGAGATTTTCCTGCTAATGGTGAACTACGATGACTATTAATATTTAGGATAAAACAATTAAGGCAGGAAGGTCTATTAAAAAAAAAAAGCCCCTCCAAAGGGGGAAGCACCGTGGAGCATTTCAGCAGCGCTTTAAATCCAAGTGGATGGGTCAATCGATATAGCTGCGGTGAATGTTCTGTTGCCATGGTTATATAACTAATTGCCCTTTTCTGAAATGGCGCCTCAGGATATCTCCCTATGAAGTTCGGGCAGGCACTGCGTGTGGTGCAGTGCGGTGTCATCGCCTTTTTCCAAAATGTCACTTGCTAGGTGAACTCCCAAATTTAAAATGTCCCTCTCGAGAAATAAATTCAGTCATAACTTTTCCACCAATAAAAAAGAAAGCACGAAGGACGGAACGAACGAAAAGAAAGAAACGAAAATTGGGGGGGGGGGGGGGAGGATTATAAAATATTTCTTCAACAATTGCCCTTTTCTAAGATGGCAACAGGCTGGAAGTATATTTGTTCAAAATGGCGGCGAACATCCTTGCCCTCACTCAAAATGGCGCCAGTCAACTTTTTTCAATGTTGTTAGCTTCCAGATCACTTATCTGTAATATGAACCATTACTATTCCACCTCCCCAGAGGTAAACTTTCCAGTATCCATTTTAAAAACTACAGTTTTGGTGCGAAGACGCTTATTTAGGACAAGGATGAGGAACTTGAGACCTCCAGAAGTGTTGGACTACAACTCCCAGCATCCCTACCGAACTAAAAGGACGGCTTCCCTTAATAAAGATGGCACCTTTTCCACATGTTTAAAAGAAAGTAACAGAGTTAATGCTTGTTGTGCCCTCTCAGTTTTCTTACTTAATATCTATTTGATTTCAACTTGTCATGGGAAGATTTTGTAAACTATCTGAGGGCAGACATCAGGTACTACAATTCCCAAGGGGAAAGCAAGATTGATTAGCGTTTTCCAATAAGCTTTACAGGCTTTCATTCCCTTTCCCAACATGGAGTCCCCTTTTGCAAACCATAGACTAAAATGTAGACTGACCACTCCAATACGGAGAAAGAAATACGTAGGTTTATTCGAAATTGTTTTCTTTTCGGCTGTGGCAACTGCTCCAGGAACTAGAGAAAAGCTAAAATAGGAATATACTCTTTTACTCAGTTAACATTTTGTGTGCAGACCGAGAAAAAAAAGTGGCATCTGCAAATCACAAGTTTGTCACTCCCATATCGTAGGAGCAGGTCTCCTATCCGAAACAAAGCAGCTTACAGCAACTCTGCAATGTAGTCCAGTACTCCCAACTGCTCCAATGGGGTTTAAGCTGCCTAAAACAATCCTGCAATGTGACTGCGTGAGTTGAAGAACATCTAAATTACCGTAGCCAAGCTTCTGTACAATAATCAGGCATATTACATGGCGTTTTAACACACAAAGGAAAGGATACACACACCTGGCCACTAGGTCAGCAGTTATTTTGAAAATTCTCTCGTGAAAAATACACTTTAGCCGTGCAATCCTGTAAAGGTCTACTGAAAAATAAGTCCCACTGAGTCTAAGGGAGCTTCAGTCTAGGTAAACCGTAATAAGATTACACGGTTAATTGCAGTACTCTCGTACAATCGCTCCTAAAACGCCCTTCCCCTTAATAAAAGCCAGCGCTCGATTGAACACGCAGACGCAGACGCACTAACAATCGGTTCCACTTGAAGACAGGAAACAGAAAAAAGCTCTCCCCCAACTATGGTGTCTCCGATTGAATGCACTATTTAAGGAGGAGCCTAAACACAGGCGGAAGTCAAGGAGACTGAAGCCGGAGTGGGGGCGTGGCTGGGCGGAGCTTGTGCCCGCTGTCAAGATGGAGGAACCCGGCACGTGGGACGAGGGAAGTAGTGGCTCAAGTAGTAGCGATCACGATGAAGAGGAGGAGATGGATGTGGGGGAGAAGGGGCAAGGAGGGGAGAAGGGGCACGGGAAGGGACGTGGAGGCACGTATGTGCCGGGACAGGGTCCTCCTCCGGCACCTGGAGAAGAGCTAGTAATGGATGAGGGAGCCTATCGGCTTTACCATCGTGCAGGCACAGGTGAGAAAGTGTTGGGTAGGTGGGCGTCTTGTCGAAATCTGTTGTTTTGGAGTATAAGGGCGCTCCTGTACGGGTTGTGAGCAAGGGTTGCTCGAAGATCCCTGAAATGGAGCACCAAGGATGGGCATATGCCGGAGTACACATATGCCAAAGAGTAGAGTTTAGACGTGGAAGTTATTGGGCAAGAAAATCGTGGGATTTAAACGAGAAGAATTCTGATCAGGCATAGCCTGGTGGAGTTAGAGGTTAAGAAGCCCCCCAAGTCTAGGAGGGAGCTTGTATTTCAGCCATCTGGAACGTGGCACTCCAGTTGCCTTGGGGGTGGCAAAGGCTACATACAGCAAAGCAAGGTTATGGCCACTTCTTCCAGGGTGGCCTGATGGCCTCTCCATGTAGTGGCCTTTAACCCTCAGCAGCCCTCAGCAGCATGGCCAGTGAGACCACAATATCTGGGTGTGGGGGGCAATGCTGCACAGCACTGTGCGTAAAACTTGATGCCGTTTTCATAAATTTGCAGCTGTGGTGCTCGAGAGATTTGTTATTCTAGATCTACTTTTCTAGAGGATGGGATAGGGCTCTTGATATCCTGTGTACTCTGCGTGTTCGTGGCAGGATGCATCCAGTTGTAAGGAAGGTCATAGGGATGGTAAGAAGCAGGGTGAAAAATCAAGGTACTGTTAGCAGTGAAACCCAGGTACAGAGCCAAGGGTACTGTAGCCGAGATGGAAGCTGATGGCCCTTTTTCTGTTACTGCCCTCTCCCGCAGGTGCTCCTTGCTTGAGCTTTGACATTGTGCGAGATGCCCTTGGAGAGAATCGAACCAGTTACCCACTGAGCCTTCTCCTTTGTGCTGGAACTCAGGCTGAAAGTGCCCAAGCCAATAGGTGAGTTTCTGAAGGGTGCAGCCATCAGCAAACAGCAGTGATCCTGTGTAGACATTGGCATAAGAGCCTATACAGTCTAACTATATACCACTGAATACTTCTCTTCTCCCTTCTCCCTGCCCCCCCCCCCAAAAAAAAGACTGTTGGTGATGAAGATGCACAATCTCCATGGGACCAAACAAGCTGGCAAAGAGAGTTCGGGGTCAGAGAACAGCAGCAGTGAAAGTGAAGATGAAGCTGATGAAGAGAAGAAACCACAGCTGGAACTGGCTATGGTTCCCCATTATGGGGGTATTAACAGAGTTCGGGTAGAGTTTGTACTTCTTCCTGGGCCCCCTCTCTTTTGTTCTTTGTGGGAAAGCTCTCCAGCTTAATGGCCCTCCATGTTTGTTTGTCTTTTTGGAGTAGGTGACGGAGCTGGGCGAATCGCAAATAGCAGCTGTTTGGTCTGAGAAAGGGCAGGTGGACATCTATGACTTACGGCAGCCCCTAGTGGCTGTGTCTGATGCTCAAGCCATGGCAGCCTTCCTGCGAGAACAGCAGGCAAAGATCAAGCCCGTCTTCTCATTCACTGGGCATATGACAGAAGGTTTTGCGATGGACTGGTCCCCCAAGAAACCAGGTGATCAGCTGGGATGGGATTGACGTTGCCAGAGCTAGGAGAGTAGGATAAATTGACTGCAGTTCAGGGCATCTTTGGTCTTGTTCATTGCAGGCACTCTTCTCACGGGTGACTGTAATAAAAATATCCACTTATGGACTCCCAAGGAGGACGGCTCATGGTTTGTAGACCAGCGACCTTTCACAGCCCATGCTGCATCGGTGGAAGACCTGCAGTGGTCCCCAAATGAAGCGACAGTAAGTTGTAAATTTGATACGCACCAGTTCTGCAAATTACTTTGTCGGGGATAAGGTTGGTTCCTTCGGGAAACTAATCCATTGCCTGATTACATAGGGGCACGTTCGTAATCAAGATATTGATTTAATTGCAGTCAATTTAGACAATTGTCCAAGGCTGCAGTTCTGTTTGTTTACCTAGGATTAAGCAGCATTGAACGCAGGAGGATACGGTTCAGAGTAGAAATGTACAGAATAACACTGCACACGCTGCAGCTTTTGCCTTCTCTTTTCCAAATCAGGATCATAGTACTTAACAGGAAGATGCAGTTAGCACTCTCATGAAACCTCTAGTTGTGGAGAACATGGGTGCTTGTACTGGCCCAACTCTGTAGAGTTAGATGCACCTAAGCCCACTGAATTCATGAGAACTAACATGGCACAGAATGAGACCAAACTCTGCCTTTCATTTACATTCCTCTGTGGCCACACATCTAGCTGTGCCTTTTCCCCTTCTGCTCCAGTTTCATTGCTTACAAAATCCCAAATACAGCACAAAGACTTGCAATAACATGAATTTGGTTATACAAAGGAAGGGGATCTGCATAGGACTTAGCTTTGCATACTGTCCTCTGAGCACAGTCTTTTTTAAAGCAAGCATTTTTGCTCTCTAGGGAGCTGATGCAAGTCAGAACAGCAAGCATCACTTCTGGTGCTTAACTTTGCTATGAGTTTATGGGCAAGAGAAAAAGGCAAGGTCTGGTGAGAAGGATATACTTGGACTTGCAAGGAATCAGAGGGTAACACCTGAATTTGTTACAACAATCTCCCCCCCCCCCCCCCCCCGCCCCGCCTATTCTTGGAACAGGTTTTTGCTTCCTGCTCGGCAGATGCCACCATCCGGATCTGGGACACACGAGCAGCTCCAGGAAAGGCCTGCATGCTGACCGCCAGCCAGGCACATGATGCTGACATCAATGTAATCAGCTGGAACCACAATGAGCCCTTCATCGTTAGCGGTGGTGATGATGGGGCCCTAAAGGTCTGGGATCTGAGGCAGTTCCAGGTTAGATAATGGCTTCCAAATGTTAAATGCACGCGTGTGCGCACATTCTTTCCCTCCCAGCCTGTGGGTTCTTCACCAGTGATGGCCTCCATACTTACCTATACTTCGTCTTCCTTCTCTGCAGAAAGGCTCGGCTGTTGCCACCTTCAAGCAGCACACGGCACCTATTACATCTGTTGAATGGCATCCTACAGACAGTGGCGTCTTCGCTGCTTCGGGAGCGGATGACCAGGTGACTCAGTGGGACTTGGCTGTGGAGCGAGATGACGAAGCAGAGGCCGAGGACCCCGTTCTGGCCTCCATCCCACCTCAGCTGCTGTTTGTCCACCAGGGAGAGAATGACATCAAAGAACTGCACTGGCATCCACAGTGCCCTGGCATCCTCGTCACCACCGCCCTGTCTGGTTTCAACATCTTTCGAACAATCAGCGTCTGAAAGACTTGGCTGCCTTGTGCTTCTTTTTTTACTGACATTGCCCTTGGCCTCTTACTCACTGTTGTTTCAAGATGGCTACCACCTTTCTTCCCTGCAGACTTAGAACATCCTAAAATTGCTTCTTTTGTTGGTCTAAATTAACTAAGCATTTCTGCTGTGGGAACAGAGGTCTCCACAGTTGGCCTAGACTATAAGCTTGGCAGGCTTTTGATGAGGTCATCCCCTTTTTCCTGTCCTCCAATTAGTGGGCGAGAACGATTAGAATAGCCTGTGCGCTGTGTTATCTACACTAATTTCATAGGGTTCATTCCCTTTTGCCCATGAACAAATCAGATAACTCAGGCCTCATGCAGAAGTTGCCATTTATTCTACAGAAGAGGGAACAGAGAGAGTTTAAAGTGGATTAGAGGTTTCCGCTGTGCATGGACCAGTCCATTCTATATGACTGATGAAGCTCTTAAATATCTGTATGAATTATAGGTTCTGGAGTGCCTATGGTACTTCAGCAGGGAGAGGGCTAACCATTTTGAAACTGAAGCTTGCAAAGAATGATTTATATTTAAATATAAACTTGGAAGAAAAGTTTAACCTTGCATTTGATCCTTTACTTGTACCTGCAGTGTTTTGGCTCAAGACAACCCTGCACAGGACACTCAAGAGGAAATCCTATGCATATTTAGACAGAAAAGTCCTACAACTTGGACTGGTGTATGCTGGAAGTAGAGGACTTTTTCCTAAAGGTGTAATGCTGTAACTCCCAGTATAGTCCGTGCTACTTGGGGCATGCTGGAATTTATAAACCTTTTAATGTCTTAAACAGAGGTAGGACTGCATCCTACAGTGCAAATCTGACATGGCTGCCTGTAACCTCAAGTCAAGAGGTTGCAGAAATCTGCGGAGTACATGAGCAGTAGAAAGGTGAGGTTTGCCTCCATGCTTGCTTCACTCTTGAAAACAGATTCATTTTCTGTTTTCAATGATTGGGTTCATTGGTCTAAATGGTGCATCCTTCATGAGGAAGACTTGAGGCACTGCCTCAATTTAGTGGGAACGGGCACTGCTTTGCCTCTTCACCACGTGTCCTTCAGGGTCTCGGCCGGTGCGGAATCAACGGCGCCAGATGAGAGGCAGGAGGGAGACTCCTCTTAAGATGGAATCCCCACTGCAAAGTTGGAAGGCTTCCAACATGACATGAAGGACTCCACCATTTCCTTTGGTTTGCCGGACACTGCCTGCTGGCCAGCAGATTGTGCCTTAGCTCTGTTTCTTTTGCTGACTGCTGATACATGGAAATAATTCCTCTGATTCAAGAGAAAAGTTACCTTTTGGAGCTTCCCAATGCAGTGATCCTACATGGAATGGCAAACCCTAATTTTAGGCTTGAAATTATGGATTGCATTTACAGTTTACTTTGCTAAAGTGTATATTTTAAACCATGATTCCTTGTGTGTACACCACAAACCAAGAACATACTGAAGTGAAAATAATGCCTGACAGTATTTCCCCCTTGTGATGGCAGGAACCAAGTACCAGGCATGTCACAATAGCTTATGATTTACTTATAAGTGAATTGAGTTACATGCACATGTGCTCGCCGCGGGAGCAAAACACAGGCTTAAATAATAAACTTGTATCCTGCCTTTCTGGGAAGAATGGCACTTGGGGTTGCTAACAATAATACAAGTGAAAATAAAATCTTGGTTAAAATGTACCATTACATCACTTAAAGCAGAATCCTTTGGACATGACAAAGGCCTGCCTGCCAGCAGAAGGGGAACAGGGAGTGTGTCAACTTTGCCTCCCTCGGCAGAGTTTCCAAACCTGGGAGCAGCCGTACCTCTTTCACGCTCATCCCCATTCGCAAATCATACAGTGGAAGCCCTTTGCTTTAGTGACTGAATGGACGCAATACAGCGGGTTCAAGGCAAGCCCCAAACAGCAACGTTTCTTTGCACTGCTCCAGGAGTACTGCCTAAGTTTTTCTGCTAGCATATTTCTGTAGACAGAGCTAGCTCACCGCCCCCACCCCCCCGCCGCCCACAACAGGTGTTTCCCACGAACAGCAACTTATAATTGTGATACTAACTTCAGCTATGAAGCAGGTAGAGCACAGTCAGGCGAGACACCAGGTGTTGCTGAGCCCGGCTCAGCCATCCAGTCTCTCTGCAGTGTTGAAATGCCAAAACTCGAGCATGCCCTCCACCCTTCCCCGGATGGTCCACTGTCACTGCATCCCAGTCCACTGCAGAGACGTATATATTGCAGTCCCATCCTGGTCCACTGAGCAGAGCAGAACAGTCTTCTTGACATTGGTGCCCAGCCGCCCTGCACTGACGACGTCTTGCAGAGAAAGAGGAGCGTCCTTTGGAATGCAGAGGGCAATGTAATGGGCGTGAAACCGCATTGGGTCACCTGGAAGAGAAAGAGGGAGAAGGTTAGCAGGCCACCACCTTCGGGAGGGCTGTTTGTTCCCCACCCAGGTTTAGACTAATATTTATTTCACTTCTGGGTCAGTTAGCTGCTAATCATTATCAATTTATCTTTGCTCCTCAAGGGCGGCTTTGCCATTTTAAGGTTTTGCTTGATGGGGCTCAGTGGAGCAGGCTCTGAAGGTTCCAGTACCTGCTTTCTCCCCACCCACTGCTCGCCAACCCCCCTAGAAGTCCGTTGCTACCTGGATAAACAAGGAAGTCGCCCCCAAATTTTCCCCCACTGGTGATATAGTAGCCTCGTTCCCAGAGGTTCCGGAAAATGCAGCAACGCATCTCGTGGTCCTCTTGTCCAGCATAAGGCCAGTCTTGGGAGGGCAAACGCCAGTCCACCACCTCTTCTTGGCCTGGGTGGGCCCGTTCTGTCGGCAGCTGGACCATCATGGATTCTTGGGGAAGCACAAAACTGGGTTCCAAATCTGCAGGGTTTGGAGGAGGGTCTGGAAAAAAGTGTGGCCTTTTTAAAGGTCTTGTCAGCTATCAAAAGGTAACTGTATTTAACAGTATGCCAACTGAAATCCTGGATTAGAAAGAATAGTCATTCCGTGAAAGTGAGTTCCAATTTTTTGGTCTGTTCTGAATCTGCTGCTATCATGTTTCACTGGAGGATCCTGAATTCAATTGTTCCAAGAGATGATGGTATGTTACAGACTGACTGCACCGCTCGATGGTCAGTCTATAGCAGTGGTGGCGAATCTATGGCACCCATGCCACAGTGGGCACGCAGAGCCCTCTCTGTCAGCAAGCGAGCCAAGTTGCCCCAGCAGCCGAGCATCGGATAATAGTGCACACAGGGACCATGGGCATGCTCGGAAAGGCACACGGGGGTCAGGCGATGACGTCACAAGCCACGACTCATTAGCCATAACTCGCCCGAGCTTTCGCATGGCCGGTCAGTGCGCTGCCAAGGATATATATATATATATATTTGCTTGGACTGGCTGTGAGGTGTTTTTTCTAAACTAAAACCTCAGTTTTCAGGTGTTATTACAGTATTGGTACTTTCCAATAAATAAGTGGGTTTTGGGTTGCAGTTTGGGCAGGCGGTCTCTAAAAGGTTCATGATCACTGGGTTAGGGTTAGAAAAAAGGGGTGTCCTGGCATGATTTTGAAGGTTGGAATGTGTTTAGAATGGGCAGAAATGGTGAGCAGTGCAGAAAAAGCTACTCAAGGAAGGCTTTTTCAAAACTGCATTGTTTTCAATGGAACTTTACCCCTATATTAGGGTTAGGTGTGTGCACCAGGGTAGGGTTAGGGTTAGAGAAACGTGGTGTCCTGGCACGAATCCGATGGTTGGAATGTATTTAGAATGGGCAGAAATGTTGAGCAGTGCCAAAAAAGCTACTCAAGGAAGGCTTTTTCAAAATCGCCCTCTTTTCAATGGAACTTTACCCCTATATTAGGGTTAGGGATGTGCATCAGGGTAGGGATAGGGTTAGAAAAATGCGGTGTTCTGGCATGCTTTTGGTGGTTGGAATGCATTTAGAATGGGCAGAAATGATGAGCAGTGCAGAAAAAGCTACTCAATGAAGGCTTTTTGAAAAGCGCATTATTTTGAATGGTATTCTACCCTTATATTAGTGTTAGGGGAGTGCACCAGAGTAGGGTTAGGCCAGTGGTGGCGAACCTATGGCACGAGTGCCACAAGGGGCACGCAGAGCCCTCCCTGTCGGCATGCGAGCCAAGTCGCCCCAGCAGCCGAGCATCGGATAACAGTGCACATGGTGGCCATGCCCATTCTCGGAGAGCAGCGACACCAGGCGATGACGTCATGAGCCGCGACTTGCCTGAGCTTTCGCTTGGCCAGTCAGTGCGCTGCCAAGGAGATATATATAGATATATATTTGCTTGGACTGGCTGTGATGTGTTTTTTCTAAACTAAAACCTCAGTTTTCAGGTTTTACTGTAGTGTTGGCACTTTGCGATAAATAAGTGGGTTTTAGGTTGCAGTTTGGGCACTTGGTCTCTAAAAGGTCCGCCATCACTGGTCTATAGCATTTACATTTATGGGGGCTGAGAATGCCCCATGGCTCAGGAAACAGAAACGTTCAACATAACTCTGAATGCCCTGCATTTGGGAGATGAGAGGAGGAAGCAGGGCCATTTTCACCAGCCTCTTTGAAGGAGTATTTTTTCCCTTTTCCATAGCTATCCCTCTTTTGAGAGTGAAACCTATGAGCAGGGACTCTGTTTCTTTAATGGTTTATATGTAAGCCCAGAAGCGCAGGATAAAAATAAATGCAGTGTCATGGCAGTAATCACAATACTTGAGATACACACAAACACACACATTCCAAATAGCTACTTCTTGCCACTGACGGTGGAAACAGTACAAAACCTTTCCTATCCCGGGGTCCCCAGATATCAGACCGCAGCTCCCCTCATCTCAGACCTTTGACATGCTGGTTGCGAGTAATGGGGGGTGTGATCCAACATCTTTGTGGGGAAGCCTGCACATGGGAAAGGCCACAACAGGGGATTTGCCCATCCCTGTCCGAGTGGCCATGGTTCTTCCAAGGTCTTCTGTATCTGTATCTTGTGTAAGAACTGTCATGTGGCGAACAGAGTCACTCACCTCCCTCTTCCCCTTTCTGTCGCCGCTTCTTTGCCCGTCCTTGGGCTATGCGCTGGGCAAGAGTGCCCAACACAGCCCTCCTCTGTTCAGCAGCAAGCTGGAGCTGCTCCCGATAGCTTTCCTCTAGCCCTTTTTGGTAAGCGGCCACCTTCTCCGGGGATGAGGACAGATTCTGGAGACAGACAATGCAAAATCAACACTGCTGAAGAAGAAGAAATGAAAAGCTTCCATACAGGAGTCCAAGAGGAAATTGACAACACAAAAAGCAAGGCATGTTGATAATCATGGATGGCTGGAATGCAAAAAGGAGGAAAAAAGCAGAATCTGATGTTATAGCAAACAGGCAACCAATCAGATGGACATCACCAGATGGCTAATACAGAAATCAAACAGACTACATAACTGCTAGTGTGAAATGGAGAAGCTGTATTATCCCTGCCAAGATAGGATGAGCAGCAGATTGTGGTAGTGACCATGAACTCTTGCTATCAAAAATATGAATAAAGTGGAGAAAAGATCACTAACAGAAGCACAATGTCTAAATACAACTTAGATAATATTCCTGAGGACTTTAAAGTCCATGCAAAGAACAGATTTGCATTACTGATCAAAACTGACTATGAACCAAAAAATAAACAAAAAACAACAAAAAAAAAACCCCACCCTGTAGACTGAAATCAGAGATATTATTAGGGAAGAATGCAAAAAGATAATTCCTATGGAAAAAGAAATAAAAATCCTAAGAAGATAACAGAAGACAGATTCAAAACCACTAAGGACAGGTGAGCAGCAAAAGCAAAAGGAACCAGAAATAGGGTCAGAATCCTGAATGCAATTTTCAGTTACTATCATGCTGAGACAAAAAGAACAATTACAAGGGCTGGTACAAAGAAATAAAAATGAATACCAAAAGAGGAAAAAACAAGAGACCTCTTTCAAGAGATCCAAGAAATCAAAGGGAAATTCAAACCTAGATTAGGAATGCTGAAAGACCAATAGGGGAACATACTATCTGACTGGAAGAAAGGTGGGAACAATATTCAAAAAAATGATACAGAAGAGATGAAAAAAACCCCCGAAAGATTCCTGTGAAGAGGAATCTTATGAGAAAGAACCTGCAAATTAGAAACTTAAAAAAGCAAAGCGCTCTCAGTAGATGGGGTACCAATGGAAGTGTTCCAAGCTGAAGAGCCCAGATCTATCCTAATCCAACAAGAATAGTCTCTAAAAGTTTGGACTATACTACCATGTGGTATAAAGTTTTAAACATTGCATTTAAGTAGTCTGGTCTGGCTGAACCTTAGTGGTGCAAGACTATGCATATTTATGCAAAAAAAAAAAAGACTCGGAGGACTCCAACCATGCCCCCAGGAATTGGAGGTTTTTTCCTTTCTAAATGGGATTATGATTGAACCCTAAGCAGAACTAAATACCTTAAACTGCTGTTAGTTGGGGATCTAGTGTGGCTTAGCAGCTGGACTCAGCAGTTCTTGGTTCTAGTTGCCACTCAGTCATGAGGTTCACTTGGAGACTTTGGACCAGTCACAGACTCAGACTAATCCACCTCACAGGGTTGTTCTTGTGAGGACAAAATAGGAGAGAACAATGTAAACCACTTTAAGTTCCTTGTAAGAAAGGCAGGGTAGTAATGCAATATACTTATTAAATTTTTGCACGCCATAACTATTCCATTTGATTCTTTTAGATAGGTTTCCTGATACTGTTTTGTAATGGGCCTCACCAAGAATTAAATTGTAGTTTACTTTGCATGTAAGTTTCAACATGTCTTTGAGGGGGCAGCAACTGGTCAGTAGACTTCATTTCAGTCAAGTTTGTTTTTGTTTTTTAATAGAACCTGACATGGAAAAAAACTCCTTGCAAGTGTGCGTAGGGACTGTGTTTGAATCTTTCACCCAGATTGCTATTTTTTTAATTGACAAGATCAATTTACATAGAGAGGCATTAAAAATGCTACCCCCTTACTGCAGTCTGAAGTGGTATGGCCTGCTCTGTAATTTCTATATTCTTCCATGATTTTCCACTGCATGTGCAAGCCAGACCTCATTGCTGCAAATCACAGAACTTATACACATCCCCAATTACTGTGGAGGGGAGAAAGTAGACGGGTCATCAAGGACTGTGGGTTTTGGAGTGGACAGGTCTGCAACATTTGGACCAGATCTCCAGAGGCCTAACATATATTTCAACTACAGCTTTCATCTTTTGGAAGCCTCAGCTGATTGTCTGGCTGCCAATTTTATCTTGCTGTCATAAAAGAGACCCTGGGCAGCTCACAGAATCATGTTAATTAAAAAAACTAGCTGGAGAAAAACAATTTGCACGACTCACATGTACATCAATCCACACCGGCCTCCCCGCAATTTGTTTTGGCCTGCAGCTTCCACAAGCGCCAGGTGGCATGGCCAGAGGCCAGGGATGAGAGGAGTTGTAGGCCACACCATGGGGAAGGCTGATGCACATCATTTTAGGATTCATACTCAGTGTGGGGCACATACTTTGTACCCAGAGATGAAGATTCCATCCCTGGCATGTCCAGGTCATTTGTGAATAGAGCCACACTAATAAACTATGGCTTATTCACAATGAACAACCAAGAAAAATTGGGTTCCGGTGAATACATCATGGCTCATTGTGGGTTAATTGATTAATTCTGACAGAGATCCCTTGAGGACCTCCATGGACTATGATTCCCAGAATTCCCTGGAGCAAGAGTGGGAAATGGATAGCCCTGGAGATGTTACTGGGCCACAATTCCCATCAGTCATAGCCAGTTCAACCTACACTGATGGATAATGGAAAGTACAGGCCAGTAAGCTTTCTAGAAGGCTACGCACTCCCTGTCACTGCCCTAGAAGGAAGGAATGATGGCCAAACCTGTAAGCTTGCAATGCAGCTATTCCATGAAAAAATACAAGGTGAATTCATCTTGCTAGGAATCAGAACTAAGCCACCCTGCAGTCTGAGGTTAGACAGGAAAGAAGGGTGCTGATCTATCCCCATGCAGGCTGTAGTGTACATCAGTGCAGTTTTCTTCCCTCTGAGGAGCAAAACAGGTAAGGATACCTGGTCTGGATCTCTTCCAAGGTGTTGGGATGCTGGCTTTTTAAACAAGATTGCCAGCCCCCTTTCCACCAGCAGTTGGGCTTCTTCTGGGAGCAGCTGCAGAGGAAGTCCCAGCCATACGTTCTGTCGTGGTTTCCGAGCCAACGCCCCAACCAGCGTGCCAACAATGCGATGCTCTTCTCGGATCTGCCGTGCATCAGCATAATTCCACACAAAAGCCTTCCCCTCTAAGATCTGGATTCGGATCATTCTGCTGGGCCCAGCTTCTCCTGCAAAGCCAGGAGACGAACAAAATATCATTCTATTCACCTACCTTTATGGTAGTGGCTGGATCACTTTGTAGGAAAGGTTCTCCAACAACCTCATGATATTGGCTGCATAAGCGTCATCTACCAGGTAGCAAGATAGAAGCCCAATACTGGGGTGGAAAAGTAAGTATTTACGCAGCGATCCCTCTCCTTAACCTTTCCAATATATTTAAATGGATGGACTGGTTTTTCTCTACTCCTTGTGCAACTTGCTATATTTGGAATCCAGGCAAAATGTTGTATTGTTTTTTGGGTCAATATAAACTGCCTTGAACAACAATGCAGAGATACAAATTAATTAAATAAGCAAGCAACCCATCCTCAGGGACCTGCAGAGGATCCACTGACAAAGACATGTGAGGATACAACCTACTCACCTGCCCCACTCCTGGTTTGCCTTGCTGTGAGCTGCCTGCCATTTCGAATGTCTTGCAGCACTCCAGCTCAACCGGGGCATGATGGGAAAATTTAAATGGTGTTTCCCGCACCACCACCACTGGCCTTCATCACTAGTAAGCCTGCTTTGGTCCCATGGATGTTGAGGGAGTACCGACATCAAGGGGCCCACCAAACACTTTTGAACATGGAGCTACTCCTTGCTGAGATACGGATTAAAATCTATTGTCTAGTGTCTGATAGTCAAAATCTCTTTGCTTTTGCTGAGAAATTCTGTGAATTCAACATGATAACAAAGCATTCATTTACATACCTCTCACTCTAATTTGCCCAAGAAATGCAGAAATCACTCTCAGTGATGTAGGGTTTTTTCCTGTCTAAGTACTTATCACAATTGTACCATCACTTGGTAGCAGGCTTCAAAACTGTAACTTTTCTCAAGACCAATCATAATGGGGCTTGTTTTGGAGTAAACCTACTTAAGACTGAGCTGTGAAACACAAGAAGTTTTGTGTCATTTCCTCCCTTCGACTGCTTCTTCATCTTCCAAAACACCTCCATCCCCACATCCAGCCTTTCAGCACCCTCTAGATGGGTTGGATTGTAACTCTCATTATTCCCAGCCAGACCAAGAACATCTGGAAGGCTGTAAACAAGCTGGGCAAAGGTAACTGTCCAGAAATTTCAGAAATTCACTGGCCCCTCTCAGTGGCACAGTTGGGTAATTTCAGAGCTTCAGATAATAGGGGTATTAATTCAACTGAGCAGTAAACGAATAATATTCCACTTCTACCCCCGCCATTTCATTCTGTAATACTTCTACGTCCCCAACACTTTGCAGCAAACAAACTTGTTTTAAAAACTATTTATCCACCTCGATTTTCTTAAAAAAGCAAAAGCTCCACATATGTGTAACTTTGCCTCGTAAATTCATTTACATTTCGGCATCATCATGAATGAGGAATAAAATGGATTTTGCGTCGGCTGTCCTGATGCTATATTTATTTTGGAAATATATTTTAAAGCATAATTAATTTTTAAAAATGCACTAGTAACCACAGGCTCCCCACTGTGAACATTTTATAAACGTAAGGAGAAATAAGGTTACTGCAGCGACCCAAGTTCTCCCCCTACATGCCTTGCAAACTCAGGCAATGATACTGGTCAATTTGCTACTTCCCCGCCTACTTTTGCTTTCCGGGTGTCACTGATTGAGACTCCGCGGGCTGCGGGGCCCTTGACTTTGGCCTCATGGTCTTACCCTCGCGGCATCAATAGCGCCTCCACCTCCAGCACGCTCACCTCTCTGCCTTGTCCCAAACCACTTTCACACGTGATCTCCACCCCCGGTTTCTCACGCGACTCCCGAAACGCTTCCACGCGTGCGAAGCCGGGACTCGTGTGTGTGTTTTTTTCAGTTCCCGCCCCTTTGGGTATCAACAATCTCTCCAATCACCCTTTAGCTGCATCCTAAGCTCTTGGAGTGATGGCCACATTAGCCAATAGAATCGTGCAAGAAGGAGCCAATGATTTGCTCCTCGAGGAGCAGAGGAGGCGCACAGAAGGGGCGGAGCGAAGAAAAAAGAAGGGAGCCAAAAAGGCGTTCGCAGCATCGTCGCTCGTTCTGCGAAGAGGAACCCACGCACTAGAGACAGGAAGCAACGGGAGTGCGCGGTCAAGATTGGGAAATACCGCCTCTGCGCGCGCGCGAAGTGCAGGGCTCTGTGCAGGAGACGGACGGATCCGTTGTTCACCTCCCAAAATGGATTTTGCAAGGGGCTGAGCTCTCCCTCCCCCCATTCCTGGGCTGCCCCCTTTCCAGTTTTCGATACTCCCCTCGGGACAGCTTGCACGTGGGGAGACGTTCTTTCTAGAAAGGTGAGTGCATAGGGTGGGTGTGGCGAGAAGCGGTCAAAAGGAAGGGAACTTGGCTGATTTTCAAGCAAGGGCCTAGGGCAGCCCCCCTACCCCACCCCGACGTGGCGCCCTCCACACGGGAGCCGTCGCCCAACACACCCGGACAGCGACAGGTTGAAGGCTGCCCTAGGGGCTGGGATCCTGGGCTGCTGGGTCCCTTGGATTCCTGTCACTACATGGATGGGAATAGGATGTGATTTGTGCTCAGAGGTATGAGATCTAGCTGGGGTGTAACCAGGAGCAGTTGGGGACACAGATCCTTCTAGTACCGATTAGTTGTATTTGCAGGCTGCAGAGGAATCCAGCACACCTGAGTTCCCTTAAGATCACGTCACTTAACGTCCTTGTTGCTAGACCGCAAAGCTGTGCTGTGTGGGTGGCCACACTTCTTAAAATAATGTTAATGCCCCAAGACAACCACTTTGTGTTACAAGTTTACCTCTGCTAGTTGGAGGCATGGATGGGGAGGGGATGCACATCCTCCCTTAGGAATTACTCTGAGACTGCTTCCTACCCCTACTCTGCCAGCCTGAGGAATTCTATTTGCAGGCCTCTTCTTTCAGCAGCAGCTGAGAAATCCTGAACACAATCTTGATGCAGTGCTTCCAACTTCTGTTAGGAGGAGGAGGAGGAGGAGGAGCAGATAGCAGTTACTCAGGAATCAAATACATCTCACTATAAAAAAAAAAGTTGCTTCAAGATCTTCAGTGAATAGCAATATTAACTAAACTATTGACTGTTTGGGCTCATTGCAGATATTAATAATGTAAATAACTCTTTAACTGCACAGTGTTGCCACTATGATAACAGTGCCAATTATGCCCAGTTCCTTGGACTCTTATTAAAGTCATTTCTCCCTGCTTGGTCTGTCTCTTTGTTTTCATCTTCACCACTCCACTGCTTTACTTTAGTTTTCTCCTCCACAGCTCAGCTTTGCTCTGATACCTTCCCTTGTCTGTCTTCTCAACTTTAAAAACAGGTATTACAGTAGCATTATGGACTTTAGGAAGAAACTTTGAAAGATACAAATTCAAGTAAGAGCTTGTTTTTGCTCTTAAGCACACGAATGATGAATTCTTGCCCCTAATCTCAAACCTGTTTTTTGCTGGAAAAATGCACTCTACATATACTTAGAGGCATTAAAACCAGAACCAAAGTATACCTACTGAGTGGAACTGGGAGCATGCAGGGAAGAGCTTGGCAGATGTCAGTGGTGTTATGTTATGTAGAAAGTCTGAGCCTGTCTGGGAGGCAGAAATTCAGCAGGTGCTTTGAGCACGTATATTTCTTCCACTGTGGAAAAATAGTCCAACTAGTGTCCCTGCTACCACGAACAAGTGCCAAAAAATGGGTGCTGCTGCATTTCCTTCTCTCCCCTTGCTATAAATACAGTCCTCGCCCCCCCAAAAAACCCGGGTTGATAGTTTGTGCAAATATTCCCCAAGTTATTCTGCATTTTTTTTTACACAACCACTTATTTTACCTTTAATCCATATTCCTCAGAGTGTATCATCTAAAGGGAAATGTCATGCTTCAACCCAAACTCTGCTTTAGACAAATTGATTTGGCAGTTCTGTCCTGGAGCTTTTCTTGTTAAACCGTCTTCCTTGCCCTGTGCTCCCATACTGTGTACTTTCTTCTTTCTCCACACCATTACCATGTCTCTGTGAACATGGTGTGGCAGAGAAAGAGACCTGTCCCTTTCACTCTGCTTACAAGAGTGAATTCAGGGCTGGAGGATGCCCTAACATAGAGGAAGGGGCAATCCAGGGTCAAGCCAAAGAGCCCAGCACCAAAGATGACTACAGACACAAACTCACAGAATAATCCAAGGTCTGCATCAGCAAGGATCAAGCAATGGGTACAGATTCAGCAAGGAAGCATCAGACAAAAGTTCCTAGGCAATCCAGGGCTCACAGGGGATTTGGTGGAAGTGGGGGCTAGGTAGGCAGAGACAAGGAGATCAGCAATCAAAGCTGCTGCAGAAATGTACCTTCAACATCATTCCCCACTGAGACTTATAAGCTGAAGCTTTCAAATCCTCCCTGTGAGGAAAGCGCTCTTCATGAGGAGTCCTTTGCAACTGGGCAGTTCTTAGAGCAATCATTCTGGTTTGCCTCTTGAGATATGTCTGCTCCTAGGTGTTAGGTGGTCCCTCAGCCTCTGCCTAAGAGAAGGAATTTCCTCCTCCTTGGACTGATGGACCCACAGCCATCTCCTCCTGGCCAGACTCTTAGCATCTTTGATGTGGTTTGCCTCCAGCTCTTCCTCTGAGGAAGATGCTTCAAGTAGGAGCGTGACACTCCCAATCTGAGTTTCCCCTCCATTTCTGCTCTCTTTTTCTCTTTGTACACACTCCTCCCTCTTCTCCATCTGTCTCTCCTCTTGGTCTTTCTGCACTTTCTGTCCATTATGACATCTTTCCTCATTTCATAAGTCTTTCTGCACCCTTTTCTTCACTGCATATTTCTCCCTTGAACTCCTTTCTCTGTTATATTTTTCAGTGTACATGCCCATCTTAGCTCCACTCCTCACAAAGTAAAACTGTATGCAAGACTTTCACTCTCTAAGCAACTTATGCCAGTGAGGGAACCTTTGGTGCAGGTGGGGCTTGAAGCTGGAGCAGGCCAGGGCAGGTGGCATTAATTCCACTTTTGTAAACAGGAAGTGTTGCAAACGTAGCAATGCAGAAATTCTCTCACTCCCACTTCCGATGTGCTGCAGAGGCGAAGGTCCCCATGTGCTCCAGAGTGGTGTGCTATGTTGTCTTGCAGGCATCTTTAGAGAGACACTTGCTTTTCATGTGCCCAGTGATTCCCACCTAAAGACAGAAAAACTGTAATAGGGAGTGAGACAATCAGGATAAAGTGGTGTAGGGACAGCGCTGTTTGTGCAAAACCTTGTCTGGGTGTGTTTTGTTATGAAAGCTGCCACTGGAAAAGGCAATGAGATTGTGATTCCTTTTTGTGAACAACCTTCAGTTGCAGAAGCCACACAGCAGAATGAGCCGAGAAGGGAGAAATTTACCACATGTAGCTTTCTGCAGTCATAGTGTCTTCCTGCTTTCTTCTGTGCAACTCTTAAAGTTACATGGGCCACTCAGTTGTAGCGAATATGACATCTGGCCTTGCTCCCAGGTAGTCCCCTGTTAGTAATCTAGGAAATCCATGCTGACGACCATCCTTCCTCAGTCGGGAGGCTCCAGATCACCTGGACTGCAACTCTCAGCATTCCAACACATTTGGGACAATGCACCAAATTGGGGAAGACCTTAAAAAAAAAAGTGGCTTCATTACCTCTTAATACAGCTTGACCCCCCATTTTTTACTTAACATGGTAAAAGGAAGGGTTGGTCCACCCTAATCATAGGATGGCAATTCCAACTCAAACTACCAATACAGAGTTATCAACTTTTCTTCTTCTCTACTACTCTGTATCTTTTAACAGTTACTCAGCAAGAAGTGTTTCAAGAAAAGCCTGTCCTCACATAGCAATTAAGCTGTTCAATTTCTGGTGGTCAAACAGCTTTGAAAAGTGGCACGTGTGGTGGAGAAAGTTGGCAAACCTAGTTTGACTTTTGAAAGATTAAATCAACGAGAGTGACTTTGTGTGTATCTGGCTCTCAGCCTTCCCCTCCTCACAAAAGAGGAATAGTGAGGAACCCCTAAAACAGCCTGCATTTTCAGTGCTCATGGAGTGCTCACTGATTTTGGGGTTTAGGGAGAATGGGAAAACAGGAGAGGAGAAGAATGGAATAGAGTGATCGAAAAAAGGGCATGGCTGGCTGGCAAGGAGAACAGGAGCACCTCACTGCAGGATTTGCTTGCAACTCCCCCTTTTCATGAGGGTTTGACATTGACTAATGCACTTCTGATTCCCCTTTAACTCCCTAAACTGGCCATTTTCACCTCTTGTTGCAATCACTTCTATAAGTTAATGGTCCATTCTGTGAATTCTTTTTTTTCTGAATCCATATCACAGGGGTGATCTAATTCCTAATATTAGATCACTGTATCCCTTAGCACTGCCACCCAAGACCCCAATCCTCCCATCCAGCTTTAACCTTGGAAAACAGCCTTTCCCCACCAGGCACCTTTCAGACATGCCAGATGGCTCCTCCCAGCATCCCCCTGCCAGGTTGAATGCTGGAGCATTCTGGGAGTTGTCATCCAAGACATCTGGGCAAGCCCCAGGTTGGGGAAGGCTGTTCTAGATCATATGAAGGTGCAGCCCAAAACGGCTGGCTCGCTTCCTATTTTCCCCTTTTTCTCTGTTGCTGCCTAAATCAGCTCAGGGCAGAGTCATGGTCTCTGTCTGGTATTTCCAGTACTTCCAGCTTTGAGCGGTGCAACCTGTTCTGACTCTGCTTCTGTCTCTTGCCAGCCACAATGTCACCTGATGAAGTCATCTACTTGGCGGTGCTTCTCGTCTCCATCCCCATTGGCTTCTTCTTCAAGAAAGGGGGTGAGTGCAAAACTTGGGGAAGCCGACATTGACACGCTATGCGGGGGACACTTTCATGGAGCTTGGCTTAAACCATCAAGCTCCCTCATCCTTTGCCCATGGTTTATCTCATTTTGGAGGTCTCAAGAAGAGGTTGGGAGAATGGAGAATTTTGCTCAGTGTAGCTTTCCCTGTCATGAAGCTGTAGTGGCAGGAGAAGTTATAGCTGGTAGAATTTCTTCTTCTTTGTGCCTTTCAAAGATACAGGACCCTGGGAGAGAAGACAATGAGGAGGAAGAGGAGATGTTGAAAGGCTACTTAATGATTTAATCTTTTATTCTTCCTTTCCCATTGCTTTTTCCTTTCCCATTGCTTTTTCTTTAGGTGTTGTTTCTTTTTAGATTGTAAGCCGGTAGGCAGGAACTGTCTTAGTTTACTGATTTTATGTATGCTGCTCCAGGAGTGCATTAGGCTGAGTAGCAGGATAAAAGCACTTCAAAGAAACAAACTGGAAATAGCCAGGACTGCCTGCACCTGGGCCCATCTACCAGAAAGCCTGTGCTTTGTCACTGACTTATAGTTTTGCTCTTTGCACCATCGAGTCTCTCAAATTCGCCTTATTAATTTGTTGGCAGTGGAGAAACATTTTCCTCTGTTTCCCTGCAGGGCTGAAGCTCAAGCAGTATGGGGGAGCGGCTGTCGGGCTTGCGCTCACGCTGGCCACCTGCCATATTCACATCCTCCACTCACTCATCACCATCCTGGGGACATGGCTTATTATCAACATCCTGCCACGGTAAAAGAGCACAGCTGGGGTCTTGTGGTCCAGCCTAGCGGGCCAGAGCAGGGCACCGTGGGAGCACCGGGTTCCTGTGGAATGCGGGAATAAGCCTTGAGAGGAAGGATGGCATCACAGCTCTCTGGAAGAGGAATATGGGCAAGAATGTACCCAGAAGCATTACGGGTTGTTGGGGTTTCTAGGAATCTGATGCCCCAGACTTTGCAGCTATGAGATTTAAAGCAGGGATGGGCAGGGTGTTGTTAGAATTTACTAGCAGGTCTCTGGGTGATTTGCAGTAGATCTTCGAGGGTTGTTTTCTCCCAGTTGGTTTAAGAATAGCAACGACAAAATAATCCTTTCCCACCTGAAATGAGAAAAGCTTGCAGGGGGTGGGGAGAGTAACAAGGAGTGGATGTTTGTGTGAAAGGGCTGTGACTTTTTCTTGTATTGAAAAAGAATTCCTAAGTTCACACTACAGTCATGTGTGCTGCTGTTTAATGCTAAGAGCATGTCTTTTGCATTTAGCTCTGGCCGGTGGATCTTTGAGTTCTAGTCAAAATTAAGTAAAGTAAATGTGAGAAGCCACTTTCTGACTGACCTTGGATCTGAAAAGCTAAAATAATGAAAAATGTGGGATTTTTGGAGAAGAACACGTTAACAAGCTTAGAGTTAGGACCTCGGGTCCTCCAAACATGGACAAGAGAACTATCAGAAAAGATTATCTGTTGATGAGAATAGGACGTTTCGTGCAGACACATGTATGTGGGGCAGGGGTGCAGAAAGTCAGGCCTGGGGTCCAAATCCATTTCTTCAAAATTCCACAGAAAACCACACACACTTTCCTTGGTCCTGCCCAGCTTCCCCTACCATTCTTTGTTTGGTAGGTTCCCAGTTTTCATGTATTCCCACCCCACCTAAAAGATTCAAATTTGTTTCCTAAGATGTAGTAAGCTTTATGCTAGAACAGTATTTTGAGGTGGTTCCCTGTTCTTCTTGCCTTTGGTTCCACCCATCACTGGAATGTGCCCCCAGCCAAGAGCTTTTGCAAAATGGACTTTGCTCTCAGGCTGAAAGAAGTTCTGCACCCCTTCAGAAGGAATTACCTGTAAGAAGTGAATAATTCATTAATAATTACCATCTGTTGTTTATTTCCCCACACACAACCACCAGGTCTTGCCACTACCTGACGCTTGCATGGACCTTTTCCTACCTGCTCTTTTTCCGCACAGTCACCTACTTTGACCTTCCAGAGCCAACACCTTTCTCCAACGCTGTGCAGCTTTTGCTCACTCTCAAGGTAAAGGGCACTGTGCTGTGGACCGGGAAAGGGGAAAGGGGTTCCCTGCTGGGAAGCTTTTTTCCCATGATGCCTTCATCTGTGTCTCCCAGATGGTGAGCTTAGCCAACGAGGTGCAAGAATTCATGCAGGCGAAGAAACAGGAAGTGACATCATTTGCCAAGTCTGCCTTGATTGGCGTGATCCCCAAAATGCCCGGACTGGTGGAGATATTGTGCTACAGTTATTGCTATGTGGGGCTCATGACAGGTACCTGAGTTACCTGATGGAAAGTGGCAGTCAGTGGGATGGGGTGAAATATGTGTACAGACCAACTCTTCTGTAGTGCATGTTGCCTTTGACAGCTATATTGGCTTGGGGATCAATTTGAACCATGGTCAATCATTAACTCTTTAACGTCCAACATTTCAACCACATGAACAAAAATTGATAGGAGACAGCCTGGGAGGGTTTTTTTCTCAGTGCCACTCCCTTTTGTTTAAAAAAAAGGAGTTAAGAGATGAGAACAAGGCAGTCAAAAGAATAGCACATATTTCACCTTGGTCCTCTGCCCCAGCTGTCATTCTTCTTGTCTTTTTCTTGGTTTTGTGGCGTGTTTGTCTTATGCGTGTGTGTGCCCGTGTCCCTGAGCTCTTCGGTGCTGTGCTTTAAAAGGATTTGCTGTTCTTTCTGTGTGCGCATCTCCAGTCTGCATAATGTAATGTTTGTTCTCTCCCTTTCCTGTTGTGAGAATTACACCAAATATCAGGGGTATAGATCTCCTTTTAGCCCAAGGACCAAATTCTAGTTCAGAGAAGCTTTTGGCAGCTGCATTCCAGCAATGAAAGGGGCGAAGGAGCAAGGACAAAATGCCACCAGTTTTAGTGCAAAGCTTGCACTGGCAGTAGCGGACTGTTCGGAGAAGAACTTCAACTTTTTAGAAAGGTTTTGGAGAAAAAGCTGGGAAACTACCAAATGGTTGGTTGTTGCAGGAAGGAGAAAACCAGAAAGGCAGAATTTGGTCTCTGGGCTTGAAGTTTTATACTCCTGGTTTATATTCAACATCCACTCCAGCCATGAGCACTAGAAACTTGAAGTGGAAAGGTAAACCACAACAAGTTCTTGTGTCATCAGATTCTGTGTGAAGATACGGGGCTAAGCTGCTTGGAATCCTGTTAGAGTGCCCACATTAAACATACTGTTCCACTGTAGAAATATGTTTTTCTAATCTTGGTTCTTCTGGGTCATAATTCTCTTTACTCTGAATCTGATTTTTTGTATGCAGGCCCGTTTTATCGCTACCGCACTCACCACGATTGGCTGAACCAGCCCAATTCCTTGCTCATCCCCAGTTGGCAACCGCTACTTTCCAGATCGAAAATGATCCCCATTTTTGGGGCCCTTTTCCTGCTGGTCTCTCACTACTTCCCCCTCAATGACGTCCGCAGCGATGCCTTCTATGAACGAGGATTTCTTTTCCGCCTCTTCTACATGGTTCCCGTTTTCTTTGTCTTCCGCATGCGCTTCTATGTCGCTTGGCTGTGTGCCGAATGTGCCTGCATCTCTGCAGCCTTCGGTGCTTACCCAGCCAGCGCCAAATCGCGACCCGGCGGGGGACCCACAGTGGAGTACGAGCCGCTCAGCACGTGAGTCGAGGAGGGGTTCCCTCTCTGGTGGAGGTCCCATTCCCAGTAGCCTCCTAGTGGGCGAGGTTTAGAGTTATAGGAATCAGCTCTACAGATGCTAACCCATTGCTAGCTCAGATGGTTGTGGGTAATGGATTCTTAAGCCTGCAGGTATGATCAGATCCTGACCTTAACAAGAAATAACTTGATAAAAATGCATATGCATTTACATAACCGCGCAGTGGTTTAAACTGTTGTCCTGCCGGGCTGGTTGAGCAAAAGGTTGCTGGTTCGAATCTGCACAATGGGGTGAGTGCCTGTGGCTCCATCCCAGCTCCTGCCAACCTTGGAGTTCGAAAGCATGCAAATGCAAGTAGAGAAAAAGGTACCACTTCGGTGGGAAAGGTAACAGCGTTCCGTGCACTTTGGTGTTTGGTCATGCTGGCCACATGACCACGGAGACTCTGCGGACAAATGCTGGCTCCCTCGGCTAGGAAACAGATGAGCACAGCCCCCTAGAGTCAGGCATGACTGGACTTTAATGTCAAGGGGAAACCTTTACGCATGCACATAACCTTAGCTGAGCCACCTTTTCTATTCCTGGATGCATTTCTGTAGACTTTTAAAATGGATTGCAAGGAGTGGTGTTGAAAGAGGAAGGTGTGGATGGAAATTTTGTGTCCTGCCATGACCCTCAAGATGACTCCAGTCATGTCCTCCTCCTTGCTCACTCACTAACTTGAATGCATGGGTGGGCACTCTGCATTGCTTTACCACTCCCCATGTTGCCTCTGAACTATTTAACTAGGGGACACCACAAAGAAGGCCCTACTGTTTGTTTTCACATTGTGCAAATGACAGAATCTGTTGCATAATGTTCCCTGCAAAACTAAGAGGAAGAGATTCTCTATATGAAGGAAGGTCGTCTTTGGGTGCATACGTTTTTATAGGCCATTAGCACTTCCCAGAAACCAGAGGGTAGCCGATGCAGCTTTACAGGACTGTCCCACCCTCAAGAGGTGGATTGCTGTATTTTTGCATTAGTGAAGGCTTCCCGTCTTCAAGGACAGCCTGATATAGAGTACATTGCAGTAGTCAGTCCTGTAAGGTTAAAAAAAGTCACTGGAGCAGTTTCATTTGGTTCTTTTTTCTTTTAAAAGCAGATCAGCCAATGGGGACGCATCCAGCATTGCCTACGATTATGAAACAATCAAGAATATTGATCCCCATGGCACAGACTTTTGTGTCAAGGTGAAGGATGGCATGCGCTATTGGAACATGAGTGTCCAGTGGTGGCTGGCACAGTACATCTACAAAAGCGCCCCCGTCCGCTCCTACGTTATGAGGTGAGCAGAGCGCTCTGGCGGACAGGAACGTAGAGGGAATGGGGGAGAGGTGAAGTGGGAGGCATGGTAGAAAGGTGGATGAGAGGCTGCGGGAAAGATTGGACAGATTGCGGAGAAGATATGTATTGAAGTAGACAGAAATGAGATTTTGGAGCGGTGGTTTGACCTGAAGGCAGGGAAGCAGAGCAGGGAATTCTTGCAGGGATGGGAAATGCCATAAGATGCCTGTGAGGGTCATGCGGAGGATGGTAAGGCTGATACAGTAAAGCATTCTGGGATGGATGAGGACAGAGAAGCAAGGAAGGCTATAGAAGAGAGCTGATGTAAGATGAATGATTTGTACAGGGTTTTGTTTGCTTTTGGAGGGAGGCTGGGGTAGAAAAAAGTAACTGAGCAGTAGAAGCATGGAAGATTTATTACTGCTGGAAAGTTGAAGGAAGGAGATTAAAGTCCTGCAATGCAGATGGAAGCTTGGCTTGTGAGAGGAACAAAGGCTTCTGGGGGTGGCTAAGAGCAGCTCAGTGTGACAAAGGCAGAAAATGGAGGCTGCTGGTAATGGGAAAGAGTGAGGGAAATTGTAGAGGGTTCCGGGAACTGTGCTGATGGGAAGGTTCCAGAAATGATGAGACTTTTTCTCCTCAGGAGTGCCTGGACAATGCTTATCTCTGCCTACTGGCACGGGATTCATCCTGGCTACTACCTCAGCTTCCTGACCATCCCCCTGTGCCTCGCCTCCGAAGGCGCAATGGAAAGCGGCCTCTTGAAACACCTCTCCCCTTCTGGCCGTCTCTATGGCGACTGGGCGCAGTGGTTCCTGAAGATGAGGGCCTACGATTACATGTGCATGGGTTTTGTGCTGCTCACCTTTGAGGACACGATTCGCTACTGGAGCTCCATCTACTACTGCATCCATGTGGCAGCACTGGGGTTCTTCCTGCTGGGCAAGATGCTGGGGGTCCAGAGGGAGCGCGGCTCCCCCAAAGGCAAAGAGGGAGCAGTGGAAAACCCCCAGCGGCGAGAATGACACGGGCAGTGCAAAGTCAGCAGAAGCCCTGTGGTGCTGGCTACTTCTGTAGTCCCTGAAACCTGGGGACCATCCTTGTCATTTTTGATATGTTTCATTACTGAAACCAGAATCCAGGATCTGGGAGTGGGACCTCCAGATTCTAATTCTTCACCTGTGCCCAGACCAGAGGTCTTATGAACCCTCACGATACTGATAAGTCACTCCCCACCAGTTTATCCTCAGGGGAGAAAAACCCAAACATGTTAACTTTTAAATCCTTCCCCGGCCGATTTCCCATCCAGCTTCCATTTTGCTCCCAGAAGCTCACAAGTCTAATTCATAGCATCTTGCTACTCTTAAGCTTGTTTCTCTTCCTACCACCCACCCCAAATATAAAATTGCAGTAATCTTACAGAAAAACTGGGATTTTGCAATAAAGAGCTGATCTCTCTTACTTGTCAGCTTCCAACAAGTTCCTGGCTGGCAATTGTTTTAAAAAAGCCAGAGTTGTAGCCCTTTAAATTACATGGATTTTTTGCATAAGGAGGGGTTGCTTCTGGCTGGTAGGAAGACAGTTGGATGAAAATTGTGTGAAAAAGCCAGGGTACTCGACCGTGTATTCGGGCACACAAAAACAGCCCATCACCAAGTCCTGGATCAGTGCACTGCCCTCGCCACACACATACCCCACGTGTGCGTGAGATTCAGGGAGATGAAAGGCCCTTCTGGACCTGGGAACTGGCACAGAAAAGGAATGATGCAACTTATGAAGCAGTGAAGTGATGTTCCACACACAGAGACTGCAACTTTTAAACATTTTAGATGCTTCAGGGATGGACATCAGTTATAGGAAACTGATTCAAAGTCAGTATATCATCCATGACATTTGTGTTAATAGACAGCAAAATCCTCTTTTAGGACACACAGTCTCTAGTCTTAGAGGCCTCAAAAAAAAAGGGGGGGTTATATTGCAGAACCCAAAAACGATTGTAATTTTGCCTGCCTCAAGCTCTTCATCCCCTAAGGAAGGTGTGTCATGAAACAGCTTGTTTATAAACATTCTTTTTAGTTTAGTCTGCTGTAGCATTACTGGAAAGCCTGACTGGAGAAATAAAAGTTTGTGTTTTGTTTTGTTTTTTTAACAGAAGTCTCATTTATTCACTTCCTTGTTTATCCAACAAAAGGCAATAGAGGACAAGCCCCTGGCCTTGAAAATGGCTTTCTTTCAATTCCTATGGGGAATAATTCTTTCCTATCATAAAACCAATTGCTATGTGTAATCTGAGTGCTGTAATTCCCCTCAAACTGCTCATTTCCTTTTGATAACTTGGATTGCACTACTGTTTATCAATACCTTGAACCAATCCCAAAATCTGCATTTTTTTTTTTGTCTTGCCAGCCCAAACCAACCCCTCCTAAATAGTTCTGTTCAACTCAGTTCAAGCAATATTTTGTCAGTAAACAACCATAGCTCCTTCTTTACCAAGGCAAATTCTATGCATATTTCCTCCTGACCTACCCGAGCATAAAGCTGCTATTTTAAATGACAATGCATCGTCACACTATTTACTAAGGCATGCACCTAAGAGACAAAATGTGCACTCCTATGAAAGTAACATATCAGAAAAGTATCTTCCGCCCCCTTTGGCAAGAGGGAATTGTCTGTTCTTGCTTTTGTTAATATTTCACCTATTCCTCCAAGAAGCCCAAGGTGTGGAGTACATGAACCTCCTTTCATTAATCTTTGAAATAACTGTGTGTGATGGTTTAGGGCTAGGCTGAGAGTCGGTGACTGGCCCAACGTTACCCAGTAAGCTTGAACCCAGGTCTCCCCAGTCAGACTAATGCCACTCTGACTTTTCAACTGGCTGCTGAGTGACATAGCTCAAGTTTAATGCTGTGGATTGTGTGAAACAGCCAAATTTTGGTTCAGGTCCAAATGAAAAACTTTGTCCACATCCCTATCCCAGGGACAGTTAAACACTGCTCTGAGACTTCGATCTCTGTGTAGCCAGTACTGCCTTTGGAGCAAGCCGTCCAAAGGAAATGTTAATCCATGCCCAGCCTTCTTACTTCCTTGTTCCTTGTTCTTTGCCAACAACAGTAAAGCACACGCAGAGAGAACTGTGTGTATGTATATCCTGCAGCCATGGAGAACAGGTGGACAAGCGATTTGGGGAGCAGAGAAAATGAAGCAGGTACCATGATCTTTATCTTGGGGATGGCTGATTTGATCTGGGATAGGTTGATTAGAAGCTTTTCCAGATTTTGTTTTCTTACTGCTTTAACAAGATTCCTGTTGTGACACACACACACATCTAGGAGCATTACGGACTCTGGCAAAGAGTCATGGGTGGGGTTTGGGCTCTTGATTTGATGAAAAGCTTGCCCTAGGGAGACTGACTTCACTGCAATTAGAATGGGCACCAGGTTGCCAGCACCTGAGATCCAAAATTGTGCAGGGTTGCTTTAAAATGGATGTGTGGAGGAAGCCAACTAAGAGCTGGGGAGCTTTGCTACATGATGACTCATCTGCAGTGGATGATGGTATGCATCCAAAGTTCAGGACCATAGACTCTGGAGCTAAATAAGACCACAAACACTTCCCCGGACCACCAGTGGTTGGTGCTTACCTGATTTTGTGTGGTTATTTCCCCCTTTCTAAAAAGTTGCAGTACTTCTCATACCTAGTGACAAGTAAGCTGAAATATGTGGGTATTTTTGACCCACCCGTTTTGCCTTCAGCTAGTCCAGTTTTTGGGCTGTTCTTCAGCCCACAAGTGCTTCTCAGAAATGGAACTTGATCCTCCGGCTGAAAGAGGTGGAACATCTTGAGCCTAAATTTCGGCCCTTCTAAGAAAAGATACCATAAAGCAGGGATGGGGAAAGTGTGGCCCTTTCTGACATTGCTGGACTGCAACTCCCACCATCCCTTGCAGCTGGCTGTGCTATCTAGGGCTGATGGGACTTCTGATCCAACAACAGCTGGAGGGCCATGTCTCCTATCCCTGCCATTGACAGTGAGCATACAGAAACAAATGGTGATTGTTTAAAGGAATGCAAACTCATAAGAGGAAAAAAAAGGTGTTCCAAATGAAGATCTGGTGTATACATATCCCAATTTGGTAATGATGTCACAGCCACGCCCAGCTCATGTGGGTTCAGTTCTAAAAGAGACAATACAGCTTATCTCAGAGGAATGAAATAGACACGGGACAAATGCATTGCCTTCCACTTTAAGCAGCTCGGTGATCCTCGTGAGGTCTTTTCTTGCTCCTGTTCCATGCTGAAACCAGCTCTCTTGACCGTGGGAAACAGTGGTTTGAATTGTCTGGGCTGATCCTTCAGGGAGTGAGGATGTGGCTAAATAGCTTTTATCCACGTCCACGTGCCTACACCGGCACCTGAGGCAGGATGCATCTGAACTGGGCTGCTTCTCTCTGACTCATGCCTGTCTTGCCTTCTGTTCTGGACCCCGATGTCCAGGGTCCAGCTGGGGTCACCACGGCCCCCCATCTCTCCTTCTTCAGCTGCCAAGCAACCAGACACTACGCTTCCGTGGCGACAAGGCAGCCGCTTGGGGAGAAGCTTGGCAGGGGGCCTTGGAGCCCGCACTTGACTCCCAGGATCTGGTCCAGGAATTTGAGTCCCAGGAGGACAACGAAGACAGCAAACCTGTGAAAGAGCTGCCCATTTGCCTTGGGTCTAAACGAAGGCTCAGGTAGCGAGGCGCTTGGGTCACTGGGGGTAGGGCAGAGGGACTGCTATGCTTGCTTGACACAGTGGGGCTTACCCTTCAAGTGAGTTTCCCCCAAAGCAGCCTTCCCCAATCCAGTGCCCCCCAGATGCATTAGCCTGCAATTCCCCAACCCCCAGCTAGCATGACCAATGGCTAAACCAACGCGCGTTAGCAAGTTGGATTCTGTCCTTTTCGGGCTCCAAGGACATGAGGCTGTTTCTTCCACTGCCACTGTGAAATCGCTGCTGTTATGAGTGGTCATGGTGCTTAACTTGTATGCCAGACATCCAAAACCTGACATCATCCAGATGGACCTCAGAACCCATCGTCCCCAGCCAGCACAGCAAAGCCATACAGGCCATATGGGTGGCTGGAGCTGTAATCTAATGCACTGTAGGAGCTGGCTTGACAAAGGTACCCTTAAAGAGAGTCCAGATTTTTCTAAACACTTTTGTGAGATGGGTCAAAGGAATCTGGAACATCTGGGGAGGAGGGAGTTGTTGAAACAGTTCTAGGAGGCAGCTGGGTCCTGCAGGGGAGCCTCGGAAGCTGCAGCAGGAGGCGCGGCCCCTCTCCTTGGCATTCCTAACCAGCTAGGATAGCAGGATGCTAATTCATGTGCTATCTTTGCCTCAAAGATTTGGGAAAGGTAGCGAAACCAAACGGTGCAAAGTTTCCAACTCCAGAGAAGCACTGTTCTGTGCATCTGTTTTAACCCTCTCGGCTGGCTAAAGTCACCTGGGTCCTTCCCACCCTTTTTGCAAGGGCTCTGCAGGAGGAGGCAGCCAGGCGGCTCAGCGGGTGGGAGCTCTGGCGTGCAGGCAAGCGGCGGACGCTGCGCCGGCTCCACAGCCAGGCGGGCGCCATCGTCTCGTATGCCGAGGTGTGGCGGAGCACCCTGCACCACATTTCAGGTATGGGGGGCCCTTGATGAGCCTGAGGCACACAGAGGTGGGGGGAGGACGGGCTACACATGTTTACCCTTTGTCCTCTCATGTTCTGTTCTCCACAGGTCACTTTGGAACAGGAATCCAGGCCTACTTCATCTTCCTGCGTTTCTTGGTGCTGATGAATTTGGTCGCCTCGCTCCTGGTAGTGGGCTTTGTGGTGGCACCAAATGCAGCGTTTGAGGCCCTGCAGTTGAATCGGACACATCAGAGTAACAGCAGTTTGGGTAGGACCGCAACTTGGGAATCCAGAATAACATCTGAGCAGTTGAAACAAGGAGCTAAAACGGCTCCATCTTCTGGCAAACCCATATAGCTTGCGTATCTGTGCAAAAAGCAGACATTCAACTGGTATAGATTCTTGGTCACTGCATTTCTCTGGTGTCAGACTGTAACTTGGTCAATTTGTACTGACTTTGCAGGCATTAAATCACAGGAGGTGTATCCGTGGTGTTCTCTGGTCAGGATGGTGGGGCAGAAGTCCAGGAGAAAGAACAGGAGGGTCCCTATGCAAAGCAGGGCTGACTGCTTTGATTGATTGATTTAGGCTAGAGGGTTTAAAGGATATAGGACTCCTAAATCCTATAAGGAACAGGAGGCAGTGCTTAACTTCTCCTCACCCTTATTTCTTTTAGTGAATGCATCATGTCTGCAATACAACCCCATACCTCAGGGCTTGGTCAGCTACGTTTCCTACATCATGGATCTTCTGTCAGGCAAGGTAAGATCACCCCAACAATTAGCTCCAGAAGTTTGGCACAGTGACCCATTTTCAGCTTCTGCAAACATGTGTCTCCTGCAGGGGTTTGTCGAGCTCACCTACCTGTTCTACGGCTACTATCAAAATTCAGCCGTCAATTTTGCAGACTTCTCGTACAACACCCCCCTGGCCTATCTGCTCACGGCGCTCTTCTACCTGCTCTTCTGTCTAGCGTGGATTGTACAGAGGTGAGGACCACTCTGCACTTTGAGAGCTGTCCTCCATCCAGGATGTAGATGCACCTTTGAGAATCTTCAGTTTAAATATCTCTACCCTTCCATCTTTGCCCAGGTCGATCCATTGTCTCAAGCGCAGCCTGGTTAGTGAAGACGCATCCTTTGGCTCCTACAGCAACAAAGTCTTTGCTGGCTGGGACTTTGGCCTGATGCAAGACAGGATGGTGGAGCTGAGGCACAAGAGCATTCGCTACGAGCTGCGGGTAAGGTGGAACAGGCAAGCCAGGATCAGCGGTCCAGGTGTGCTGCTGGGGTTTGCCTTTAAGGAGGAGGCCTCCCACTGCAGCATCCTTGCTGAGGCGGAATAGGTCCAGGTCTGGACTGGAGAATGCCTGGGGAGCCCCCAGGACAGCCTTGCCCACCCTGGTGGTACCCCGAACGCACTAGAGTTGTAGTTCAGCACATCTGAATAGCACCAGGTTGGGGAGAGCAGTCCTGTCATCACTGCCTTGAGCAGCTAGTTAATTTTGGACCTTGGAGTTCATGGTTTCACATCGGCAAAGGCGGTGGCAGCTTTATATGGCTCGTGTGTCTTACTTCAACCACTATGTCTGTTTCTCACCATCATCACTCCCTGCTTAGCAATGTGGGCAGACCCCTCGTGACCCCTCAGATGGCACTGGACAAAAAGGCCTTGTCAGTTCAGCCACATGACGGGGCCTTTTCCGCACTGGCTCCACAACTCTGGAATCAGTTGCTATTGGGGGTCCATCATACTTCATCGGTACAGGCTTTGAAGAAGGCCCTGAAAATATTTTACTCTAGGTTTTTCCTGGTGTGATTAATGTTTTTCTCAGTGCTGGTTTTATTGTTTTTGCAGCATTTTTGCAGCATTCTTATTATTTAATAGCATAATCAAACAGTGCATTATATTTATTTCCTGCCTTTTTTCCTTGAAGGGACCTAAAGTAGCTTACATAATCTCACTCTTCTTTATTTTATTCTTACAACAACTCTGGAAGGTAGATCAGGCTGCGAGTGAGTGACTGACCCAAAGTCATGTAGGGAGCTTCATGGCTGAATGGGGACTAAAAGCTGGATCTCTCAAGTTCCAGGCCAACACTCTAACCACTATTCCACACTGTCACAGTGGGTCTCAGTACAATATACATTGTATTGGTCTTATGTCTTTTAATGCTGTACACTTCTCTGAGAGGGCTTCTGCCCTGAAAGGCAGCCCAGAAATATTTTAAATAATGATAAATACTAACAACATCCAAAAGATCACAAGTTTCTCACCCCTGCTTTACATGCAACTCCTTTACATTCCTGATTACATTTAAAGCAAAACAAATAAAGTCCCAATATAAAAATCAAGTAATACTCTGTGCGTGTTAAACTCAGTGCAACCATAGATAGCATCATGCGGACTACTGAACAAAACAGAACTTTGCCTTTGAATCCTATTCATTAAGGCATTCACCTGGAAATAAGCAGCCTTTTGTCGTAGACAAGGTAATGTGTTTTCAAAGCAAAATCAACAAAAGCAGCCTCTGTGACACCGTAAGCACTGGATGGCCACCTCCTGTCTGTAAAGTGTCTTTAGACAGAAGAACTGAGAGAGAATGCAGGAGTGACCAGCATCGGCCCTGTGCCTGTCCAGGTGATGATGGCCGTCCTTTGGCATCCCCTGCTGCTGCTCTCTCCGGGCGGTCCTTTGAGCCTGATCTATCCCATAGGACCGTTGTAAGAATGAACATTGCTTAATTCCTTTGCTTTTTGCCTCTCATCCTGCTATTCCTCTCTGGCCTCAGATGGATCTAGAGGAGGCAGCACTACAAAAGCTCCAGGCGGAGCGGACCACCACACAAAGAATCAGCCTCTATGTTGTTCGGGCCCTGATCAACATTGTGGTTTTGGGACTGCTGGGAGGATCATTTTATTGCATCTTCCTGGCAACAGGATATTCCCAGTCATTGCTGGAAAAGGTAAGGAAATGGCTATTACTTGACACATTTTATATTTATATTGCAATTTATATCCTGCCTTTTTCCTACAAAGGGCTCAAGGCAGCTTACATCATCTCTCCTCCTCCATCTTATCCCCACAACAACAACCCTGTGAGGTAGGTTGGACTAAGAGTCTGTGACTGGCCCAAAGTCACCCAGTTGGCTCCACGGCTGAGCGGGGACTAGAACCCAGATCCTCTGAGTCCCAGTCCCATGCTCTTAACCACTACACCACCCTGGCTCACATGCCGCTTTCTTTCCACCATTTTTGGTAGACATTATCCACTCCACACAAAACACAACTTGTGGCCTATGACTTTGCTTTGATCATGCCCTCTATGTCTTCCCCAGACTGCAGTCATAGGTAAGAGGACAATGACACCTACACTGACACAAAATTGGCTTGTTCCTGGATTTAGACTCTACTGATAAAAATTCTGCATTTGTAATAGTCACATGACTACTAGAAATTCAGCTGGCACAGCATTGCCCATAATTGCACCACCAGTCAGTTGAAGTTCTACCTTAAGGCTTGCTAAATTTTGGATTGTTGCAATGTTGGAGCAGGACCATGCTGAAAACCATGGATTAGCAAACCATGGTTTGTTAATCACAAACAGCCCAGAAAGAGAACCCAAGTTTTCTTGTTAGGCTGTAAACTCTGGATTTTTAAACTTTGGGATGTTGTTATATGTAATCTGAAAAGAGTGAGTTGTCAGTGGCTTTTTCCAGGGTACAGAGGTAGTGTGCAAGAGTGGTTTAAAAAACAAAAACGCTAGGCATCTACATGTCAGTATCACTGCTCTGCAAAGACATTTGGGATGCAGGTAGGACTGGGTGAAAAGGGAAGGGAAACAAACATGCTAGGGATTGAGAAAACAAACCATGATTTGTTGGATCGTCTTCCCAACAAATCCAAAATAGGGCAGTGCACCATAGGTTAAATAAACCATGTGCTAGTTACGTGCTGAACTAAACCACCACTTCTGAAAATGGAGACGTCCAATCTTATTCCTGTTACTACTGCAGTGATCCCACCTAGATGACTCTTTCTCTCTCCTTTGGCAGGCAGATTCCCCAGTCAAAGGTCAATACTTCCTGGAATTACTGGTGGCTTATCTCCCATCTGCTGTCATCACAACAGCAAACCTCATTGTCCCATTGTTCTTTGGGATCATTGTTCGACTAGAGAAATACCCACTCTGCTTTGAAATCAAGATCACACTCCTCAGGTAAAGGAAGTGCAGGGTTGCCTGTAGCGGCTGGTATGCTTTGGCCCTTTTGTGCAGCGGGGGCTGCAGCATTCGGCTCTGAATGACAGACAGGGCTGGATTAGCCATCACGATAAGCAATCTAAAATATAGGAGCCTGTTCTGTAGCAACATTATCAGTTCCCCTTTGTAAGCAGGAGGGAGCCTATCTTAATTTCTGTCGCTCCTAAATTATTTTCAGTTCTGTTCTGAACTAGATTAATGATCTAAATGGGGCTAGATTAATGATCATGCTAAGTAAGTGGAAGAATGGAAGCTCTTTATAGTGCTGTTATTGATGAGATCTCCTTTGTAAGCAGTTCAGATGAAGCTTTTATATTGCAATCAATTCTGTGCCTGAAACATGGAATTTTACCAGGGTCTAGACATCATATTTCATTTATAGTGAGAGCACTTCCCCATATTTTTCCACAGCTTCTTCCATCTCTTTTCTTGCCACAAAAATGGGTTAGGCAGAGAAAGGCAGAACAGCTGCATGATGTTTTTGGACTGGCATTGGCACTGTCTGTTCTTTCCTGATGGAATTGGAAGGATGGAAATACAGTAGCTTAGAAAGCGTGCCTAGCTGGTGACTGGGTGAGGTTTCTAATAGATCGCCTAAAATAAGGCAGACAGATAATACTAGGGGGTCCTCAACCTTTTTGAGTCGGTGGGCACATTCAGAATGGAGATAAAGTATTGTTGGCGCTCTCCCAAAATGGCTGCCATGGGGATGTTGTTTATGCATCAAATGGTAGGCATGAAGAGTCACAGAAAACATTTCTCAAAAGGCAAACTGTTGATGTCCCTGCTAGCCAGGTGACTTACAGACCCCTAAACCAAAGCCAATAAGGTTCAGCAAGGCAGAGATTCATTTGGTTCCTTTATTCAGCTGAGAAGGGCAACCAGGTGTCAGCTTCCCAGTACACAGGCAGGAAGCAACAACACAACACATTCCATCAACTCATCCTTATTATAGCTTCTTTCTTTCTTTTTTCTCACACAGTCTCACCCCCATTGTTCCCTCATCCAGTCACCTCCCAGGGTCTGCCTGACCCTTTGCCCAACCCCCTGAGGGGGCTGCATGTCCACTGCATGCCTGTCCTTGTGGAAGAGGCTCTCTCCATCCAATCCCTTCACAGACGGAGCGTGATCACAGCGTGCCAGGCCTTGGGTAGGGAGTCCTCCTCTTCACACTACCCCTTTGTCTGGGGGGTCCTCCTCTTCCTCCTCTTCACACTACCCGTATCTTACCTTATCAACATTCTTTTGCCTCACATTCTTTTGCCTCCCCTTTTTCTTCTCCAAAGCAAGCAGTTATACAGAAAGCAAATGGCGTTAACTGAGCTAACCAAGCTTTCAAGCAAGCAGCTTTTTACAAAAGCAAATAGCGTTAGTTAAGCTAGAACTAAATAACATTAGTTAAGCTAATCAGGCTCCTTCAAAACTGCTGAGATTCAAGGAACCTTGACTAAAAACCTGAGCATAAGGCAGAGGTGGGGGGAGGTCTGCTCTCTAAAAGACAGGACCACCCTTTTGAGCTCAAATGAAGCTGGGCAACCTGTTACTTGGAGAATGCTTAAACCCATATTTGAAAAATGCATTAAATACAGTGCACGTTTATACAAAAAAGGGCCTACAACTCCAAAGGAGCCTACTATGGGGGTATATTTTCATTTTACATATTTTAGACTGGTGGCAGCCAAGGCACCAGCTGTGAGATACAAGAAGCAGTATTAGAATTGTGTCCGACCTTTGGTTCACTTCGCTTGACTAGCAGCATTGCTCTAATGCTATCTTTATGTCTGACAGGAGTGTCTTCCTCCGTCTTGCAAGCCTAGTGGTCGTGCTCATCTCACTCTGGGCCCAGATTACCTGTAACGGAGATCCGCAGAATTCACGCTGCCAGAATTGCGGTTACGACAACCAGCTTCACCCGGTGAGGGTGCAGGGAAATAAAAGGTTTGGAGCCAGAACGCCTGGATTCTCTGATTGGAGAGGGCAGCCCAGTAGCCCAGACTGGGCCTAGGCCCTGCTTTTTGAAGCAGATGAGAAACATGGCTGGCTACCAGAAGGCCTCTTGTGGTCATCTTTCCTTGGGGGTGGGAGCGATTGTGTCCGGTAGGGTGGAGCCAGGACAGGTTGGGGGTCCAGGGCCAAAACAGGAGAAGTGAGGGAAGGGTAGGGAAGCGAAAGGGCAGTTGCCTCCAATAGATTGATCAATTATATGGGAGAGGAATGGTGGGTGTCTGGGGAGTGAAGCTGAGATGAATCTTTATGTCCCTGCAGTGCTGGGAGACCTCAGTGGGACAGGAAATGTACAAGCTGATGATCTTCGACGTGGTGATCGTATTACTTGTGATATTATTTGTTGAGTTTCCAAGAAAGTAAGTTTTTAATACCCTTGGTGTTATAGGAGCTGTATAGGTCAGACAGCATTAAGTCTTTTAGCTGGGTTTCTTGCTTAACGTGAAAGTGGGTGGCTTTGTGGTTTCTTCCTGTGTCTGTGTGTGTGTGTGTGTGTGTGTGTGTGTGTGTGTGTGTGTGTGTGTGTTTCATTTGGCCTAAAGTGGATTTCAGAGTTACTGCCACACTAGCAGCCGAGTCTAGGCCTGTCATTCTTTACTCACTTGCATTTTTACAATTCAAGCAATGCTGTGGCCATTCCATTGCAGTCCAGTGTTTTCTCTGGTGGTTTGTCTTTTTCAAACCCAATTTATGGCTGTCCGTTTCATTTAAAGCAAACTAGGAGTATGAACAGGCAGGTTCAAAATCTCAGGCTAACGCTAAGCTACTTCACAGGGTTATTGTGAGTATAAAATAGCAGGACAATGCTCCAAGAGTGAGAATGGAGTACAAAGGGAATAAATGAATGAGAAATTATGGGAACGGCACGTTGTTGTGAGTGGGCTTCCGCTAAGGCCATCTGCAGAATGAACCTGCCTTCCACATCCTTCCTTTGTTTCTTAGGATGATGGTGACCTACTTTCCCTCCTGCCTTTTGCTAAAATGGTGGGGGCAACAGGAGTTCATGGTGCCCTCCAACGTCTTGGATCTGGTGTATGGCCAAACGCTGTGCTGGACTGGAGCTCTTTTCTGCCCTCTGCTGCCTGTGCTCAACACCTTCAAGTTCATTGCCATCTTCTATCTGAAAAAGGTGATCCAGGAAGGGAGATGGCTCTGAAAGCGAAGACTTCCCAAAGAGGGGTTCTGGGGGCTTCCAGGCAAGGCTCCAGCTGTGCCTTTGCCCTGCCTCATTCATGGAATTTCAGGGTGGGGGTCCAGCCTTCCACCTGTAATCGCCCCACATCGTCCGACCACTTCTTCTGTCTCTTTCTTGGAATGGCAAGGTGAGGCAAGATTGAGGGCAAAAGGGACTATGAGAGCCTAATAAAGCAGTGTTAAAACTGCCAGGGTGTTTTGGGAAGAGAATGGCAGATAGGTTACAGCAGGAAAGACCAGGGCTATGTCTCTTGAGCTCATGGGTTTTTCTCCTCTTGTCATCCTAGCTATCCCTCTTCAGCAACTGCCGCCCAGCTGAAAAGACATTCCGTGCCTCCAGCTCCAATTTCTTCTTTCTTCTGGTTTTGCTCATTGGTCTGGGGATTTCTTTTGTTTCTACCCTATACAGCATTTTTGTGTAAGTATATCACCTTCTCTCAGCCCTCTCCCCATCCTACAGTGGAACTTGCTCAGGACGTTTCCAAGTTGTGCAGGTGTTCTCCATCTTGGAGGCATCGTATGTCTGATGTTGGCCTGTCACAGCTCCTTTGTGCCAAACTAGTGGCTTTTCCTCTAAAAGCAGAAGAGCAAAAATGTATGGCTAACTGAGGAAGGCTGGCCAATGTATAGGTAAAGGTTAACATTTTATGTGACCTAGAAGGGAATTTACGTCTGCTTTTAAATGAGGGGCAATTCAGGCTGAAAGACCTTGTGGGGAGGGACTCAGCAAGATCATTGGGAGCCCTTTAACAGCCATTGGCCTGAGTACCAAATCTGGCCTTCCTGCAGTCCCCACCTGTCCCCTTTTTCAGGCCCCGGCCTCTTTTCCTCTGTTCCTGTTTTCCCCACTTTTGTCTATTTTTAGCTCACTCTTAAAGCTGGAAATACTTTTTTATCAGGTTGTGGAAGGCTGCTGTACATCAAAACTACACAGACAATGACTCCTGTTCAACTCTGAGTCTATAAATCCCTGAATATTTGCTCATTCCCAGCCAGACTGCAAATAACCTCTCTCTGGACAGAGCTTGCCCCCATTCCCAAAGACCTGTATCGGTGGGTGTCATTACAGAAAATGGAGAAAACAAGAGAGAGAGAGGAAGCTAGACTTCAGCTTAGTGTTGCTTTAAGTAATATTTTACCTGCTAGGCCTGTTATCTTTTCTTCTAACAAGGCTTCTGCATCTTTAACAACAGCTATTTGGGTGTTGTTGTTTGGGGTGTTTTACTCCCACCTCACTGATATTAAAGCCACGTGAACTGTGGTAGGAAAACCCATAAAAAGTTACTATACTTGTTCTCTTGTGGTAATGGGGAATACATATTTCCACCACTATTTCTTTATCTCCTACAATGTGCCTACCAGTTCTGCATATTTCCTGTGCACCTGAGATAAGAACTCAGGCATCTGCTCTCGGTCTCCTACTATCGAAGTGCTGGACAGATTCTGTCCTTTCATTTGTGGCTCCTAGAGCACAGTCTTGTGCTGGGACTGTGACAGCTGAGCCCTCAGCCCCCTTGCAGCTAATGTGGAATGAGCAGTGCTGGATCCTTCTCTGAGGGTGGATATGGGCCTCAGGGGCCCTCAGAGACAGGGGGGTGTACTGGGGGACCGAGAAGGAAGGCGACTGGGGCTGCCTTCCTACACCAGTTCCTATCAGAGTCCCAGTGTCATCCTCTCCCCCTCTCTGGGGCATTATCTAGATGGCTGAAAAAAAGCAATCTAGATAAAATGCACAGGGCAAGGTGCAGTGACAACCGAGATCACTATCATGTGTTCGCTGCAGCCATTGGATGCACACAGAGTCTGGAGATGTACCTGCATCTAGGGGTGGTGCCACTGGACTATGCCCTCAAGATTTGCCCTTGCCCTTGTGTTCTGTCACTGTTTGCTTTCTGGCACACTGCAAAAGATGTATTTGTTTCGGCAGGATTCGCCCAAACTGACAATATTTTAATGGCTGGTTTCTACAATTTTATTTGCAACCCACCTGCTTTATAATGCATCCATTCCTTTCCTGGCCCACCCCCACCTCCCTGGCTGCTGGCAATGATTCAGCCTCACTGGACTCTCTCTCCTCCCACAGCTTGCCCCCTTCAAAGGCTTGTGGCCCATTCCGGGATGAGCCCACCATGTGGAACATTGTTGTTGAGGCTGTGCTGAGGTTGCCCCACAGCATCCGGGACTTCCTGCACTTCCTGGGTTCTTTAGCATTTGCTGTGCCATTGTTCCTGCTACTGAGGTGAAACAGACTGGGCGTCTCTGCTGGGTTGCTGGGTTAGGGGCTGGAGGACGGGGAGTGGGAGAGCTGTCTTTGGGGCCCAGGGCAGCCTTCCAACACATGTGGGGCACACCCAGCTGGGGCAGGCCGCTGTACAGTCACACGCCCCATATAATGGTGTGGTGCATGGCTTAGCTGCAGGTTCTTACCTCTGTTTCCTGTCCCCTGCCTTTTCTTTTGACTTCGCCCCTCCAAGCATCATCATGTTCTACCTGAAGGCCCTGGCTGATTCCTACAGCGCCATGGTCAAGAGCCTCAAAGGGCAGCTCCGTCTGGTGAGTGGTTCCAAAGGGACACGGCTGGAGAGCAAGCACAGGGTGGTGGGGGGCTAAGATGCCAGGACTGGCCAGTTCAGGATGGGCAACTGGCAAGCAGAAGGCACGAGCAAGGGACCGTACAAACCAATAAAGTATTTACTTCTGTATGTATAGCATTTGTCCACTGCCTCATTTACAATGTCTTCTGAGATGTTAATAACGTTAGAGAGCCAGTGTGCCGTAGGGTTTAAAGTGTAGCACGGGGACTCAGGAGGTCTGGGTTTTGGTCCTCACTCAGCCATGCAGTTCACTCTGTGACTTTGGGCTAGTCCCTGACTCTCAGCCTAACCTACCTCAGAGGGTTGTGGTTGTGGGGCTAAAATGTTGTAAGTGGTCTTGAGTTCCTTGCAAAAGAAAGAAAGGTAGCACATATATGTAATATTAACAACAGTTAAAATTACAAAGCAATCAACAAAGGTGCTAAAAATAAAATAAAATAAAGATCAACTGCAGAAAAAAGCTAATATGTCATATAAATCCAGCAGTTAGCAAAACAGTTTAAACAGCAAAGATAAACACCAAAGATCTTAAAATTATCTCTAATATTGAAATGCCTGGGAGACTAAAAGGATGGTAGGAAAACCTCTTTCAGGGAGCATTCCCCAAAGTGGTTGTCACCACTAAAAAGGCCCCATCTCTGAAAGAGACCCACTGAACCTGAATTGTGGGGGAGCACTCTGAGAAGGGCATTTGCAAGAGATAACATGATCCAGGTAAAAAAATATGTGAAAAAGTAATCTTACAGGTAACCTGTCCCCAAGCTGCTTTGGGTTTAAAGGCACCATTCCTTGGGACTGGATCTGGAAATGAATTCGCACTGAGTACAGTTGAAAAGTATTGACACAATATGACTGAATTCAGGAGGCTGTGGTTCTTTACACTCCAGCAGAATCAGAGTTGGAAAGTATTCCTAAAGATAATCCAGTCCAGTCCCCTGCTGATGTAGGAAGCCCCTGCTATAATATTGCTGTTAAGCAGCTATCCGGGCTTTGCTTAAAAACCTTAAATCTGTTGTGAGTCGCCTCCAAAGAGTGAAAATCATAGTACAGGAGGAGACACATGCAGATTCTGTTCTCACCATTAGCGTAGCTGGGAAGACCTCTGCCCATATTCTTAGAAAAGCTGCTGCCTGCCGGAATAAAACATATTAGGTTAGAGATAGACAAACCATCTGGCTTAGACAAGGCACCTCCTGAGAGATGCTGCTGACAAGCCCTCTAAAGGCATTTTCCAAGCAAGTTTTTGTAAAATTGTGATGAGTGGACTGTGATGATAGCTCCCATGATACTTCACTATTGCTGATGCTAGCTAAGGCTGATGGGAGCTGAAGGCCAAAACATCTGAAGAACCATTAATTACCCTCCCCTTGGATACAGAGAAGAAAGCTAATGGTACCATTTCACTGTAGTTCTGAAATTGGGAGAATCACATTCCTTCTCTGCCATACAGAATGTTTTAAAAGGGTGTGATGGGAGTTGTAGTCCCACACATCTGGAGGGCACCAGCCTGGAGAAGGCTGAGATTGTGGTATAATGGGGAAGATGGGATATACCCTGTTGTTTTCTATGTTTTCTTCCTGACTTTGTTTCTTACCTTTAGGAGGGTCAAGACAAATTTTTCCTGGTGAAACAGATTTCTGAGTTGAGTCAGTGAAGCAGAATGTTGAACAACAGTTGGAAAGAACCATAATTATTAATATTTTGTTGTTTTACTGTACTGATGGTCTTGGATGCTGCAACCCCGCTCTGTTCCCACAATTCTCTCAACATAAGTTTCTGGCCAGGTTACTTCTACAATTAATGTATTTTTAAGGCTTGGAAGCTTTTTATACATATAGCCTTGAGCTGAAACAGGATGCTTCTGGGTGAAACTTCTGTACTACTGTTTACATTTGTAACATTCTTTGTGAGGGCTTGGCCCTTAAAAGCAGCCTATGCACATTTTAAATAAAAACATTTTAAAATGGAAGTACACTATACATATTTTGAATTAGAATGCAACATTATGGAACCTAAATTTGAACTGTGAACTTTCAGAGTTTTAGTACAATTTTCATTTTCATGAAGCCAGGTATTAATACTCAGATCCTGGTGATATAACTCGACTCCTGGTGGAAAAATATTGAAGAAATTATTGTAAAAGTATGGAAAACTTCATCAGTCCATGAACTAGAAAGATTTTGCAAATATCATACTTTACAGTTATGTGAGAATTTAAAGTTTAATCATTTACTTGAGAGTCAGCTTGGGAAGGACCTATAAATCCAAGGTTTGATTCACACAATTGAGCTGTTAATGAGGTCCTGATGGTGGAGTTAGAGTTGGGTCTAAGATTTAATCTCTGCAGTGACCTCACTGTGTGGCGTTGGACAAACTACTGTGTCTAACCCCAGTTCCCCCATCTGCGGGGTTAACATTGGCCTGGTTTGTCAGGTAGCTGTAAGGATTGCTTAGATAATGAACTCAGAGCATTAAATGGAAACACGTCCTACAACTCTCATAATTCCCAGCATGCCCTGGCCTAAATATGCAGAGGAATGCACCCCAAAACACTTTGTCCCTGTCTAGTATGTGTATAATTGGCAACAGACATCTGGCTGGTCAAAGCGGGATCAGCAATTTGAACTAGATAGAGTTTGTAAGATCAGAGATCTTACATTTTTAACATATAAAATAATAAACCAAATCATATCTGGATTATTGGACATCTAATTATCACTTTTTAGTAACACTTTTAATTTACAAATAGCTTTGCAACTTTGAGTGTTAGGATTCCCAGCCCACCCAAACAGTTCCTGTACTTTTGGAAGTCGCATGGGGAAGAATTTCATCAATTCTTTGGCTTTTCTACTAAAGGCCTGCACTAAAGAGAAAAGCCAGCTGCTATAATTGTCCCTTTTGTTCAAGGGTTAAACATATGCAATATTATTTAGTTGATTTGTTAGTTAGGAATACAATCCTAATACAATTTTCTGTTATTAAGTGGTATGGAAGTATACATATAAATGCATCAATCAATAAATAAATGCATCAAAAACAAATGTAAATACATTTTGTTCTTTGCAAGAATTTTTTTCTTCTAATTAAGAATTTAGAGAAGGTCATTCCATCCATCTGGTGCAGTCCTATGCATAATCCACTCCATTTAAGTATTTAGAGAGCTACAAACTAGGCAAAAGCCTTGTGCAGAAGAAGCCCACACATTCTGGTTTAGGGTAAAGGTGGGCAGTAATAGTAACAGTAAAATTAAATGTTTTCTCCGATACTTGGCAAGTTAGAAGTACTGGCCCTCCAACTCTTTTCCAGCACAGTGGCAGGCCCCACGTACTGGGTGTGAAGCCATGAAAAGCCCCTTGTAATTAATTCCTGAATACAATACTCTTAATGTATCATTTCGTGTTAGTTACACATCTTGCACGAGGATCAGTGGCTGAAACTGATACCGTCTGGGCACAATCCTATGTATGTTTAGATGGAAAAAAGCGCTATAATTTCCAACATTCCCCAGCCTGCTCGCTTAAGAATATCGAGCTTTGCAGGCCTTTTTTCTGCTCAAACACGATTGCTTCCTTCGATTCTTACCGGGAAGGATTACAAGAAGAATGTACAGTAATGTACTAAAAAGAAGCCCAAGCAAAAGACAGAAATCCCAACAGACACTTTCAAAGGGAAAACAACTGGTTTAATATACGTTATTAAAGCAAAGCCCTCCTGGATGGCTTCGAATGCCTTTCAAAATTCGTACACACCATCAATAAATCGATCACCCGGTGGGTCCGGACCAATCAAAGGACGGCACGCAACAAACTTCAACCTATCAGAACGCAGTGTGAATTTGTGGCGTTTCCAGAGAGTATGGCTGATGACGCAACAAAGCACGAGGAGGGCGTGTACGGCCACGCCCCAAACAAGTAAGGGCGGGGCTAGATTGCACCAATTAGGAAAGGTGGTGATCCGGAAGCGGAAATCGGGCGGAGGGGGAGTCTGACAGCGGCTTCACCAGCGGTCGGGATGAATATCCTTCCTAAGAAGTCGTGGCACGTGAGGAATAAGGATAATGTGGCCCGGGTGCGACGGGACGAGGCGGAGGCCGAAGCGCAGCGGCAAAAGAGAGAGGCTCGCGTCTTGCTTGCCGAACAGGAGGTATGTAGTGACCGTAGCGCATGCGCAAATGGGAGGGCACCGTTAAAATACAAGCACTGCGCATGTGCTGTTCAGCCTCGGCTTGGCAGAAATACAATAATCGAATAGTAGAATTAGACCATCGGGGCCTACTCCATGCTCAATGCAAGGTTCCAAGTTAAACCGTCCCTCGCCGATGGCTGTTCAGTTGCAGTTTGAATGCCTCTAGGCTAGAATAGCCCAGAATGTCGTATCTCACTCGTTCCATTGTACTGTTCTAACAGTCATGTCACTTTTTGGTTCTTATGGCAGAAAGAGTATGGTTCAGTTCTCCCCTCTGTGTGAAAAAAAATCACGTTCACAGAAAGTGTGCACTTCTATTCTCCGTTCACCTTCATAAGGTGGTTTGCAGCTGGTTGTTGTTGTTAGTCGTGAAGTCGTGTCTGACCCATCGCGACCCCATGGACAACACTCCTCCAGGCCTTCCTGTCCTCCACCATCCCCAGAGTCCACCTAAGCTCATGCCGACTGCTTCAGTGACTCCATCTAGCCACCTCATCCTCTGCCGTCCCCTTCTTCTTTTGCCATCTATTGTTCCCAGCATTAGGCTCTTCTCCAGGGAGTTCTTCCTTCTCATTAGGTGGCCAAAGTATTTGAGTTTCATCTTCAGGATCTGGCCTTCTAAAGAGCAGTCAGGGTTGATCTCCTCTAGGACTGACCGGTTTGATCGCCTTGCGGTCCAAGGGACTCGCAGAGTCTCCTCCAGCACCACAATTCAAAGGCCTCAGTTCTTCGACGCTCAGCCTTCCTTATGGTCCAACTTTCACAGCCATACATTGCAACTAGGAAAACCATAGCCTTGACTATACGCACTTTACCTTGCAGCTGGTAGGATACATTAAATGAGGATTCACCAGCTTAATACACAAGGAGCTGGCAACAAAAGACATGACACACACACCCTTTCAAATAGAGCTACTAAATCCTCCATGAAGTGTGCAAGAGAGGGAGTTGCATGGGCATCTTAGTGGAGAGAACTCCACTGATGCATGCCCACTGCTAAAAAGGTGCTGACCCTGTTTCTTACTAATTACTATTTTAATTGTTATAAAACTACAAGCATGAACAAAAACCTAAATTCATGTACGTTATTTGAATAACATGTTGAAGTAGTGAATAAGGATAAGTATTGCATTGCTGTTTATTATTCCAAAACAAGTATTGCTCATTTGGAAATAAATTTGCATAGTGTTGGGTGGCACAATGCAAATTTGCTAGATACAAATGAAGGTTTGAAAGAGCAATCTCTACTCATTCTAAACTAAAAGAATCCAGGAAAAGCCTGTCTGCTGAAAGAATAAACCAGCCTGAAGACTCCAGCTTGAAATTTCTGAACTAAATTTGATTAGCAGTTTTGATTCTGTTTGTTTGGTGCTTGATGCAGACTGGCATTTTGTCTTCTACTGCCAGTGGGGAACTACTAGATTCACTGTGCTGATCTTGTAGATCAGCTTTCCCTGACCAACCATCCTCCAGTTATTTCACTTCACTTTAATACTTGCTCTTGACTTCTGCCCACCCAATTCCATTGCAAGAAGGCACAAAAATATTTGGATTAAAAATGGTGTTCCCTCTTTAACACTTCTCTTTTGATCCATTTTCCCCCTCACTATTTGTGCATTCAGAAATATGGCTAAATCGGTCTGCAATATGACTGCATACTGGCTGTAGTGCACTGAGACACAGGCTTGTAAAGAGTAGCATGAGAGACTGAAAAACTGGGAAGGGGAAGGTAGAGAGTTACAACAGCAGAAGAATGTGTGTCAAAAAGGTTGCTGGTGGAGGCAGGGAAGAGATATGGGTGAAACATGCTCCTTTTGATTCTAGGCCCGGACTGAGTTCCTGCGCAAGAAAGCACGCCTGTCAGCTCCAGGGGCTGCTGATAGCAACTTGGATCTCCTCTCCTTAAGCTCAGAAGAGGCCTCACACCATTTGAACCTCTTTCAAGAGTCGCAAAGAAGTGGCAACAAAGAATATGCAGAAGAAAAGAGGCAAGAGAAGGTAAAAAGGGGAGGGGAGCTTGAGAAGGCTTTGATTCCTTTGGCCTGCAAGCTCCTTTATGCCAGAACTTCCTTCTCCCAGAAACCTTAGGCTAGCTACAACCTCTCCTGCTCCTAGCTCCCTAGATTGCGCCAAGGTCACCTGTAGCAACTTCTTATTCTGGACGGAATAATTAACTGTACACCTGGTAAATTAGACAGTTATCAATTAATGCAGATTAGTAGCAGTTAATTAACCACTCTGTCCCACTGGTGGGCTGATAGAAGCTAGATGTTTTGCTCTCCTCTCTTTCAGTGGAGGTTGACTGAAGAAATGGGATTATAATGTATTAGTTACTATAATTAACAGAATAATTATGTGGTCTCCGGGATCAAAGGATTTGTGTTAGATTTCTCCTCCTGTGTCATTCCTAAGAACTTGGGAAGGGGGATTCAACATCCGATCACTCCCCTGCTTCATCCCTGCCAGCAGTGTGACTCAAGGAAGGTGTAACAAAAAGCAGGACAGTTGGAAGGCTGTTGTCCCTCCCCACCACTGATCAATCCGCTAGATGGGCTTAGAGGCCCACCTACCTGAACTTGTTTGGTGTATCTTAGGAGGAACAGCAGGTGGAATCACCTTGGTTAATCCTCTTGCGCTGCCTGGCTTTTGCTTAAAAGGGTTTTGGATAGGAAAAGGACCCCGGCCTATAACAACCTAGAAGGGAAAACATATTCTGAACTGGAAGCTCAGTGAATAGATTGTGTGTATCTGCCACTCTAACATTCTGAGTGCTGGATGAGAGGCTACTGGAAACTGTTGAGCTTTTCTCTCCAAGGAGTATGTGGAGAAATAATTCACAGGGAGCATCCTCATATGGGTGGCACTGACAGTGCATGGAGTGACTTTGTTGGGTTCCTTTACTCCTAGGAGCGGCAGGAAAAAGCACTGGGTATCCTCACTTACTTGGGCCAGAGTGCAGCAGAGGCTCAGACAAGTCTTCCCTGGTACCAGGAGCTGCCAGGTCGGAGCAAGGCCATGGCCAAGGATGAGAAGCTGAAAGGGAAGCTGGACCCGCTGGTCGAGATGGAAAGGCATCTGCGGAAGAAGAAAGGCTCCCATAAGAAAGAGGAGAAGAAAGAAAAAGCAGCGTGGAAGCAAAGGGAAAGCAAAGGAAACTTGGCAGCTAGGTGTGCATGAGGGCCTCGGCAGTCTAGGACAGAGCACCAAGAATGAGATGCTTCCAGCTTCTCTTCCTTGCTGGCATCAGACACAACTAGTTGAGTCTGGATACCCAGACTAGAGTCTGCCCATCTTAAGGGGAAGGAAGATTGCAGATGGGGGTAAAGCAGCTTGTACCTTGAAGCGACCCCTTGGAAAAAGGAAGTCTTTTGTGCCTGTAACTGGCACCCTGACATTCTCCCGCTGCTGTTATTCCTTCTATTTAGGGAGGGGGAATTAAGCTGTTTCCCCAGTTTTACCAAAAACCAGGCTGCTATTGATGTATAGTTGTTCCTGGGTCCCAGGATGTAGCTTGAAGGAGTATGGAAAAACCAACCTTACTGAAGCTAAGCAAGCCTGGGTAGCATGTGGGCAGACCTCCCAGGAATGCTCTGCATGCTGTCAGGAGTTCAGTGGTGGAAGAAACACAGGCTAGCGATAGAGCAACCTTTTAAAAGCCTGGAAGGGGACAATCTTATCTAAGTTTAGACAGGGAAGTGGCTTGTAACTCCCAGCCTGCCCAGGCCCTTTTCCTTCTAAACTTGTCTAGGATTGTGCCTTAAATTTTCAGATTGTGAAGGATCTGTTACCGGAAATATTAGGTTGCTGCCTAAGTCATGTCAGGGGTATTGGGGATTGAACTTGAGTTTTTTGCAATGTGAAGCAGACATGGAAATATAACACACCACACCTGACAGACGCCTCTTTGCTCTCGTATTCTGTTCACAGTGGCCTGTGGAAAGCCCACAAGTTGGATATGGGTACAACAGCATCCTTCTTGTCAGTGCCAGCAACTGGTATAGGAGCACATAAGGGCTCTGACTCGTGGTGGGGGTGGTTATAACCCTAATGGCTACTATTATAAAACATTTTTCTATCATGCTTCTGCCAAACACCAGAATGTAGACCTCAAGCCATTCAGGAACTGATAGCATGGCCTGCCTGTCCTGAACTGCTCCTCTTCTTCTTTCAACAGCCTCATTCTCTTATGGGCTTAGTTCCTCTCCTAAAATATAAATGGGCAGCCTCCTTCCTTTATTCCTCCCCTGCAAAAGACCCGGCCATCTGTCACCTAGGATATTGCAACTATTTCACGTGCTGCTGCTTTAGGTGTATCCCGGTAGCCTGCCTCCCTGCAGTTGCCTCAGTGTCTCTCTTCTCTGCCCATCTCCCTCTACCCCCAATTTCCTCTGCAGTTCCAACTCTTCATCTGCACTGTCATCTTTGGAGAAGCTGCGCCAGGAGCGGTTGCACCGTGAAAAGGCAGAACGAGCACGTGCAGCATCTCTTCTGGCCCAGAAGGCAGGAATACTCCAGCCCAAGGAGGAGGAAGAGGAAATGGATGAAAGGAAACGAGGTTACAACTCCCAGTTTCACCCCCAGCTGGCGAGGAAGAGGATCCAGGAGCCTCAGTGAGAGAAACCCTGCCAGTGACTGCATCAAGTGTGTCACGGAGACACAGGCAGCAGGGCCAGAAGAGTGTGCGCTCCTCCTCCTGCACTCCGGAGCATCACGGTGTGGAGAAAAACGAGCCGAGTTGCTTTAGCTGAAGCTGGCCAGTGTACTTTATTCTTAGTAAGCGCAACATATCCCTGTATGGTCGGCTCTGCGCTATTTGCAGAAAGGCTGAAGAAAATGTCAGAACTCCAACTCTATATACTCACCTTACCGTTCTCTGTGGCACACATGCCTTGCCGAAGCTCAAAATAACCTTTTCTACAACTTGGCTGGGACTGCAGCAGTGAACATCAAGGTTTTAGCAGGCTGCATACCATACCGACAGCCTCATTCTTCCCCAGAAGTGTCCCTGTCTCCATTCTTCATAGCCTTCTTCAAGGAAATATTTAAAAAAACTAGATTTGTTCTGCAGCACGTGGGTGCTTTTAAATTTGGTTATGCAACAGAACTGGTGCCTCTTTTAGAGGCGTTTTTAGAGCCTTCTGCCCTGGAATAATAGAGGCAGGAACGAAGTAGAAACAGTTTATCTCTCCTCTCAGCAGGAAGGTCCAGATGAGACCGGAAATGGAACAGCCTGCCACTGCTCAAAAGCATTTATACAATATACTTTCTGTATGATACTGGCGAATGCAGATGGACCTCCATGGAAGACAGAAGTGTTGGATGCCAGAGCTGGGAGCTTCCTTAAAGAAACGGGAGAGAAGAGCAGCCGCGTCTCTTTGCCATTTGCCTGCCTTGCTGCTGCTATGACTGAGTACCTCCCTCCTTTCCAGAGGGCTGTTCTGCTCATAAAAAAGGGAGAACAAGAAGGATTTCCGCCTTTTCTTTGAGTTGCTCGTTTCTGTTGGTAATGAGGCAGAGGGATAAGCAGTGCAGTCCAGGATCATGGTTACAAACTCATTTGCCGTTTGTGTATATTAATGTCATAGAAAAGAAGGGGCAGTATCTGAGGGATATATCTGAAGGAGGGATATGATGAGGTAAGGCGTCTGGAAAAAAGGCAAAAAGCATGGAAGACCCTGCTAATGAATCAAATTATGTAAATCCTGCTTTATGATGGGAGTTGTCTTTCCAACATGTCTAGAGAGCAACCAATCTCTTACCTATGGGGGCAGGTGCCGCGTCAATAGTTGAGAGCTAAACCCCACAGAGGAAGTTTTGTGCTCTCAAACAGCTTGACATGCTAAATACTCTCATCCAGATCACAGCAAACCGCTACCCTCCCTCCCTCAGCATTATATTCTACTAGGTGCCAATGATCCTGGAGTTCCCACTCATCTGCATGTTCCATGGTTTTGGGTACCAGAAAGCAAGATTAGTCAATAGCAACAGCTTGTCCTTTTGTTTGGGATTCTCCTTCCAAGCCTTAAGCCTGGAAGTAACTTTCACTGGGTAGGGTTTATCCCTTTGAACTTGGCAAAAAATGGAGTACCTCTCCATAGAAGAACAGGGTTGTAAGGATATCCAAGTTTGTTTGAAGTACAAAAAAGGGCCCCATGATCACTTTCCATCCAGACCTTTGAAAAAGCCCTTTTTAGCCCTTGATGTCTGCCTGGCGCCCTCATTATAAGGTTAAGACCATTTTATTTAATCAATATTTTAAAATGTTTTAATATTGAATGTTATTGTATTTTATTTACCGTATTTTTTGCTCTATAAGACGCACTTTTTCCCCTTCAAAAGTAAGGGGAAATGTCTGTGCGTCTTATAGAGCGAATGTGTGTGTGCCCGACGGCCGGGACACTGCCGGCTGCCTGCACCACGTGGCACCACCTGGCCGGCACGCGCTCGGCACACCCTGCTCCACCCGCCCCCCTCCAGCGCAGGTGAGAGCTGTGCCGCTCAGGGGGAGGCATGTAGAGGAGGAGGAGCCGCGGCCTTTAACCCGTTGGCCACACGGAGACCCAGACTGCTCACCCCCACCGCCCGGGAAGACCTGCTGCCGCACCACCGGCATGCTGCCGGCCCCACGGGGCACCACTGGCGCAGGTGAGAGCTGTTAATCACAGGTAGGTGTGTGTTTTCAAATGGCAACCCGTCTTTTAATGAAGCACATGGGGAAGTGATGGGGAATGTGCCTGCGATTATCGGGAAGCTTTCCATGGATCAGTTATCTGTTAGTTGGTCAGACACGTTTTTTTTAGGATCAGTGGATATTTGAACAGCATTACCTTCGTGTATGAAGTTTATTCTTCAAAGGCTTAGTCTGCTGTGTGTTTGATTTACCGTACAATATCTCATTTTTTGTCAGAAGTTTTTTTCTATTATTTACTAGTAGGGCAATGTTGACATTACTGGCTTTTTTAGATTTGTTATTGAATTGTCTGCAGCAGCTCTTGTATAACTGGTGTGGATTGTGGATTCCTGCAATAATTCCACTACTGACTAAGAAAGTGATGTCAGTGATTGTGAGCGACAGAGCTTCATAAATTCTGACTCTAGTGATGATGAGTTCTATGGGTTCAACGAAAACTAGAAGAGTACTCAAACTTTAAAGTCTCTCTTTTGTTAATGACAGTGATGATGGTTCCTAATGCCACTGTTGACTGCTGTTCACTTTACAAGGTTGAAATATGGTATTACTGTATTCTGTTACAGTTTAGTAAACCATTTGATTCAGAGTATTTTGTTTTCCTCCTCTAAAAACTAGGTGCGTCTTATAGAGTGAAAAATACGGTACTTGCAGCCAGAGCGGGTCGTCAATTTATTAATGCTGTAAGCCATCCAGAGACATAATTGGACGGCATACAAATTTTATAAATAATGTTTTCAGGCAATTTGAAGGGGTTAATGCAATGCCTGCCAGCACCCCAAATACATCTGGATTTTCCCCTGGGCAAGGGGAAAAATTGTTTTGCACAGCTCCTTGCTTTTCAAGGCAGGTTAGAAGGGCTAAAAAAAATTAAAGAAAAAAGGAACCCTCTGCAGTCCAGTGATGCAGATTCAGTAGGGCATGTAGTGTGCATGTGAAAATGGATTCTCTCACTTGTTTCCTAACTCCTCACAGAAGTTAAACTGACAGGCGGACATTTCTCATAGTCAGCATCAGCACACCATCCTGAGCTGCAGTTTCCCTGATGCACAAAGAGAAAAGATGCTTGAATTTCGTTTTTCCCCTACTCCCACCTTGTCGACGAATAATTGTTCTGGTTTCCCCCATTCTCTACAAGAGAAGAAGAACACTCATATAAAACTATTTATTCATAAATATTTTCCAAAACGAAAATAGGCTTACGAAAAAATATCTTAACAGCGGCATGGGCAGGGAGCTCCAGTTCAGGGGGGCTGGACGAGGAGAGATGAGAGGAATACTGCAGTCTTCCCACCTCCCTGGGGTTTCCCCAGATCTTTCCCCTCCAATCAGGAATCCATTGCAAGTCATCAAGGGGGAGGGTTCTCTCTGCAGGAGGAGCGGCAGATTGGATGCGAGCTCATACCAGATTTAGGAGTGGCAACAAAATTTTTGGAAAGGGGGCAGGGAGGAAAAAAGCAGCAATTGGGAGCTCGATGAGCCTCCCAAAGTCAGAAGTTCCAGTCAGGAAAGGTCATTTTGGGACTCTTCCAACCAGGGCAGATAGACATTGCGTGTCTCTTCAGGGTATCACTTGCAAAAACCAAGTAGAAGGGTAGCCAATGAATTAGTGGAGGTGCCAGTCCACCAAAATACTGTCGTACTGGGTCTTTTCCAGCCACAGGTTGGCTTCCCCAGTTTGAAAAAATTTGAAGGTTTGCCTTTTGGCCATTTCTAGTGGTGACAGATGGGCAAGGGTGGAGGCGCCATGGAACATTCTCCGTACAGGGAATCCACGGGGCTCTACGCCTGCGGTGTCCCCCCTTGGGCATATTACACATGGAAGGGGAGAGTCACACCAAGAGGGCTGGGGGTGGGCACAAAGAAGAACTGGGTGTGTGTGTGCTGCAGTGGGCCAGGGACTGGAATCCTTTGATTCAGGACACACAAAAATGGAGATCGGGGGAATTCACTCTCTTGCTGGGATTCTCAAATTCTTTTTTTTTTTAATCTCCACTCTTTCACCCCAAACCTGGTGCACAAGGGTATTTCTCCGTTTTTCTGACCTCTTCATCCACATTTCAGGCGGAAGAGAGCAAAGAAAAGGCAGAGGAGAATCCCGCTGGTGCCGCCCCTCCTCCGTCCCGCGGTTGCTTTTAAAACTTGCATGCATTTTTTGTTAATGTGCAGCTTGCCCCATCCCCCCTGGGGTTGTGATATTGGGGGGTGGATGATGGAGTGAGGTGAGGGTTGGTTGGTCTTCCTCTGCTGCTGCCCCCAGTGCACTGCAGCTGTCTCTGGAAGGAAGGCTTGGCACCCCCTGCTGGCCCCAGGGCATCACTGCAGGTCCCGGTCTTCCAGGTAGCGGTATTCAAAGGTGAACCCCTCCTTTTTGCGCTGGCCCCATTTCTCATAATCAAAGTAGATGTAAGTGCCCTAGGCAAGAAGAGAGTGCAAAAGGTTGGTTCCATCAAGCACGAAGGCCTGCTGCAAGCCCTGCTCCTACATCCATACCATCAGGAAAAAGCAAGATCCAGCTACAAACCTACGCATGGTGAAATTCATTCGGCCTAGATTTAACTTGTAGCATTTGAGGGGGGGAGGCTGCTAGTCCTCATGGTTGTGTGAATGGCTGGATGAAGCTCTGCAAAAGCTCAATCGCTTTTCCTGCCCTCATTTCCTCTACCCCCCCCTTTTGCGTTCTTTCTGTGATCATGCACGGGGGATGGAAATCCACTGGCCGCGCCCAAGGAGATTCTGTGATCACCTTCCCTCTCACCTGCTCGAATTCATCAGTGATGGTCTTGGGTTCTTCGTGCCGCTGAAACCACATCATGTACTTTGTGTGGAAGCGCCATGATTGCTTCTTCAGTGCCTTTGCTGCCAGGTACTGTGCCTTTGTGCCCTTCAGAGTGGAAGGAAACGGGCTGGGTTCAGGGATATATATAATCCAGGATTCTGTGTGTGTGTAGGGGGAGGGAGTGTACATGTGTAACACAACACAAGCAGAATGGGATCCCTGAATGCATCAGTGTGGGGTCGGGAGAGATGAGAGGAAGCAGTATTATCCTTCGGGAACTATCCAAGGGGTTCTGACTTCATACCTCCAGGTAGTAGAAGATGAAGAAAAGGGTCTCCGTGGAGAGGCGCTGGTAGAATTCCACAGTATCGGAGTGTGGGGGAGGCATCTGGTGGTGGTATGGAGGGGTTGGGCAGGGGTTGCGAGGCAGGTATTGCCTACAGGATCGAAGGGGGGAAAATGAGAGAGAAGCCGGAGAGATGAGTTTGTAAAAACATCTGAGACTCTTGGCGCCCAGCTCCATCCCGGTAGTGCCTGAGCAATACAACAAGGGAGCCGAGGATTTAAGGAGGTGGTAGGACTCCCACATGGGAGGCATCCAAGATGCAGCTGGACAGCCATCTGGCAGGGATGCTAAGTCGGAGTCCTGCACGGAGTGCGGGGTTGAGCCCCATAGCCATCTTGGCTGCTTCCAACTCTACTATTCTAGGAGAGCAATCCATTTCCTCATGTCCACTGCTAGGCCTTTGGATCTCTTTTTCTGTCACTTCAATAGAACATTCATGGCCTTTAGCCACCTTGTCATGCTTAAGAGGAGTTTTGCTAACCCTTGTGGCAAGCTCACTGCAGACATGAGCGCTTTTGAACTGTCTTTGCAATTTAAATGTTGCACCAAAGATTTGACAAGTTCAGAACACACAGAAATCCAGGCTTTGAATGGCCTGTTCTTTCACAGCGGGTGTCAGTTAATTCTTGACCCTCCTCCTCCTCCATTCCTTCCCACCAACCCCCAAGCCTCCTTACCGAATCCTTTCCGAATCGGAGGGATGGGGCATGTGGTGCCAGGCAGCCTCCTCCATGGCCTGCTGGTAGAGCTGCTCCTTGCTGAGAGGCACAGGACCCAGGGGGCACACCCCAAGCGAGAGGGGGATGTTCACCTCGGATAACTGGATGGGGGGCTGATTGGAGGCCGGCTGGGAGGTCGTGCTAGTTATTAAGATGTCAGCTGGAGTGGAAAAGCGGGGTGGGGGAAGGAACCACTCAGAAGTGACTCAACACACACTCAGTAAACCATCAAAGCGGCCACCGATCAGGAAGTATTTCTTAAATTCTCCACCATTTCTCAAACTCGCTTAACCTCTGCCACCCCCACTCCCTATGTTATCAGAACCCAACACGGCTGCTGCATTTCCTCTTCCAGTGCCCGAGATCAGGCATGCTCTCTCTCACAACACAAGACTTTCCATCTCTTCCGCAAACACTGTTGTCCTCTCTCTCATACTGCACCTTTATTTTACTGCTTGGAAGATACTAGATGTCCTTCACTTTAAGGCACTTTGTCCTTTGGTTTCACCCCACAGAAACTAAGAGGGTCAGGAAGTAGAAGGTCCTGGGCCAACATCTGGCCTGGTGGGATGCATTTATTTGTATTCAGCCAACACAGAAGGTGAGTGTGAGGGAGAGGCAGCTGTAGCAAGTGCACCCACAACAGGCTACTTGTGAGGACGGGTCCCTGGAGTAGATTGGGGGCCTTAGCCCAGCACATCTCATGCAGAGCAGTTGTTCAGGAAAACCAATTTCTGGTCAAGAATCCACTTTGCAACACGGACAGAGATGCTGAAAGGCTTGGATGCTGCATCCCCAACACAGAGGTGTTTCCACCAAGGAACCCTTTGGCCCTGCTCCTCATCCACAGCTCCACAGAGGAGATATGCCCTTCGCACTCACCCCTTTCAGCAAGATGAAGTGATGGCACAGGGTCCTCTATGCTAGAGCTGATAGCTGCCCTCTCAGCCATTGACTTCAAACTACTCAGAGGCTCAGGTGCCTGCAGAGCAAAAGACAAACCTTAGGAAGGAGAGCAAGGGAGAAAGAAGACAACAAGCACAGCCTAGTAACTCTGCTGTAAAAGAGGGAAAAGTCAGAACCGTCCACATCTCCAGGGTTAAATTACCCCAAGGGGCAGAGAAGATTCCATGAGACAAGCACACCCACATGAACCAGCCCAAGTTCTTATAGCGATCAGAGCAAGGGCCTATCTTGTCCAGGTTTCTGTTCCCACAGTGGCCAGCCTGGTGCTCAGAGGAAGCCCCCAGTCCAGACAGGAATAGTCTCATTCTTCTGGTTCCACAGCAATTGGAATTCCGAAGTACAAGACCTCCGACACTGGCAGTAAGATACGGCCATTATGAACCACAGTCCTCAAAATGTTACCTTCCACAAATTGTCTGGTATCCTTTTAAAGCTGTCCAACTTAGCTGCCATTGGTACATGAACACTATACTGTGAAGCAGTACCTTCCTCTTTCCTGACTCTTACGTCATGTGGTTTAATCGGACGATCCCAGGTCCTAATATTACGAGGAGAAAAACCACCTTCCTTTCCACTTTTTCCACATGATGCACCATTCTAGACTGTTTCATTGTATCTGTTGCTTGCCTTTTTTTTCCTGGCCTAAAACAGTCTCATAGATGGTATTGTATGACCCGCCCCTCACAGGGCAGCTGCTCTATCCGATCATCTTGTCTGCTCTTTTCTGCCCCTTCCTCTCTCTACATCAACAGAACTATACAAGGCACTCCAAGTGTGTTTGCAGCACTTACTTCCATAAGGGCAACATGATACTGGGAGTTTTATTCTAACTTTTCTTAATAATCCCCAAGTTAGAATGTGGCTTTTCCAAACTGGGTTGACGTTTTCATTCACCACAAACCCAAGATTCCTTTCTTCATTAAGTCACTGGCAGCTCAGACACAGAGGGATGTATGAGTATACGTAAAGCGAAAATGTTTTGCTCCAACATTACCACTTTAAAAGAGCAACTACTGTCAAATAGCGCTGAGCCTGCCAGTTCGGGGAAGGATGCTTGTTTTACAAATCTAGGGGCACCAGGTTTGGAGAGGGCCGATGTTTTCTCCTCTCCATTCTGTTGTTTAACCAGTATGGGACAGGTTAGCTTCTCACCTTGATCTCGGGCGTCGAGCTGAACTGGGGTGGCCCATTGAGCAGGGTCTGGGCAGGCTTGCTGTCAGAGAAGCTGGGTGTGGGAGACACAGGCGGGTTGGCAGTCAGAGGCACCAGGAGGCTGGACCCAGTGCTGCTGCCACTGCTTGGTGGCTGAGGAGCCGCACTGGGCTCTTTCCTGCAGTGGGGGAAAAGATGCAACCAATGTACATTCCAGAGAACAGCCTGTCCCTTCAAAGCCATCGCTGGAAGGATGCAGCTTCCAGATCACTTTGATTAAAACCACCTGCGGTGCGAGCAGCCAGGAATGCTTTTACCAGCCTAGTCTGGGTTGCCGCTGGAAAACTGGAGAAAGCAGACCTTGCTTCAGCTGCACATGCTCTGGCTGCAGCCAGAGCGGACTGACATCATGTATTTTACATGGGGCTGTTTTTGTGGACTTCAAGAACTACCAAGTGGTATGGAACAGAGTAGTGAGATGCTTGCAGGCCAGGTGTTCAGAGCAGTTACACCAATACCGAGCCAGTTCACTGGCTGTCTGTTCAGTTCCAGGTTCAATATAAAATAGTTTCAACTTTAAAGACATAAATGAGGTGAAGGCATTGAAAGGCTGGTCTATACACATCCGAGTCTATCTTTAGAAGCCCTGCTGGGAAAGTCCACCAGGCTGGCGAATACCAGAGACCCCGCCTCTTTGGTGCTGGCCCCAGGTGACCTTTCAAATTCTCTCCCTATGGAGCCATGCAGGACCCCATCTGTACAGACTCAAGATTTTTGTTTCAGTAATGCTGGGTATGATTAAAGCTCCTGAGGTTTGTATAATGAAATTTCTCAGATGATTTTGAACATCGTGTCTTGTCATGTCCGTGTCTGACACAATTTTTAGTTCTCTCTTTTCCATAGTATGTTATAATCAGAGTGGCTTACAAAATAAGATCAATGGACAATTCCTAAACTCTAACACAGTAGCAAAACAAGCAGATCATTAAAACCTTAAGCATTTGTTAGAATAGGTAGCTTTTGAAAACCCATTTAAACATTGGACATGATGGATCTCTGTCAAATTTGGAGGGTGTTCCAAATTTTCAGCACCACTAGTGAAAAGGCAGTCTTTCTTTGCACCTGCTAGTTCTCTCTCCAATAATAACAGGAAAAAGGAAGGATGCCAGAGTGTCTTAAGGCTCAGAAAATGTACTGTAAGAGAAAGCCACACTTGAATTATAGTGGTGCTTGGACTTTCAAAGTTCACACTAGCACTTTAAGCTGAGCCCAGAAAGAGGCTCAGCTCGAAACACAGAACTTAAGTTCATTGGTTGAGTTATTTAGCGAAAGAAAATGCATAGGGGGCGCGGTGAAGAAAATAAGAGCGCTTTCTGAAAAGTGATGAATCACAGAGTCATAAGTTAGAAGAGGCCACTGGGTCCAGCCCCCCCAGTCAATGCAGAACTCCAAGGTAAATCATCCCCAGCAGATGTGGTCCATGCCTCCAGTGCGGGAGAGCCCATGACCTCCCTGGGTCATTGGATCCACTGTCATATTGCTCAAACAGCCAGGAAGATTCTCCTGAAGTCCAGCCAGAATCTGGCTTCCTAGAACTTGAGCCCAGTATTCCATGCACTGCACTCTAGGATGATCCGGAAGAGATGCTGGCCACATGGGAAAAACTCACGTGGAAGCGCTAGGCGGGTTGTGCGGTGCTGTCTGATTAGGCAACGACTGGTTGCTGCTGCTTAGTGTTGAATCCGAACTGCTGTCAGCTACCACAGAACTGTAACCTGGACAGGAGACGAGAAAGCAGCTCTGTGGCTGGCATTTTGCACTGACCAATCCCACGATCACAGAGGCAAGGGAGACATGATCTGGGTTCGAATTCTGGCCCAGCCATGAATCCAGTGGAGCAGGTGGTCACTTCATCCCGCTTCTGTCTTCTCCCTCCCACACAATCAGTCAAGCGGCAACTTGCCTACCAGCCCCCCCACTGCTACCTGACCAGAAGGAAAGCAGCCGAGCCTGCTCGTGTGTCTGCATGCAAGGATTTGCCGCTTTAAGGCCTCAAAAGCAGAACGGCAGCTTCCCCTTTTCCCTTCATTGCAGCACTGCTAAGGGAGAAGCTGTACCTGGGAAAAATTGCTCAGGCTCCACTGGACTCTTCCCCGAAAGGCCAGTTCCCAGGGGCTGGGGCAGCCAGGACTACCCTCTCTCCTGAAGCAAGTCCTGCCTGAGTCCCGTCTTCTAAGCCAAGAAGCAACCTATGCATTTCCTCCTTCCCCCACTGCAGTCTTGGGGATGAGACCTTTTCAGAAAAAGGCATGGTCCTCTTTAGCAGAACACCTGTCAAATCACCTTCCTATTTCTTCAGATACCGTATTTCACTTCTGATTGATCACTCACTCCAATGAAATTGAAGTGCAACTGTATTTTTTCACATTTGTCCTGCACTTTCCCATCACCTGCCACTCAATCCCTTTTTCTAACGGGCAAGGGCATGGGCTGGCGCACTCATCTTCTGCATGTAAAGCGCATGTTCGCTACCGACCGACCTGCAGTTCCTCCTTCCTTTGCTAGTGCTATGAAACGAAAGCAATCCGTTCACCAGGTACACGGAATGTAAGCGATGCTTTCGAAGCAAGGAAGGCTCATGGGCTGCCCCCGCTTCCAGCAGCTCCGAGCACCTTCTTCAGAGACCCTGATCTGCAGCACAAGAGCCATTTCTACACCCAGGTTCCTCCGGAGGGCCTGGCACAGCCCCCGCCAACCCCAGTACGGACTCACTGGTTGCCCCGTTCTGCTTGCTGGCGTTCTGCTGGGTGCTGGGAGGCCGGGGCTGCGCGGCGTTCGTGCTGGTGGGTGGCGGTGCCACCGCCTGGGCATAGGGGGTGGGGGTGGTTGGTGCATGGCCTGCCGGAGGGTTGGCTTTGCTGCCCGCGTTCCCGCTGCCGGCCACGGCCCCGTTGCTGTTGGAGCCAGGCCCGTTCCCCAGCGACGACGAAGTGCTGGAGCTGCCGCTCGTCGGGTAGCTGGGGGGGATGGCAGGCGGCGGCTGGTGGTGGTTGTTGTGGAGGCTTTTGGAACCGTTCTTCGCTGGGGACTGGGGAGAACAGAGGGTGGAGAGAAGATTTAGCCGGTGAACACTTCCCTCCACGCGGCCGGAGAGACGACGAGGGACGCGGCAAGCGGCCCTGCTGGATCAGCCCGAGAGGTCACCGAGCCCAGCAATCTGCTCCCACCCTGGCCAACCGGCTGCCCACAACCAGGACAGGAGGGCGACAGCACCCTCCCGACCATGTTCCCCAGCAACTGGTCTACAGTGGCAGATGTCTCCGACCCTGGAGGGGAACACAGCCACCGACAGCCTTCTCCCTCAGGAAAGCGTCCAATCCCCTTTTAAGGCCCTCCAAATTAGTGGCCACCCCAACTCTCAAATCCTGGTTCTCTTGTCCCTCTCCAAGTGAAGGACCTCTGTTCAAACATACTGCTCTTACTGTGGAATAGTTCTTGTATAGGGTTGTACAACCGCCAAGTGCATGCCAGGTCACATTAACTTCTCTGTCCTCTAAAAGCTAATTATGTAGGAAAATAGACAAGGCAGGAACTCTGCTCTACAGTCAGAGTGAATTGGATGGATCCCTCCCAAAGGAAGAAAAACGCCCCCCTGTGCATTCTGCAAGGGGTACGGTCTCCGCAAGAGGGTTATACCGAAGAAACCATATTTGGAAATGGCAGTCGCCCACTAGCTGCCTTCCTACAACCCCAACTCTACAGAAGCCCAGGAATTCTAACCCCATATGCCTTTCCCAAAGAGAAAGTGCCTCGCTCCTTCCCTCAAGTCATTAGGAGATGCAGCCCGGGCTCCACACTCACTTGGCTTACTTCACTGTCTGTGGACCGTCCCCGTTTCTTGTCATCTTCAGAGTTCTCCTAAAGGGAGAAAGGTCAGAACATACATCATCCTGAGGGTAGGCAGAAGGCAGATTTCCACTTGCTTGGGATGACCGCAGCTCCCGCAAGACCTGCCAGCATTGCCAGCTGTTGGGAGCGGAAGACCAAAACATCTGGCAATCTACTGTCTACTCTCCCGTCCTACAGAAGCAGCGGTGCCTATACACTTTCGAGCAGGCTAAAGGCCTGCCCCTGGAAAAGCAGGGGTGAGCGTCTCCTTACCGTCGTACAGTTTGCGGGGCTGGGTGGGATGGGGGAGCTGGATGTGGTGGAGGTGGGTGTGCTGCTGGACTGGTTGAACATCTCGTCCTCCATGTGGCTGTGGCTGGGTGGGGACGTGGCTACCAGGGCCTGTGCTGCAGAGCCAAGAACAAAGAGGTGTTTATGAAGCAGGGCCAGAGCAGACGATCGGCCCAGTCGAACCGGCGGCATGGCTGTAACACAGCAAGAATGCACTGCTGCAGCCCTTCCGCAGCATTCAGTGATTATAGCTCTCGCATCGCTAAATCCCACTGCTACTGCTTGGGGGAAGCCTCAGTTAAAAGTAAACTAGCATAATAGAAAAGTTCAGCACATGATTAGCATATTTAATAGGCTTCCTCCATCCGACGCCCTCAAGATGCACCGGACAACTCCTCCCACCACTCCCTGGCCCCAAATTCCGGAGGGAAACTTACGAATGTCTTCTAAGTCGAGGTCATCATAGAGGAACTCATTCTCCTCAAAATCAGGTTCCTGCGAGGAATCCACGTAGTACTCCACATCATCCTTGATCTTGCGGATGGAGTCCACGTTGATGGAGTCGTTGTCCAGCATACGCAGAATTGTTTCCAGCATCCGGATGTGGTACCGGTGCTTCTCAATGTGCCGTTTCAGACCCTCAATCCGGTCTTGTTTCTGCGTGCGCACGTGGGGAGAAGAGGACAGGAAAAAAGACCGCATCAGCACAGTTCAAGCACCAGTTTAGGCCTGAGACCAGCCAGGTTCAAATCCCCAGCCAGCTAACTGGGCGGACTGGGCCAGCCACGGTTCTCCCAGCCCAAGTGACCTCACGCAGTCACTGTAAGGATAACATGTTGGTAGAGGAGAAAGAACCGTGCAAGTTGCCTCAAGCTCTTTCAGGGAGGACTAGTGGGACAGAAGTACAGTGTCCTCCTATGAATTGTGTTGAAGGCCAAGGCATCCTGACTCCTACGTTTGTTTCCACCAGTCTGGAAACCATCTGACCCAAATCCCTGAACAATTTGGCCTCGCACAGACTGCCTTTTCCAAAGTCAAACCAAAAGCCCGGTGCTGCACCCCCATAATCCAGGAGCTGAGCCTGGCCAAAGAGAATAAATGGAAAGGGAGTTTCAGTGGCTGCCTCTCCAGTGTCCTCCTCTTTGGGGAGCCTACTGTGGCATGGCCGTGCGTGCCCAGGCCCCCTCACTCCGTGCAGAGTCCCTTATCAACTCACATCCTTGTCTCCTTTCTTCTTGCGCGTTTGGACAGAGAGCGACTCCACTTCACTCTCAAACTGATCCACCTGCATGTTCAAGGTGTCTATAGTATTCTGGAGGGAGAGAGGGTGGGGGAGAGCACAGATCATTCTTCAGGCAGCCTCTGGGGAGTGTGGACACCCTCAGGTGCTAGCCAGTAAGCAGAAATACCAGTAAGGGACTGGGAGAAATACTGCTAATTCAGTGTCATGTTCAGAGGAAGCAGACCTCTAGCTAGCAGATGAAGGGCACAGACAACCAGAGGTTAAGTCTTCTGCTTGTGAGCATCCAGAGAAACCTGTCTGGGTTCCCCAAGGGATGGCCAAGGCCTCACCCAGCAAGGCAGCCTTTGTGTTTTTCATCCATGCCACCAACTCCATTCCCTTCAGATCTTACTGGCTAGATCTCTACTACTCAAACTTTTTTTACCGGTCAAAAAAAGTTGTCAAACACTTGCATCAAATGGAAGCCTTGCAGCAACTTAAAGGCCAATGTATTTATTATGGCATCACGCTTTTGAAGACTATCATCTCCTCTGCGCTTCCGGTCAAGCGTTATCCTGAGCCAAGGTAACTTTACAGACTGGGTGCTACCAGGCCGTACTTTTGAGGCTGTGGGATTGGCTCGCATCAAACAGGGAATTTGATGGTTGGGGGGAACCAGATAGACAGATACATGTATATGAAAGAAAGAGCGACAGAGTAAGAGCGAGCGCACCCATTTCTTCCGCCACTGGTTCTTGCCTCCATTTTCTGACTGCAGACAATTGACTAAGGGGTGAAAATCAGAGCTGCTGTGCAGTGCCTCTTGATGCCAGGCACCTTCCATGAGGAAGGGGACGGGGATACATGAGGGAGTCCGAGGGACATCAACCTGATGAAGTACAGACACTGACAATTATGCTATCCTTAACATTCACAAGGCCACTGGCAAAGGTCAGAGATCCTGGCCGCCTTATCACAGTCTGTGTGTTAGGCAGCTTGCCAGCGCTGGGACGTCTGAACCATCACCAGGAAGTTTTGCAAATCGCCACTACTAACATCAGCATCGTCACTGTCTGTACTTTTGCCACTTCAGCTCCTTTGGATCACAGTTTATTCCTCTCGATCCTGAACCAACCATGCCTGCAGGTCAGGATAATATGCCATACATCTGATGGACAGTGGTCCACAAAATTTATGCCATAATACATTTGTCAGTCTTTAAAGTGTCCCAGGAGACTGTTTTTAGACCAATGAATGTAGTTGTCCCTCTGGAAACTGGAAAACTCACTACCATGACAAATGCAAAGAAAAGTACACTGGCAGATCCCAAAATGCAAAACATGAGCTTGACAACCAACAGCTTGCACTGCTACAAATTCCTTCTTAGGTTTCTGAGCCTGAACAGCACACAAAGTCAGTCCTAAGTGTAACAAATGTTGCATTCTGGAAATATTACTCTAAACTATAAGGTAGACAGCAAAAAGACTTCTCTTTGAAGGCATCCACAGTGGAGTGTCTGGAGTGAAGAGTACCTATTTGCCTATCATGGTAATAAAGCTGAGGGTGGGCAACCTCTGTCCCAGATGTTAAGGCCTACAACTCCCATAATCCCTCACTACTGGCTCTGCTGGCGAGGGCTGGTAAGAGATGTCACCCTCCAGATGTTTGGATCTGCAAGTTGCTCACCATTAGTAGAAAGGCCATTCTTATTTCTACCCCCATGAAGAAGAGAAGCTTTAAATCAGTGCCCCTTTTAGAAAGCCAGAGCTCCTCGCTGCCCCTTCCTGTGTCTCCAAAGCCTCTCTGAAATGGGCCTTCTTCCCCCTTGAGCAGGCAGCCTCATCTTGTTCTTACCGTCAGCCACTGCCCAACTTCCTCCTTTTCCTTCTGAGCTGGGTCCACTTTTTGCGCCAGGCCCAGCCCCTCCTTGGAGTAGGCCTTCGTCTTGGTCTCACGTTCTACTACCTTGAACCTCTCCATTTGCTGGAAAGACAGATTAGAGAGACTTGTTTACTAATCAGGCCAAGGAACAGGTCCAAGGACCACCGCCAAGAAGTCCAAGCTACTGGGATATATTCCCTAGTGATCCTTCAGGACAGGAAAGCAACGAAGTACATAGTGTCAGCAAGGAAGACTAAGAACTGCAGGGGGAAAAAAACCAAGATTAGTTACTCCCCAGAGTACACTTTATATACAGTTTTTGGTTCACAAGTTGGCTCACAACTTAAGGGTGGATTTTCCCAGGCTATGCTTGGTGGCAGGGCAAGAATTCTAATATAAAGAAGGCTTCTAAGAACATTCTAAAGGGGAACTTACTTGTGAAAATCATGCAATTCTCCTTCCTAAATTCTGAAGGGGAACACTCTAAGAAGAGCTGGAATAAGTACTTTCTCTGAGCGTGTAGATCCAGTTTGTATTTAAACTCAAGCCTGGTAGCTGTGTGGGCAAGGAAGTGAACCCCCATCCCAGCAGGATACCCAGCACAGAAGCTAAGTGGGCTGCTCAAGTGGCAGCTTTCCTAACCATCTCATTTTTGTCTCCAATGTTGTTTGTTGAAAAACAGAAACAAAACTGGTGAGCCCCTTTAACCAGGCTGACTCACAACAGAAATGGCAACCTTTAAATGAAATGACCCTTTCACCAGGCTTTGTATACATTCCCTCATAACATGAAGACAGATTTAAAGCAAGGGCAGACAACCTGGTGTCTTCCAGATATTTTGGACTACAATTCCCATCAGCCAATAGTTCAGGTTTATGGGAACTGGAACCCCAAACATATGGAGGGTGGCAGGCTGCCTGCCTCTGCTTTGAGGCATACCCATAGAATATCAGACACACGGGCACAGCATGTACACACAAATGCTTATTTAAGCACATGTGATACGCTTGAGAAAGTTGAGTCGCCCGCAAGTATCCATCACACAAATGCACAACAGCAAATGTGCTTAATTCACAAAGCACCCCCAAGTTTGAATGACACAATTTTGGACCCTGAAAACAGTCCTTACAGATTTGTCACCCAGTCACTCTACTTTTTTGGCACTATAAACAAGCAGCACTTGGGCCGGACATTCGTGCACTAGCAAATGGCAGACGCAAGAGCCACGAAAGTGCAAAGAACAAAAGTAACTTAACAGCTAGTGCGAGCTATCAAGTGAAACACAAGATTCAGCCTGACCCATGCAAATGCTGATATTGGAACCACACTCCTGAAGAACCTGGGCAGGTTGTGGCTTACAGCTCGAGAGACCTTCTGCTCAGGTGTCCTTGAAGCCATCCCCAAATCACCAGCAGCCCAGCCCTCACCTCTATCCCATGCTGCCTCTCTCTGAAGACCGGTGCTGAAGAGATCCTGGGCTCCCCACGGAACTGAGTCCTTTCTCCAACCCAGCTTCTACCTGGGCTGGAAAGGCCAGCTGGCTCACCTTTATGAGGTCACACTGCCTGCCAGCCAATTGCAAAACTGTGGGGGAGGAGCTCAGTGAAGCCAGACCTACAAGACTGCATATGCAGAGAGCAAGAAGCAGCTGAGTTCATCAGGAAAGTCAAGAAACTCCCTTCTTGAAATAACTGCATGAGAGGAAGCATGTCTGATTTTTCACCTTCAGTGGAACCCACCAATTTCCGCCACTACTTCAACATTTTGCCCAACCCTGATGTGCAGCGGCCTGTAGATTATCCCTGGCCTCCTCTTACCGTCTCAATGAGTTTCCGGTTGTCTATTAGCTGCCTTTTGTCCTTAATCTCATTGGATGCAACCCACGTCTTGATCTGGTCCCTCAATCTCTGCAGAACAAGTGTGATTGACAGGAGGGGGGATTTGTTGGCAGAGGAGAGAGAAAAATATCAACCCTAGATTTAAACGCACAGTACCGAAAAGCTGTGATCAGGGCAACAGTCAATCAGAAGGAAAGGCTTAAGGATCACTTATTGCAAGAAACTTGTACTAAAAGCTGCAGCAGAAACAGGGATGCTTAAATTATGTGTTCCCAACAGACTTTGTGTTAGCTTAACCCGGAGGTGAGGAGTCTGTGCACTCCCCCCTCCCCAGTGCTGGGAACACAGGAAGCTGCCTTAGACAGAACCAGCCCATTGGTCCATTTAGCCCAGTACTGTGACCATGACTGGCAGCAGAAGCTCTTCCCCATAGTTCCCGGCTAAGCTTTTTCCCACCTTATAGGAGATGGTAGGGATTGAGCCTGGGACCATCTGCCTGCACACGCTGCCCCTTTAAAGTTGTTCAACTAGAACCTCATCCCCCCTCCCCGGCTGGCTAGAACTGATGGAAATTGAAATCCCACAACTTCTGGTCAGTCCACAGGTTGCCCACACCTGTTCTAAGAAATCTGTTGACTCCCCAAACGTGCTGCACTTTATGGAGACTCAAAACCATTATAATCCCATGTCTCCTTCTAGTCCTGCTTTGCACAATGGCCAAGTTGGCTGGGGATGGTAGGAGCTGTATTCCATTGCATCTGGATGGTACTAGGCTGCTCTGAGCTATGAAGCCATGCCAGCATTCCAACAAACTGAGTTGCAGTTGCTCAAGAAAGCCATTTAATCCAGAGTTAAATACCATGGTGCCTTCCAGAAATTCAGACTACAACACCCATAACCTCTTACAACTGGCTATGCTGGCTGGGGTTTGTGCAAGCATTAGTCCTAGAGGTCTGGAGAACACCGGCATGCCTCACAATGTACTAGACACCTGCCCTACAACACCTGGGCTTCCTACTTCCTGAGCTAAGGAGTGGCCACCTTAAACTCTGAGCTTAACCAATAGGAAACCAGCAAGGAGACAAAGCTCCCCATTTTTCTCTACTTTCTCCTAAAGGACACCTATTCCCACTCCACCCAAACCAAGTATTTTCTTGCAGCACTGGGCTAACAAAAGATACTGAAAGCAGTATAGGCAAATTCTTACCTGGAGTTTTTTAATCTCCTTTTTCAGATCGGCTTCATATTTTTCCTTCTGGTTGGCATTAGCTGCATTGTGGAGCTGCAGCATTGAGAGCAAGTGAACAAAAAAGAGAAAAACAGAGTGTGGGTGGGAAGTGGGCAAGAGCAAACTGGGGGAGCAAATGCCAGGGCCAAAAGGGTTCCACAGGTGATGGGGGGAAGGAAGGAGCAACAGCCTCTGCAATGCAGCAAACACAGGCTGATTTAACAATCCAAGAGGCTGGTGGGAGGTGCAACTCAGGAAGGAAGAAGGCAGCAGCTCCTCACCTTCTGCCAGATATCTTCAAATTGCTCCACGCCTTCTGACACCTTTTTCAAACACCGATCAATCTCACCTGGGAGTGAGAGAAACTACTGCTGAGAGCAATCAGAGAAACCACCTGCCCCTCCCAGCTCATACCTTCTCCTGCAACCCAAGAGGTGAAGAGAGCATAATTAGAGAATCGCCCCCCACATCTCTGCCCTCACCTTATTGATCTGCTAAGCCTGTCCTTCAACCCACAGAGTACGATGACTCCTCTTGCTTATTTTGCTAAATTCCACTCCCCCTTTAGGCTTGTCCATAAAACCCAAGAAGAAGAGAAAGACTTTAGTTCCTAATGTTCTAAGTCATTCCTACTTTCAAAGGAGATGGGGATCTGTTTTCCTCTTTGTTAGTTCTTTTTCTTCCATGTTGCTGTAACCAACTAGGACTCACCCTCTCCCTGAAGCACCCAGGAATCCTGGCTCTCACCTACTCGTTCTGATCAACAGCCCCGACCAAGACCATGGAGACTGCAGGCAGATTCCCTTACCTTGTAGCTTCCTCTTATCTGCCATGTTTCCTTCACTATAGAGGGGCTCTCTTCATACTTTATAGAGCGTCGATGCTTCAAGAAGAAAGAAAGAAAGAAAGAAAGAAAGAAAGAAAGAAAGAAAGAAAGAAAGATGTGTTAGAAGGTAAAGCCAAGACAGAGCTGCTGCCCCCTGCTGGCAGGGGCTAAATGGAGGTAAGTAGGGTAGATAAGATTAGGGTGGCCAGCTGCTTTTTTGCTGAAGGTTACTGCTCCTAACAGCTGTGGAACAGGTGGAAATCCACAGGCAAAGCTTTCTTCATTAGTGCACTCCTGTGATAGAAATCAACAGGAGAGGTTTTTCCTATTAATATCACAGAGCTTCTGTCCATAGAAAGAAATCACTGAAAATCTAGATAAACTGGAATATACTATCAGGGGGAGAGTAGTACTCTCAAGAAAAGAATTAAGAGATGTTGTTTTCCTGAGATAGGCAGAAGCTTAACAGGTGAACCTTTTTCTCAGTACATTCACAATGCAGCACGGGGAAACTTTATTTACTAAATGCGTCATGCAGCGATTAAATGCACAGGGATCCAACAACCACCTTCCCATACTAAAAGGAAATAATCCTAGCTGACAGAGATCTGGAGAGGGATTTCCTACTTTCCCAAGTTTCTCTGGTCACTTTTAAGGATGTGAGCCTTTAGTGCATTACAAGTGACAAATTTAACGAACAGAAAAAACAAAATGAACTTAGGTTAGATTCCTTAAAGAAGTATGCCTCTGGGATCCAGCCTTATTAGGAGAGAAAAAGCAGCTGCACAATCTTTTTTTTCTGGACTCCTACAACCTTGGATTCGAACCAGATCTCACCTATTTATTGCCCAAGTTGATTTTTACAGAAGGCCCAACATTTTGAAAGTTTCACAACTGGAGCAGCTTCTTACTCTCCTTCCTTTGTCCATCCAAAGGCAAACCCCAAACTAGTTGTTAAAGCTAGATGGGAGCCTACCTCAAATCTTTACTTGAAGGCAACGGTGAAGTGTTTTGACAATGGGAAACAAGGGAACTCCTTCAGGGCAGGTACCTGTATTTCTAGCCGAAGTTGTGTTATTTTAACTGGGGGAAGTCAGTGCCTTCTGAGGAGGGCAATATAAAGGCCAGCACTTACCTAGTGGCCCCTGGGCGCTTGCTGTCCGTGTCTCTCCAGCCAGGTTCCTGCGTAGGGAAGAAAAACATATGGCTACTAGCAAGAGGAAACAGCATGCAGGGAAGCATGAGAAACAATGACCAAACCACACTGGTGGACAGAGGGAATTCTGGTGGAATGCAAAGAAGCATAGGCTGCATTTTCTGGGCAGGGCTGACATAAAGCACTTGCATTTTCCTGCTGCATCTGCAAAATTGTTCCTTCTTGCACAACTATTAAAGGCAGAGACGCTTGGGTATGAATAGAGTTGGCAATCCTACCAATCACAAGTAGAAAAACTTTCCATATGACCACAAAGGGAAGCAGCTTTCTTGCTCCCAGACTGTAGAAGATCTGCCACAAATGACCAATATTTGAAAACTTGTGTAAGTGGAACTACCAAGCAAAACAGGCCTATTCAAAAGGCCACACTAGCCCTGATTGTCTTTCTAAAGTTCTCATCTAATGCAAAAGTTCTCCATTCTCTTCTCAGATTTCTGGCTATCAAATCCATAATCTAAGTTTAGGATACAAGCACAGTAGAAACCTAAGGCAATATACCGGGGGGAGGGGCACTTTTAAGGCCCCATGAATTCAAAACAAAGTATCATAACAGGAAGACAGCCTCAAGTCCAGCCTGCTCTCTGCTGTGCTAGTCTTCTCCTTGCAAGGCATTTTAAAAACGACGACTAGGGTATCTGTGAAATGGGACCCCGCCCTCTGCAATAGCACAGTTCATTCTTTCACCTCTTTCCACTATCTGGCAGATAAGGCTTTGACCACTAGACACCATTGCTTTGCCAAGGATTCTGATATCCTTGTGTACACTTATCCCTCCTTCCACTCTCTCAAATAACCTTTTCTTCAAAGAATGTAAGATTCCTGGTTTTCCTATTTCTCCAGTGCCAATGGCTAAATCCCCCCGCCAGGCAACTGCAAGTCCGAATCCCCCACCATTTATCCCTTGCTGAAACAATCCAGAAGACCAACAGCAAACCTGAATTTGGGTGCTCAGGGAGGAAGCTCTGAATATGCTTCCTTTAGTGAGCAAGAGATTATGGCCTAGAGCTGCCTTTAGAATACCGGCAGCCTGGTTCACTGACGGCCTTCTCGGAAACAAATAACGCTCACTTGGAGAAGCTGCCCTTATACAGAGGAAAATAATTAGTCCATCCAGCCCAGTATTGTCAACACAGCTGGGAGCAGCAGCTCTCCAGAGTTTCAGGCTGGGGTTTTTCCTGCTGTACCTGCAGATGCTGGGGTGCTCTGCAAGCAGAGCATATACTCTACCACTGAGTTCAGAGGGAACTTCTCTCCCAAGAAGCATGTTTAGAAGGCAGCTTTAGAGCTCCTCACCCAGAGGGGGTACTTACTCCTCCTGATGCATCACGTTCCTCCTCTACTTGCTGTGGGGCATAACTCAAATCCCACTAGTAAATGAAAGCTAAGGTGGAAGAGGAAGGGGACCACGGAAGAAAAGGGGCTGGATGTTTCTTTTGCCACCAGATGTTGCTTCAGCACTATTAGCTGCAGCTGCAGCCGCTACCAAGTGGTGATCGCTACCTCCATGGCACAAAAAGTTGTATCTGCCTGCTTTTCTGCATCAGTCTGCCTTCCAACGCTGAGGAGTGGGTCCAGTCCGTTAGTATGGACTTGGCTAACAGCATTCTCAGAGTCCAGTTAGTTTGGAATTAAACTAAGCAATATGGAAGCCAACATCTAAGGCTGAAAGCATAGCTTTTAACAGCACGGCGGAAAATAACAGCATTCCTTCAGGAGGGTTGTTGAGGGTGTCTCCTCCCTACCCCCGTTTTTAACTGATCCTGCTGTAGGAAAGCAGCTACTTACAATTTTGTTTCATTTGATCTACATCTGGCCTAGTCATGCACCTCATGGTTTCCCAACCTTCTACATCCACGACACGCCTTATCTGTCAAGAAACAGCTGCATGCTCAAAGGAGTCAGTGGCACGTGTGGGGGCTCCTGTCCCCAGCCTGGAAGGCCTGCCTGATGTTTTAAATGTCAACTGCACACTGTTGTGGTTCAAAACATCTGGAGCACACCAGGTTAGTTGGAGAAATAGAGTTGCCACAGGGCAGGAGTAAGCAGACTTTTAGAACCTGAGATCCACCACCTGGAATGAGATGGCCAGTTCATATATGGGATGGATCAAGGAATGGAATTCCTCTAAAGAAATACTTTGTGATCAGTGCCAGAATCAAGCTCATGCCCCTACTCATAAAATCTACCCCCTCTTTCCCTTCCTACTCCAAACATTATTTTTCACCAGGCAAGTTTCATGTACTATTTAGCAGGTGTGCACGGGACAGAACTGGAACTCAGAAGCCCTTGCTGATACATTACAAGTCACCCAAAAACCTCTCGGCTGGTCCCAAACTACGCTGGGCCCCCTCCTAAGGAGGGCAATCACATAAGGTGGGGCACGAACCAGGCAGGCTGGGTCTCAGCAGCGCAGCGCACCTGCTCGGACTGAGCATTCCGTATGAAACTGCTTTGCGCTGGACTGGCTCACCCATCACAATAAACCACCCGAAAACAAGCTACAAGAGTTGGTCGTTCATTTGCTAACCCACATTACTTCTGGAAGATGATCAGGTACATCCTGACTTGCCACAGCTTGTCTCTCCCCTAGTCCTCCCAGCGTGCATCCATGGGTCTTTGTGGTACAACCTCAGCAGCCGACTCCACTAATGAGTGCAAATGTGTTTGTTGGTAGAGCTGAGTTTCTTTTGTAGGGTTTTTTTTTTTCCAGTTTGAGAGATCTGTTTAAATTCTGTATTCTTCCATCTTTGCTGAGATTCGTGTGAGTTTAACATGAAAAAAAAATCAGGGAGATTTGTGCAAATTTACTAAAGCACAGTAACAACTGCACTCTAGCAAATTTGTATAATTCTCCCACAAAGTTTAAGTTACAGTTGCACAAATCTCCTCAAAAGTGAAACATATACACAAATCTCTTGATGGTGGATAATATTAAATTTTCATAAAACTCGCAAAAATGGGAAAACAAAGATGTTACTGTTTAGGGGCATGACAAAGTGGAGGAATAAATTGACTTGTGCCACTTCAAGTAATAAAAAGAGCAGGTATTGTTAATGATCGCACAAGAAGGATTTTTGTCTCTCTTGCCAGATGGCCTTGTAAACCTTTCCAACAAGCCATGCAAAGGCTACTCTGCCAGGTTTGCACACCATGATAAGCTATTCTGAAAACACGTCATCCTAGCAATCCAACACCAAGGGTTCTCAGGGCCACTTGTGCATGTTTAATAATCATGCTGTGGAAACCACGCCAGGTTTGCACATCAGGATAAGGCACCCTGAAAACAAACCAGCCTGAGGGTCACTGTGTGGTGTGACCAGGTCAACTGGTCAGGTGATTGCACCCAGTATCTGACCCAGTATTGTTGACACTGACTGGCAGCACCCGCTCTCCTGGGTTTAAGGTAAAGGTTTTCCTGCCCTACCAGGAGATGTCATGGATCAAACCCAGGACCTCATGCATGCAATGCAGGTACCACATCATTAAGCTAGAGCCCCTTTCCTAAAGACCTGCTCACACTTCTCTCTTTCCAAGAAGGTTTTCCAGAGTTACTGAACTTCTCATAGAGGACCCCCTAATGAACTTCAGAAGTATCCCACAGGGCTCATTAGAACACAAGGCTTAAGGTCACTGTGAAGGTATAAACGTCAAATCTTTTACTGACCGCAGCAATACTTGTGCAGTTTATCCTGAGTCAGTTCAAATCAAGGATTTCACTCACCGAGTAAAAACATGCAATTAAATCCCATTTCCAACTTTCTAAGGCTGCAATGGTGTGTACACACATGAACTTCTCAGTCAACAAGCACAGGCTTGGGGTACCCTTCAGACATTCTGAACAACCTTGCATGCTAACTCGGGGCTACAATATTAAGTTATGTTTACAACTATCTACAACCAGAGTGCTTATACTATATGGGACCATAAATCTGCATTTTTTGTTGATGGAACTCATAGGCCTTGTGCACTACAGCTTTTGACTTACACAGCAATGGCGGAATTAAGAATTATACTCTTTCTTTTTAAGAACATTAAGCAAGAACATGTGTTTGAAAAGCTAAGTGCCAAGAAGACCGCAGAAACAAGAGCAGGTGAGCAGAACATATTTCTCTCCGTGACATAGAACATGTATCTGCTTCTTGCCTAATATCCTAACCACCCAGCCCTAAATATGCACACACACACACACACACACTCAGACTTGTTATTATTTAAGATTTAATATCTTAAATAAATAAAGTCCCAATGAGTTCAATCAAGTTCACTCCCAGGCAAAGGATTGAAGCCTAAATAAAAAGGATTTAACCAGTTGTGGTGAATGCAAAATGCTTGGCACCAAACAGCACTTTTTTTGCATCTTCATTCTTTTATATTAAAAAAGAGCCTCAGAACTCAACTTTTAAAAAAATCTAAAATCAAATATTAAGTTTCATTTTTTAAAAAACTTATGGCTGTGAAGTGGGTATTTCTTAGACATGATGTTAAAAAGTTTTGAAAGGGTTGGGTATTTATTTAGTGTCAGAGAAAAGAATCAGCATGGGATGGGAAAAAATAGACTTCATATTATTCATAATGTCTGGCCACTAATTCGAGGAGAATGCAGGAACAGCTGGACCACAGGTCTGATCCCAGCACAAGGGGTATTTAAAAAGGAGTAGATGGGGAAGACAAAACCCGGGATGGAAGTAGAAGCTTCCTTAAATTCACAGGAAAAAGGAAAGGAAGGACTTCCTAAACCTGGTGATCTCCAGATGTTAGGAAATAAAATTCCCTTAATTCCTGACTATTGGCCATGTCAAGAGAGGATGAAGTGAGTTGACTTCCAACACATCTGGAGAGTACAATGCCACCATTTCAAAGAGGGCATAGATGTTAGAGATAAGTGCTGGTCTAGGACTTGGTAGATCAAGTTCTAGTCCTCATTCAGCCATAAAGCTCCCTGACCCTCAGCCTAACCTACCTCACGTAGTTGTTGTAAGGATTAAATGGAGAGAGGAAGAGGACCGTGTAAGCCAGCTTGGATTCCCTGCAGGAGGAAAAAATGCTGGAGAGGCATATAAAAACAATAGATGCAATGGATAAGCCTACCTTCCGCAATTTTTCTAATCTTTCTCCTTTTGTGCTAAACCTATCTGGTATTAGCCACTGCCACAGGGGTAGTCAACCTGGTACTCTTGAGAGGTTTTGGACTCCTGGCAGCTCCAGCCAGCATGGGCAATGGTCAAGGACTTGTCCAAAACATCTGGAGGCTACCAGGATGCCTACCCATGTGTTATGTGTTACATATACAAATACTTCCTTCTGTCTCTCCACATCCTCCCATGAACAGTTTTCACTGCATGAACTACTGAGTGGGGTTTTTTTGCTAGGTAATTTCTTTCTATCTACATAGATGCTCTGAATCAGTCAATATAACCTAGTCCAAGAGACTTCTGAAGTGCTGCAAAATAAGTTTTGCAAATTAGAAAGCACTGGGATCAAAGGAAGGTCTAACTGGAGCCATCTAGCATTGGATGCCATGCTTTTTGACCAAGACGTCAGCCCCACTTTCGCCAATGAGAGTTACTTCCTACTAAAGTGGGTTTAAGATGGCAGCTTTGGGACACTACACTGACAAGCAGTGAGTGAACAGCAACCAAGTCTGCAATAACCTTTGACTCCAGTCACTTTGTTCTAGCCCACAATTCTCAGTCTCTCTTATGGGATGTTTTGCAGCCCTGCTCACCCCTGCAGTTAACCACATGATCCTGCAAGGTCCGGTTCTCCTCCATCAGCCATAGTTTTCTTATTCTATATAATCCCCTCTATACATCTAAAGGGCCCACACAAGAAGACTGGGATGGGGAAGCTTGCTGCAGAAGAGACCACAAATACAAGAAGAGTCTAGAGCAAAACGCGATCCTCAACTTTTGGTACCCAACTGAAAAGTGCCAGTTGCAGACCATCACAGCAACATGGGTAATGAGGAAAGAGTCGCTCTATCTGATCCCTTCCATGGTGCCCTGCCATAGCTGCCTGGCACCGATTCCCCTGTTCACAGCAGTATTCAGTGTGTAACCAACCCACACTCCATTGATGTGTGGACCCCTGGCAAAGCAGCTAAGAAACTGAGTTGAAAAACAGGGAATCCTAGATTCAAATTCCATCTGTTACGAACTCACTAGGTGGCCTTAAGAAAGCCACTCTCTCTCAGCCTCGCCAGGCATCTGCAACACAGGATAATAATATCAAAAGCGGGAGGGTGGAACTGACTCAGATCTTTCTTTTTAAACACTTGAGGGGGGGCACTGCAGGGGAGAGGCACATATGAGCCTTTAGCACTCCAGAAAAATTAAACAAGGTAGGAGACAGTCCATAAAATAAAGGGAGAGGGTGTTGTTGCTGGAAGAACATCCTTGCCAATATTTAGTTATTTTGCACAGATATTTTTCAACGGCTAAACAAATGCCCTTGGATGGTGCAGCATGATGACATATGGCTTTTAAGAGAGAGACTAGGACTCGGTGGTCATCCAGATAATTCTGGACCGCAATTCCATCATCCCTCAGCATTGGCTATGTTGGTTAGGACTGATGGGAGTTGCAGTCGAACAGCATCTGGAGTACCGTACGTTTCCCATCCCTGCACCAAAGATTTCCATAACTGAAAAAGAAGGAAAACATTCACTGTGGCATTGTCAGAGAGGCAGGAGAAGAACTTACACTGCTCATCATAAGCAACAGGTAAGCCTGTGGCACTTACACAATCAGCTTCTGTACTAGAGACACACAACTGACATGCAACGTGAAAGGAAAACGGCATTTCCCCTAACTGTAGTTGGTGTGCTGGGAAAATGCAGATCGCCTGCAAGAGAATCCAACCGCTTTAACAACATAACCATTTGGAAAGAACTCACCCCAACCCAAAAGGGAGACACAGTCATCAAACCATCTGATTAACATCTAGTGATGTATCTTGTAGTAATTTCCCAGCTTTTCAAGAGAGAGAAAAGAGATTTAGGAACAGCCATTAAGCGACTCTAAGCTAATGTGGTTCAGTCAGCATGGGAAATCAAATTCCCCCTCAGCTGCGGCTTCAGTGCATACTGCCATACAAGCAAGTCTTTAGTGGAGCCTCTGTTCCATGACAGTATAGCAGCCTGCCCCCAACCCAGTACACTTTGGGTATGGTAGCCTCCAAGTCCCAGAATTCCCAGGGAGCATGGCCAGTTATGGTAGCTGTAGTCCAACACCCAGAGTGCATGGCTACACTCTGTTCTCATCAAAACACATTCAACTGCCATATACAAGTCCAACATTACCCATTTGCTTCAGTATTTTCTGTGCTAACTCACAGCAGCTTTCCCAGGCCTCAAGGAACAGGCAGTCTTAGCCCTCAGAACTCAGCCTTCTGCAAGTGGACTCCCTCCAGATGTTTCAAACTTCAAACCCACTCTGTACCAGCCAGCATGACCATGGATCAGGGATGATGGGAATTGTAGTCCAAAAGCTGTGGAAAGACCCAGCTTGACAAAGACTGCTCAACAGGAAGTGGGAGGGATGGAACTTGGGCCTTTATGAGCTTGCCCTTCTCTGTATCCTACCATCATCAGAGATTTAACCAGTAGTGACATAAGAAAGGCCCTTTTCACCGATGCACCCCTACTAAAGTTCTTTTTCCTCCAAGAAATCTACTTGGATCAAACACTGGCAGAGTTTTCATACCACCTGAGGACTTTTATTCCAAAACACCAACCATGACAGATGTGATGTCTTTTAAACCCTTTGTTCCTTGTTTGTTTAAATCTGCATTGCATATTACTACTAGTATTATTGTTACTATTAGTGTTGAACTTGATTGTCTTTATTATCTCAGTTGAGACATACATAAAGTAAGTTTATATACTGAAGTGTGTTCTCTGTCACTGCACTGCAAGATTCAAACCTGCAGTGTGCTCTAAACCCAGAAACAAAACCAAAAACAAGTCAGGTAGGGATTAAATTTGTGCAGCACAACTACCATGACCTGTTAGGGTACAGCATTCCCTCTGTTTTTAAGTGCCAACCCCGGCATGAGGCTATAGGAAGGAGGGCTGATCCTGTTTCTTGGGTAGTAACACTGCTTATTTATGCAATTGGTTTTCAAGCTTCTGAGATTTTTTTTCCTGGTCTTTATTTTATTCCACAGAACTGCAACAAAGGTAATTGACAGGAAGACTGTAAAGTGCTTTCTTCACTGCAGCCAAAGGCTGTGTGTATTTGTCTATAGTATCAGACAAATGTAGAAACGTGGCCCTAAGTGCAGACACTTTTATGCATATTAAAAATATCTGCTTCCAATATCTGCTTGAGGAGGGGGAAGAGAAGAAATAAGCTGCTATCCCTTAAGGCTGCAAGTGGTGTGGGTAACAGCTGATGAAGTCTCAAAAGCTAGCAAACCTTCCCACGGACAAAAGGATGCAGTTTCATTGCTCTGCACAGCACCTTGCCTCTATCCATAGCTAGCAAAAGCAGAATCAGTTAGGGAGAACAGACTGAACTCTGTTTGTTTACTTTGTATTATTTAGACATGTTACAGAACTATCCATAAATTCCTCCAGTAGTACAAATTCAATCACTTTGAAGCTACTTAAGAGTTAAGGAGATCTTACACTGCCAATGCTAATGTTTTTCTCCAGCCATTGGATACCCCCTTTGGGCAGAATTCCTACAGATCTCCCACATACACACACACTTTCTCCTTAGACGAACATCTCCAGTACTCACATGCAGGACCTGTACAAGCTGTGGCTCTTTCTGAAAAGAGTTTCTTGTAAAAGCTGCAAATTCCATAATCTGTGTGTGTCTCACAGGCAGGCATTCACAAGTCTCCTGATGGGCCTTCCCACTCCCCAGAACCATATAGATTGTATGCATAAGTCTCTAAAGAAACAGAGGACGCACAACCCTTCCTCCCCTGCACTCAAAGTAGTTCATGTACCACCACGCCAACCCCATCTCCTCCGGCCACAGGAGGCTGTTCCTCCACCCCACTCTGGCCTTTGCCCATAGGGACACACGGGCCCCACACCCTATAGGTGCAGATCCTACCTATGGGGATCACATCATTCCCATTCTCCCCCCACTGGTCCCCCTTCATGGACCCTACAGGTTGTGACACCACGGAACCCCCAGGGTTTCCTCACTTATGCAGTCGACCCATCACCACCACTGCCGCCACCGCCGCCACCGCCGCAGAAACAGCCTACCCCTGTTTAGCACCCATCCCCTATAGAGCCCCCTATAGACCCCACTGGCCCCGCCCCCTACAGAGCCCCCGCAGGTAATCATAAGCCCCGCCTCTAAGCTAGGCCCCGCCCCTTCTCGCTCTCTCACCGGCGGCTCCGGGTTCTCCGGGTCTCTCTCTCTCTCTCTCTCTCTCTCTCTCTCCCTTTTTCCCTCTCTCTCCCTCTTCCCTCTCCCCCCTCTCTCGGGCTCCGCGGCATCCAAGATGGCGGCAACCTATCCCCCTCTCCTTTCACTTGCCCCGCCTCCCCTGGAGCCCATTGGTAAATCCTCACGTCCTTCACGTTTCACTCCGTTTCCATTGGATGGTGGGGAAGGGTATGGTGGAGGGAAGACGAGGCGGGACGACGCGGCGCAGCCGCAGCTGTCATTTACAGAAATGCTTAAGAGTTATTTGTCAATAGTAGGTGTCCGTCACAACGTTTTCGTGCAGCGATTGGATTAAAAGGCGCGGATATATTCGTTCTAACCACGCCTACCACTCCGCGAAAAACAAGCCTAAGAGGAGGGGCTTGTGCCCAAAAGAGTTATTTAATGGGTGAGAGAAATGTCTTTCAAATCCTACTCCTGGCTTACTGGTTCTCCTTTTTCGACGCACTGACGCGTGGGCACAAGCAGAATTATTGGACAACTATGATGCCATTCAATCTGATACTCTTCCCCTATGGCTGCTACCGTTGAAGTGGGTGTAGCCGCGGGTTACTTCGGGGCCTTCCTTCCCCATTGGCCGTACGGAAGCAAGCCTGCACATGTTGCATCCCCATTGGTCAACTCTACGGTCCCCAGTTCCCCCCTTTCCTCTTTTGCATAGGCAAACACGTTGTGGTTAGAGTTAAGGAGCAGCAGCACGAGGGTGGGGCGGGGTAAGAACGTCATCGGAGAAATTCTACTGGAAAGAATAACTGTCAATTAAATTCACAACAGCCAATAAATGAGGAAAGAATTACCTCACTCCCAGGTAGCTTTTTAATCAACATCGATGCTTTCTGTTTTTCGCCGCAGCTCGCTTCCTCCTTTCGACCGCGTTCCATTAGTAATATTACTTTTAATGATTATTCTTAGAGCTGGGGTAGAGCCGCAACAGAGACAGCCGCTTTTTAAAGCAGCTTACCCCAAATGTTATATATCGGTGTTGCTAAGCCAATGCAGCTGTAAGTCTCGAGCAGTTCGGACGCCCCTGCCCAAAAGGGGCTAAATGAGGTCCAGAAGGCGCCAAGTCTATCTTGGCGTTTCCCCTCATCACTCTTGTTACCACTACAGAAGTGAAATCTTCCCTCTCTAGTTGCCTCTTATCTTTATATTTAAACCTATGAAGGTCCCTTTTGTGCAGATGACACAGAACTGGGTGGGACAGGTAATACAGCAAGAAAATCGAAAGTGATCTTGACAGGTTGGAGCACTGGGTTGAAAACAACAGAAGGAAATTTAATACCGACAAATACCAAGATCTGCACCTAGAAAGAAATCAGTGCATAGTACGGCAGAGAATAGTTTGCACAACAATACCGCAAGAGAAGGAACTTGGAATTGCAGATCATAAGTTGAATATGAGTCAACAATGTTATGTGGATGCAAAAAGGGCAAATGCTATTTTAGGCTGCATTAATAGAAGCATCACTTCCAAATCATGTACAGTATTAGTTCCCCTCTGCTCAGCACTGGCTAGGCATTATTCTGGAGTACTGCATCCAGTTCTGGGCACTACAGTTTAAGAAAGGTGCAGACATTCAGATGATCCAGGGAATGGAAACAAGGCGCCATGAGAGAGTAAAAGAAATGGGCATGTTTGGCCTCTGGAAGACAGGGGATTTGATAGCACTCTACAATGCTTGAAAGGTTGTCACAGAGAGTGAGGCCAGCATCTCTTTTCAATAAGCCCAGAGAACAGGACACGGAATAACGAACTCAAATTACAGGAAGCCAAGTTCCAGGAGGACATCAGGAACTTTCTGACTGAAGTTACAGAAGTACAGCAATGGAACCAAACACCTATGGAGGTTGTGTGCCAAAGGAAACCTATTTCAGTCTAACTTTGTAAATGCATTGTTACTTTGTTATATTTTATATGGTTTTCATTAGTGGTACACTACCTCAGGAGCTTTGGCGATTGGGCAGTATAGAAATAAAATAGGAATACTATTTCCCAGGTCCCCTTCCCAGCAGCCATTCCGTTAATATAGGAAAGAACTGTGCAAAGTCAAGACCCCGGGGCTGTATATTAGGAATAAATACTTCTTCCTATCCTATCCTTCCTATCCACTTCTCCACAAACATTTACCAGATTAAATAATAAATAAAGTTCAGAGGAAATGTTTACAGCAGCACAGAAATGCAGCAGTAGCTGTTTTATTCACTGAATGTTTGCATCACTCAACTGGTTTAGTTCACACAAGCCTAGCCCTCCTGTTGCTTTGATGCCATCTCATTCACAGTTAGAAGTTCAGGGCAGTCCCTTGTTAGACACACACACACTGGAATGCTCTGTCATCAGCAGGTACAGTTGCAGTCATCTCAATTCAGGGACATGGTACTGTATAAGCATGTTTGACAGAAGCCTATTTGAAACCAAAAATATAATTACTTTAGCATTGCTAAATCTATGCCCGTTACTGGAAGGCAAAGGCCTGTGGTAGAAAGCATAGAGGACTGGTGTGAGCAGGTGAATTATCAAGACTCTAAGAAGCAGCTCCCAATCCAAGAATTAATGTGAAGAGAATTAAAATTCTCTTCTACCTCCTCACCCCAAACCCAAAAAGAACACAATCACACATAGGGACTTTAACACAGGTATTTCTTCCCAGAAATGTACAGGTTATAAACAGATTTCAGACCAACAGTTTCATGCTGCAGCCATGAAAACACACTCCATGAATCCAAGCGATTTCAACCATTGCTTTCCACAACTCTGCAACAAACCCAGTTTTGTAGCATTAACATGGGGATTTGTTTCTCCCCTGCTCCTCAGGGGGAAAGTCACACTTGTTTTATCCTCAAGTGAATCATTCTTTCTTCTTGCCACACACATACCCAGAAGGTTCTTACCCATGGAATCTACTACACTGGGGCCACTTCCCTAGTCTCTCAGGAGAAAAGAGTGCCATTCTTTAGCACCCAAAGCTTTTCCTATAAACACACACCCCTGAATGTTAAGATGCCATTAACAAGTGGAGCACGTATTACCTCTGCATTTCCCAGAATAGCCATTTGTACACTCACCACTTCCACACAAGATCAGTTACTCATCCTACAATCCCCCACATTCTCTCTCTCTCTCTCTCTCACACACACACACACTCACTCACTCATTTGAATATAAGCAGCTACGGAGTACTCTTTCCAAACTGTGCTGACCAGATTGAAATTAGATCTGTCCCTAATCTGCTACCCCCATCTAACTCCCACATCATCCCCAGCTAGCATGATGGGAGTTGTTGCCTGATGCATCTGGAGAACAGGAGGTTGGGGGAAGGCTGCCCTATTTACTGCTGGAATTCATTTTGTTCTGCCAGATCTTGGCATGCCTCTCATAACGAAGAACACTTATTACAGAACAACACTGAATCAACATATGGAAGAAAAGTACATTTTTAAAAACTCCAGATCTGGTTTTCCCCAACTATGTGTAGATCAGAACATCTGGAGGGCCACATGTTGCTGCCCTCCAGATGTTTTGATCTACAACTTCCATTATCCCTATGCTAGTTAACTTCTGAGAGCTACAGGCCAAAACATCTGGAGGTCCGCAGGCTGCCCACCTCATAAAACCAGGGCAACAAAGGAGCAGCACTCAGACACTATCTTAAACCATTCCTTATCTTCACAGGCACATTGTACACAAATCCAGCCTGCTTTTGCTTGTCCAGTGATGAAGGGGTCTGAATGAGGATTGATCCAGTGACAGTACACTGATTGATCAGTTTAACTTAGCTACACCACACCATGAAAGAGCTCACAGCTTAACTACCCTGCTTCTGAATACTGCATGAGGCCTAAGAAAAGAACTCAGTTCGCTCCACTTCCCCCTGAAGATAATAGGCTCGCTGGTGATACTGTTTGAGGGAGGAAAAATACCACTTGAGTCCAGGATATTTGGAAAGAATGGCTGAGAGCTTAAAGTTCTGAGGGGTTACACAGTCTCTTGAACTCTTAACGGAGGCTTATGCCCGCTACACATGCCCTTCTGATATGTGGTTCGAGTTGTTAGTCAACAGAGAGCAGGTCTGTGACAAAAGCAGGAATGTTATGAGTTGGTCAGGACGCCGCTCTTCTCATTCTTCACTTTCAAGAACTCAGCCATGCTGGAGAAGTACTTCTGGTTGGCTTCAGCTACCTTCTTCTCAGCTGCCTGGGGGTTCACGATTTCCAGACCCTGAAAATACAAGGAAAAAGGTGCGAGTGAATTAAGAATGACTTAAACATGTAAAGTCTTCTGGCCACCTCCATCTGTGGAAGGAACAAAGATGGCCCCTACTTTGCATGGCCTGGATAAAGGTCGAATATTTGCAACATGTTTATTGGCAGAAACGGGGAAAAACCCCCACTGCCCACTGAGGCTGGTAAATCTTGCATCCAAGCATAACATACATCTGCTTAAACTAAAACTCTCAATAAGTACTCCAGGGCAGGTGAAGGGGGAAATCAAGAGGTTTTAGGGTTACACCTAAGATAGTGTGCATTCCAGCATTTTAAATCTGGGGTGCCCAACATGGCCCCTGCAGGCACCTCCAGTAGTAACTGTCAAGCGATCCCCACCAAAGTATCCTGAAATTAAGTTTTTAAAAAGGAAAATCCTCACTCTAAAAAATATTCATAGATGATTGTGTATAAAATACATTCAACTTTCTAACAATATATAACTTTCAATAAAAGCCAAACTAGATATCCAAATATGCATACATTTGAAGTTGGTATGTAAATACAACCTATTTGTATATGAAAAGAGTGAAGGTCCTCAGTCCATTGCAATATAAGAGATGAGTGTTTATCCTTCCAATTTTGTAATATATTTCTTTTAGCTCACAGAAGGACACGGAGAATCCATTTCTCCTTCCATTTGTTTAATCCCTATGAATGCAAATGTGAAATAGTGGCTAAGAATTCTAGTCCTGGGACTAGGACTCAGGAGATGAAGTCAATGACTTTGGGCCAGTCACAGACTCTCAGCCTATCTCGCAGGGTTGTTGTGAGGATGAGGAGAGGAATTCTGTAAGCTGCCATGAGTCCCTTAAAAGGAAAAAAGGCGGGAGATAAATTAAAAAAAAATTAAAAGAACACTCATATAAATGAATATTGAAGACTGATTGAGTACAAACTCTGTGTAATAGCCTGCTCCCAAAAGAAGCAACTACTGGATGTTGCCAAAATATATGTTTAAAAGAGGCATTAGCTGTATTGTACTGCCAGGATTAGCTAAAGTAGAGATTCTCTTACTAAAGAGACTTTGCAGTATCAAATAGACATAAAAGAGAAGTTTTCCCGAAGCGGATACAACCCAAGATCTGTAGATGGAACGGAAGGGATGCCAAAGCAGAAATCCACTGAGCAAGTGTTTTGTGATGACGTCCTACAACAGTTTCTCAAATTCCCACATATGCCTATAGGTCCAAAAACCTTGGAGACCACTATTCTAAGCTATCATTTCTGAAAAGCTTCGTAAAAAGATATTACCTTCTGCAATGGCAGAATAAGAATAATATTCAATTTGCTTAAATCCTTTGCTATACAAATCCTTCAAAACACCTAGAACCCAACATTCCTAGCTCTTTCTACACCTAAAACCCCTCCAAGACAGCCATCCCAGTTTTCAGGTATCTGAAGTGTGCCGAGAGCAGTACGTACCTGCAATGGAGTGAAGGCCACGCTGGATGCAGTGCCTGAGGACCGGTCCCGAATGGTAGACTTCCCTCCATAGACCATGCTTTGCTTCTGGAGCGTGCGCTGGCAGGGAGGACATGTGCAAAAGGCAGCCATTAGGACTTTTGTGAAGGGAGATGTGGAAAGAGCTAAAAGGGATGCTGAAACCCAGAGAGAGGGCTGGACCATTTGCAGCCCCCAAATCAGAAGGACAAGGCCTACATTTGCTGCCTTCCCAAATACCAGAAGCTCATCAAATCCATGTCACACACCAAGCCATCAAGGATCTGACCCTCTCTGGCTACTCCACTTATCCTGATGCATTCAGTCTCTCTCTCACCCAGGCAAGCAATGGGCCCAGCTTCGCCATCAGCATTCGAATGGAAGCCACTCTTGAGGCTGAAAATCCAGCTACTGTGACCAGAGACTAGTCACAAGCTACGTTGCTAGACCACAAGCTTGATTCTGTGCCTGCTCAGACCTGCGATCTCCGAGAGCAGCCCCATGTCAAGCACTGGGAGAACTTCCCTAAGAGTTTTCACTTGACAAAATGACATGGCTGCAAGAGCTCAGACTCTATGGGACTTCCACCTGCCAGCCTATTTGGCATTAGCTAACCCGAACTATGAACACAGAGTATGAATGGGAAGGGCTGTGGTTCAATGGCAGAGTGCCTGCTTTGCAGGCAGAAAGCCCCAAGCTCCACCCTGGGCATCTCCTGGCTGAGAAACCTCCTGCTGAAACCTTGGAGAGGTCCTACCAGCCGGTGCGAGAGATACTGGGCTCGACTGAGCAATGATCTGACTCTGCGTAAGACAGCTTCCTGTTTTTAATACTGTCTACACATGCCCGGAGAACTTGAACTGAGACCCTCATACTCCTACCCCATCACAGGGGTGCGGAGTAGGGGAGAGACAGGGTAACAGGACAGGGAGCTCCTGGCACTTCAGACAAGGAATCCGCACCCGCTCACCTGCAATGTCTTTGAGATGCGTGCCTTCGTGGCCTCGTTGACTTGTGTTTGCCGGACACGGCCACTGCCTGACTTGCCCAAGTGACCCAGACTGAATCCCAGATCTTCCTGGTAGGCATCCTCTTCAATCTAGGAAAGGAGATGTGTGAGGGGAGGCAGGATAAAGAGAGCAAAAGGTCATGTTTGGATATGTTAATTTCAAGAGAGATTCAAAGGGCACAACCTGTTTGTGCCAGGATGGCTCAAACTGGGACAAATGAGGCTCTTGGAAATCCCATTTCTGCTCAAGCCTGTATATCCCAAAGTGATCTATACCATCACTAACTCTACAATTTATTTATATTTTTATACTTCCCTATAGCCCTGCAGGGCTCTCTGGGGAGTGAACAAGTTTAAAACACGTAACAGTGAAATAGATTCTGTTTCTGTTCAGCCCTCTGATTCTTTCCCTGGAGAAGGGTTTCTCCATGTAATGTTGTGCAAGGATGAGGAACAGAAGCCAGAAATCCTGATTTGTACTTCACTTGTCAGGGTCTAGATTGTCAGCTTATTTGCAAAGACAAACGAGAAAGAAGCCATGTAAGATGCTACACCTCTCCAAAGCTCATCCGGTTTGCCTGTTTTCGGATTTCTGTTAGGCCAAGACGTTCCTTCATTTTGCGATACCTGAAAAAACAAAGGAAATCATTTTGAAAATGAACAGAAAAAACACCAAAGCAGGAGGAGACAGCTGGGGCCAAAAATGAAACATTTGGCATGACAACAAGTTCAGGGAAGGAACTTGTTATTACAGGAATCCTGTATCACCATAAGGTATCAGCTGGGATGCTCTGGGACTCCCAAGCAGGCATGTTTTGTGTATTCCAATAGCAGCTGATCAAATTTGCGCCTCCCAGGCTCATATGGAGATGGCGCCTGAGCTAGCTTTCACACTTACCAAATACTCCGATGCAATTCTCATCTCAAAATTTTATCACAACACAGCCTTCCCCAACCTGGTACCCTCCTGATGTGTTGGACTGCAACTCCCATCATTCCCAACCAGCATGGCCAGAAAACGAATAACTTTCAGAAAATGAACTATTGCATGTTCTCTTTTCCTTGGAAAAATAACATTCGATACAATAAACGCCATCACATTTTAAAATCAAGCCAAAAAGTGTATCTATTTCTGGAGTAGCCCTGGTTTTCATTTTTTAACACATCCAGCCCTGCCGTGCCCCTCAGCTCAGCCCCCCCCCACTCCTTGGGGCATCCCTCGTACCTGCGCCCGCCACGTTTCTTCCTCTGCCCGTCCAAGGGAGCTGGCAGCGGCTTCACCTGTTTGACAGGAGGTGGTTCCTGCCATTTGTCAAATTTCCTTTCAATTTCCTCCTTCAGATCGTACCCAACCTAGATTGGAAACAGAAGGAAAAAGCTGTATGGGTTACACAGCAAGGTGGGGAACCTTTTTCAGTCCAAGGGGCACAAGGTTTCAACAGAAGCCGGCTGGGGAGGTTGACACTTGCACAGCAGGCAAGGCTAGTGCCAAAGTGAAGTTAACCAATGCTGCCGCCTTCTCTGGGCAGGATGCCCGATCACCATCTCCACTGTGTGCGGACTCCATCTCCCCACCCCCTGAAACACCCCCAAGGTTCCCCAACATGGCATTCCAAATTCCTTAACTGGACATTTAAAATATTGCTCTCACCCTTGGGGAGAAAGAACAGAACCGCAAACATGTACACCCCACAACAGAGGTCACACCAGCATCCCCTCATTCCAGCTTGTGTAACACTCTCTGCAAGATGAGTGGCCAACCTCTGCCAGAAGGGAGGCACAGTCAGCAGCTGGACTGAGGCTTGATGGGCAACATCTGGCCTCTGGGCCAGAGGCTCCAACTCCCAAGCTACAGGGCTCAGCTTTGTCACTCCTCTCATTTCAGTCTTTCCCCAGGGAAGAATCAGGAGTCCCAGTCTTCATTCTTATCCTGTTCAAACCCCTCACTCCCCAAATTAATGCATCCATTGGACATAATGACTGGATTAGAATTTGGGAGATGCAGGTCATATCATTCCTGAGTTGGGAAGCTTGCTATGGGACCTTGGATAAAAGGGACAAAGGGCAGAGGAGCCCCAAGTGCTGCTGCTCCCCAGCCCTTTTACAGAAGGGCAGCGTCAGTGGCTAACAGTTACAAAACACACACCATTCTCCCCACCATCCTCATTCTTGTAATTCCATTTCAAGTTATTTCTGCTTTAAGGAAATGGATGCATTCTGATTTTCACAATCATTATCTGCCTGCCACCCTGATGGACCACCAGGGAGAACTTAAAAACATGTGCTGGTTTTCAGGCCTGCATGGGACTTGTAAAGGAGCTCAAAAAGATAGAGCAATAAAATCATGTTTAAAAGAAACCAATTTACCAAAAATAGGAACTTAACAAATACTGAGCATCATTCAACAGCAAAGCTGTCTAAGCAAACATTTTGACTGTCTTTCTGAAGGTCAGGAATGAAGGGGCTAAAAAAGCATCCCAAAGGAGGGAGCTCTAGATTCTGGGTGCAAACAGCAAGGTGGCCCCATGTACCAAAGCATTTGGGCCCTTCAGACTTCTAAGAAAGATCCCTGGATTATGCCTCCACCAGTCCAATATACAGCATCCCTTGTCCTGCATTCCTCACCTTCCCTTCTGGGCTCTCATGGAAACTGTCCACTCGTGCTGCCAGGGTGCATTTTGCTGACACCAACCGAGCTGCCTTCCTCCGCAGATCCTGTAAGGAAGGAGTGAAAACCAACCCTGACTTGCTGCTGCCACAAAGCTCAGCTGCCAGAACAACAGGAAGGAGAGAATCACACACGCACCGGAGGCAAAGACTGCACTATGTCGCTGTGATAGATATAGCCAGTGTGAGGCAGCACAGAAGTGCTGGAAAAGCCCGACAGCGTCTTCCTCTGAGCACCCAGGAGCATGATGTTACAAGCTGGCATCTTGGAGAGGTTTGTGAGGCCACCCGCAATACCTTGGGAAAGACAATACAGTGTGAACTCCCCCAGTAGCCCAGAAGGGTTTTGCCCAAGTCACAGCTGGTATCTCAGCTATTCCTGCCCCCCGAGATTTGCAAACATGGTGCTCCCCATAGAAAGTTGGTTCTGCAGGTTCCCCAAGACGATCCATTGCCAAAGCCCAGTGATAGAGATCTACCAGAATCAATCACAGAACAGCAATGCAACCTGTGCTGCTAAACGGGGCATTTGTTGGGTTGTATGCTTCATGTTTGCCTTTTTAAAATTTTATCATTTTGTATCTTTGTATATGACAGATTTGGGGAGTTGGAAAAATGGTTACTAAGAACAAAATAGTCCCCCATAGTAGCTGCTGCTTCCCCTTCTCCTTATTACATTACATTTCTATACCGCCTGTAGCCAAAGCTCTCTCGGCAGTTCACAACATTTAAGTCACCCATCCAGATTTCAGCCAGGCCCAACCCCGCTCAGCTTCCAAGATTAGGCAGGATCACGCTCTTCCTGCTATATGGAAGCTAATCCTAGCACAGATGTTTCACCCTTTTGGAGGAAAACCTTCCCCTTCCCCACCAAGCCCCAAATGCTCTCAGTCCCTTTCTGCCAACAGCAGACGGGCGAGTCACCAAAGTTCTATATCCCAGTCCACTCAGCACTCCCTGCTCCATGTCAACATCTGAATTTCTGTCAAGAGTCTCACCCATGATCTTGGCAGCCGTGGAGGCGCCCACAATAATGGACAAGTTGGGGGCGATGAAGGACATGCGGGACTCCACATACTCGTAGATGCGGTGCTTGGACTGATTCAGCTCCAGGGCCATGTCACAGGCCTCCTCAATGCGTTCTAGCTCTTCCTCAGTCAATTGCTGCCTAGAGTGGGAGAAGGACCGTTTGTTAGGCTCTGTGAGCTGCCCTGAGCACTTCAGCTGATGAGCAGTAGAGCAACACAAACAAATCAAGTAATGGAGCCTAGCTGCTTGACCGGCGGTAGGCCCTCTAGATGTTTTGAACTACAACTCCCATCAGCTCAAATCAGGATAGCCAATGGTGAGTGATGACGAGAGCTGTAGGCCAAAACAGCTGGAGGCCCAGGCCCTAACCCTAACCCAGAACATGACTATTGTATTCTAATTCTTATGCTTACCAACATCTAAAATGCTAACATTCCACTTATTGTTCTAATAGCTCTCAGTATGATCCAATAAATACATATACAGTTTTTCCAATGGCGAGTCTTTAGGCAGCTGGTATAGCATTATTTACATACAAAAGGGAAGGATGAGCAGACTGTGGACTGAAGGTTTCTTTTGAAAGAGTATATTACCAAAGCCAGCTTTGTTTTGATGAGTGCTCCATCATTTAGTCAATGACTTGGAACAGGAGCGTTTGTATTTTTAGACAATCATGGGTAGATTTTTTGAAAAGTAAAGTTAAATATAACGATGAATATATGAAAAAGGGGGAGAAGACTAAAAAGTGCCCACTGGCCGTCACTGCTGAAACACATCAGAGCAACTGTGTTCTGCCTTAAGCTCCTGAACTACCTGCCAGGATGACAAATGTGCTGAGCTAGACCATTCAAGTCTACACCAATTCTGTCTAATGTGCAGACGAACAAGCTATTCATTATGCAGATGACTCTTTAGGGTAGACAGTAAAGCAAGAGCACTGAGGCAGAGGAGCATCTTTCTTTTTGACATCTATATCCTATATTTCTGTGATAAAGCATACGTGAGGTAGCTCACAAACTAAAACATTCATAATAAGATAAAGCAAAGAGCAGTTGCATACACAAAGTAAGCACGTAACAGACTAGAACATAATGTCTCAAACTGATTTAAAAATGATCACCATTTTTAGACAGAAAACTGTCTAATGCTTTCCTATAAAGAAGAGGAGCTCTCTGCAAAAGCAAAGGGTTGGGAAATAACCTAGCACAGCAAGCAGAAAAGGTCTGAGCTAGGCCCCCTCCACGTGGGGTGCAGGGTGGCTTCTTATAGGAAGCATTCTTAAAACTCCCCATAATACAGTAGTCCCCCGAAATTTGTGGGGGCTACATTTCTAAAGCACCCGCAAATTGTGAAAAACAGCAAATTTGGTGCCACAGAGGGGTGCCAGCTGCCAAGGGGGTGCAGACAGGAGGCGCGGGCCGGGGGTGGTGCGCACGGCAAGGCAGGGGCAGGCGTGCGCAGAGATCGTTTTCTCTGAGCAAGTCCAAACTCGGAGGAAACGATCTCCTTGCGAGTAAGCGGCCACATGGCAAGGCGCTGGCTTACTTGCAAGGAGATCAGCTTGGACTTGCGGAGAAAAATTCCGCTAAAGACTGAGGCTGCAAGTGCTGAACCGCGACTTCACGGGAGTATACTGTACTGCTTCTGACCTAGGGTCTCAAGTGGCACAGTCCATTCTGCCTCCTTCAGCAGCTTAGATAATTTCACATTTAATCTCTGTTCTGTTCCAGATGTTGACAGATCTGACACATCCCCACTGAACCCCCACCTCTGCCCTGGCAGGGTGCCCACCTTACCCCTGGGTAGTGGATGCTGTGACACTGACTACCATGATGGTGGCATTGGTAAGGATCTGCTGGAGGTTCTCGTTGTTCTTGCATTTGTCCAAACTGTTGCCTAGTTCCTGCAAAGGTCAGAGATTGTAAGGAAATGTTAGCTCCTGAAGCAGAGGGAAGGCAAATCTCTAGCTCCCACCTGGGCTGTCATGACAGGCATCATAAGCATGGACAACTCAGGCTTCATCCATATTCAGGGAAATTCCAGCTATACCTTTACTGCAAAGCATGATCTCTGCTCAAGAGCCAGTTCTAGTTTCCATCAAGGTTGGTTATCAGTGAAATTGAAGAATACTCTTCTAAATTTAAAACTTATTTCAATCACTCTATGTTCCTCAAAATATTCACTTAAATGTGGCGCACCCACCCTAAATAAGTGACAATTACCATCTTCTAGCAGAAATAACTGAGGGATTCCTTTGCTAAGGATTGCAGGGCCTCTGGGAATGCTGCTAGTCATCAATGCAAGCTTCAAATTAAATCAACAAATTTCAAGACATAAGCACAATACCTTCACAGTACGGATGTAGTCCAAAGCATTGGGAACAAGGGATTCCAGTTCTGGAAATCGCTTGGAGTATTTGTCTCGGATAAACTTATGAATAATGTCTGGAGGAGATAAAAGGCAAAGATCAAACATGAAGGCTGAGAGTGACGCAGAGCGTGGTTATACCTGAGACAACAGAAGCAGGCTTCCAGAAGTCGTAGTTGTGCTGGACTGTCAAGTCGTTTCGAGGACTAGACTGGGCCGTGCATTGCCCAAGGGAGGAAGTGTGCCTGCCAAAACGGCCCTCGAAATGCCTGACACGTTCTGCTTCTCCCTTGCACACGGTCACTGTTTGCACCCTACACTTTCTGGCTTCCAGACTTCTATTTACTAGGTTCTCCCTCCCTGGAGAATCCAGTCTTTGCGAAATCTGCAAACTGCTCAATTCGTCCTGCCATCTACGTGACAATCAGTAGTGGCTGGTGTATTGTTCCAAAGCTTTCTCCACCTTCCCCTCCTACCAAAGCAAGCAGCTAAGGCTTGTACTCACTCAGCTCATTCTCGATCTCGACTGTTAGGTTGTTGGCATCCACAATGACTCTGTATTCCGGGGCAGCCTCTACTGGACCTAGAACTGGGAAGACAAGAAGGGCCACAGTCAAGCTTCATTCAGCACATGTAACTAAAGGAATGGCGAGATGGGCTGTGGACCAAGGGCAGGATCTCTTTCAGCATGACAGTCAAGTAGCATTTCAGAGAAACACTTGGCAGCAACTTTCCAGTTGTGGGTGGAGCTGAAAGCAAGAGAGGCAGAGCCAGAAGCAGATGTGGTGGGGGCTAACAATATGTCAGCATATTGTAGCTTAAGAGCTCTCTCAGTAATTTATGTCTCAGGAGCGCATTTCAACCTTTTAGGATGAAGAACCTGCACAAAACCCAAGAAACTACCAAATGATCCATGGTGGGGGGCGTGGGGGTATGTCCTTCTGGAGAACAGCCATGATTGGGATCCCACGTCTGGGTTCCTCACCCTGGTATATGGACGTGTAAGACCCTATAGGGGTTATGCACTGCAAGAATGGGTTTGGGGCTTCTCCGAGGGCAAGGATCCAAAGATACATGTACATACATGTTCAAGGATTCTAAGCATGCAGAATGTACATCTGTGTGGTAATCTTCAAATCAAATATGACTCCATACCTTCAGATGCTTTGGGCTGTTTACTGATGTATTCCTCAATCTTCAACATGATTTCAGCAAACTACATAGAAGAAAAAGAAAGATATGTTCAAGCATGCTTTAAGGATGGCTCCTTTAAAGTCAACCTTTTTCCCAAGTCCAGAAAAAGAGCAGAAGATTAGAGAAGAGATTTTCCCATCCTGTTCCGGGGAATCCTGGTGCCCTCTAGCTCTTCCGACGGCAACTGCCAGCATTCCTGTCTACTGCTCATGCTGGCTGAGAGGAGGTGAAATGCAAAACAGTCTTCTCCTTCTGCCCTAAGCAGTTTGGCCATAAAAAGTTAACCGTCTCCAAGTTTATTAAAGTGGCTGTTGGTGCTCTCAGAGGAAGGTGCCTCTGCAGCTCCAGACAGTTCCCTCACCATCTTGCTGTCCCACAGCTTTGCGATACTCTTGACTGAATCCGTTGCCAGATCTATTTGCATCTCCTCCTGAACATCCTCAATGGGAGGCTCATCTTCCTCATCCGCAAAGCTGCCATCTTCTTCCTCTGCTGCCTCCTCGAGGTCAGCCAGTAGCTCATCAGCTAAAGACATGGTAGATCAAGGCTGCAGAGGAGACACAAGGTTAGGGGGGAATAAAACCCCAAATAATATCTTCTGGCATACATATTCGGAGTCTTATTCATCTGTTATTTCCCTGAGTTAGAAGACTTGGAGCATTTCTTAGTATTATCTACCCTAACAGAGCCATGAGGTTGCAGCAATCCCCAGAACTCCCCAAATAGTCAAGCACAGCTACTATAGGGCCTCATCCTGTTCTGTACCATCCATGCCTACAGGTCATGAAAGACTGGAGTTAAGTAGCAGTAAGGCAGATTTTAGTTGACCAGGGAAAACTTCCTAAATGTCCTAGTAGTCATACAATGGAACCAACCACCCAAGGAGGCAATGGGCATTCTGTTGCTGGAGGCATTCAAGCAAAGACTAGGCAGACATATGCCAGGGACACTTTAAACTGGAATCCCACACTAAGCATAGGGTTGAACTCAATGGCCCCTTCCAACTTTATGGTTCTAGACATCTATCAACAAAAGGTCTGATCCACTGTGCTCTTCAATTTCAATTTCTCATTTCCTTCTGTTTCTCAGCCCCTCATCCCACCCCCACCCCAGCATATTTCTCTCCTTCCAGTTGTGACTGCACACTGTGGAAATCCATTTCAGTTAAAAGACCTTTCCTCAGGCCTGATTTCTCCAATAAACTCTGCAGTTTCAAATTCATAAACAAAGAAAAGAAAATGCGGGAATGTGATTATTTCTTTATTTATAAAATTTGTATGCCATCCAAGTACTTGCATCTCTGGATGGCTTACAACATAGATAAATTGACAATCCACTCTGGCTGCAAATTAGTAAAATACAACAATAAAATTCAGTATTAAAACATATTAAATATTGATTAAATAAAAAGGTCTTGACCTGGTGCTGGAAAACATGTAATGATGGCACCAGGTGGACCTCTCCGGGGAGCACATTCCATAGACGGGGCGCCACTGCAGAGAAGGCCCTCCTCTGGGTACTCTGTCTCCTAACGTCTTTCACAGAGGGTTCCTGGAGGAGGGCTTCTGTTGCTGATCTCAGGGGGCAGTAGGGCAAATAGGGGAAAAAGGCGTTCCTTCAGGTATCCTGGTCCCAAGCCGTTTAGAACTTTATAGGTAATAACCAGCCCCTTGAACTGAGCCCAGACTTCCATGGGAAGTCAATGGAGCTGACAGAGGACTGGGGTTATATGAGAATAACGCTCAGTCCCCGACAGCATCCTGGCAGCTCTATTTTGAACCATCTGAAGTATCCGGACTGTCTTCAAGGGCAGTCCCACGTAAAGCGCGTTACAGAAATCCAACTGGATTTGTTTGATTACAAACTAATGCCAGAAGGGATAGCAATGTAAGAAACAAGAATAGCTGATTACTATGCAGAACAAAAATGTAAAACAAGACCCAGACAAAACAATAAAGTGTCTTACTGGGGCAGGGGCATTCTCAAGTGATAAGGAGATATGATATTGCAACGGTGCAGAACCTCAAGATACTAGCATATTCTGGATTGAAGTTACTGCCAGTAACTAAGCCTAAGGAAAAGCATTTCAGCATTTTTGAATGGGGAGCAAAACACACAAACACAGGCTAGGAAACCACAAAATAATTGTTTTTGTGGTCATCTGGGAAATACCAGGCCAGCCTGGGACCTAATGTGTGATATTTTGTTTATTTATTGTAATTACAGCCTGCTTTTTTTTTCTTCCAAGGAACTCAAGATGGCTTACATATTTCTCCTTCTCTTCCTCCACTAAATATTACTCTCACAACTACCCTGGGCTTAGAGTTTGTGACTGACTCAAACTCACCCAGTTAGCTCCTTAGCTGAATGGGGACTAGAACCCAATCTCTTGAGTCTCAGTCCCACACTCTTCCCCACTACACCACACTGGCTCTTCAAGGAGTCCCATTCACGCCTAGTTACTTAATTAACAATACTTATTATTTATTGTGATCACTGCTGACAGAGAACAATCGCTATTCATCTGAAGGCAATGTGATGTAACCGTTAGAGGGCTGAACTGTAAAGCTGAGAAGACCCAACTTCGGATGCCCAGAGCCATGCAACGCGATGAATGACCTCGGGCCGGTCACGCTCACTCCGCTGGCCAACCTCACAAGGTTGTTAGTAGGATAAAAGGCGGGAGAGACCCACCCACGCCACCCTGCGGCCCTCGGAGGAAGGGCAGAAGCGTAACAAATAAGAGAAATCTACCCGACCTTCCCACCTACCTTCTTCCCGTATCCACCGAACTACCTCGGCCCAGCCTCTCTCTCCACGGCCTCGTTCCCCTTTCGCCTCAGCGGCTCGTGGCGCCAACCTCGTCTCGCCGCAGACGAACACCGCCCACTTCCCCACCTCTCAGTCTCACAGTGAATACGTCACCCTCCACCTCCGTCGCTCCCCGTGTCGTCATCAATCAACCTCTACGAACGAGGAAGCGAGGAAGTAGGAAAGGTTGTGCGGAATAATTTTTTCCGTTCAGAGTGGCTCTCAGTCTTTTGTGAGACAAAAAGTTAGCGCAGCCTCACTCTGTTTTGCAACCTTCTTTCTATAATGCCGCCTCACATCTTTGCAACGGGGCCCCCACGCACATGGCCGCATTCAACGCTCTAGCTTCGGAAGGGTTCTCATTTCGACTCATTTCTCGAGAAGATATCACTGGCGTTTCTACCATGCCAACATTTTCTTAGCCATTTCCTGCTATGAGAAAAAGGGAACGGCTTATACTCAGCCGTACAAAACTTCCGCGCAAAACCGCTCTAACTTCACTGCAAAAGTGATAGGATTCTTGACATAAAGATGACAACGGTTAGGATGTCGGCTCTACATATTCTATCTCTATAGTCACGCCACACTGAAACGCCTTATACGCAACTGCCCTTCACTGCGCAAGCGCGACTCTCTCCGAGTCGGTTTCCAGGATACGAACGAAGGGACGGAAAGATCGACGCTCCAACTGTTTCCGTAACTATGACGCGAAGCCTTTCATATGCTTGGCTATTCTCATTGCGTCATCGGAGAGCGACATAACCTCTCTTCCCCTTTCCGTTGTGGTACGGCCGTCCCAGTAAGCCGTTTTATTGTAAACGTCATCAAGCAGCGACGGCTTATCCTTACACTCGCCCAAGAATCGTCCGCATCGCCAAGGAGACCGGAGAGATTAAGGTGGGGTTGACGCAATAGCAAATCTATCTGTGGAAAATACCTGACCAGTCGGACTGCCCGTGTCTGTGATGCTTCTCAGTGGCGGCCGTTTGGCTGTGGAAATTCTTTCCTAAGAGAGCTGCCAAAAGCAGAGCCTCTGAACCTTTCACAAGCATTATTGGGCTTCTCTCTCTCTCTTGGCCAGGATTAAACTTTCATTTGTGAACGAGACACTAGAACAACCTTTCCCAACTTAGTGCTCTCTACATGACTTGGACAGCAACGCCCCTCACTGGCCATGCTGTCTGTGGATAATGGGAATTGGAATCTAGCACCTGGAGGGGAATAGTTTGCAGAACACTTCACTAGCTCAGGCTTTCTTTAGCACCTTTTAACCTGAAACCTTACTCTGAGTGTCCCTAAATTGCAATCGACTTTGAGCTGTGGAGAAAGGATGGGGGGAAAGGGGGAGGGGGAGAAATCTATGATTATTACAAAGCAGATCCTATTGAGTTCAATGGCAAGTTCAGTGGCAGATGGAGGAATTTTGCTATTCTGGGGACAGAGATTCCTAGTTTAACTATTCCGTGTGTATATTATATTTATGTGCCTTGGGAATGTTTGGTCTCTTAAAAGGTGGAGGGAATGGGGATACATAGCAACATGGATAACTCTTTAAGTGCTCCTTTGTAACAATTTTGCGTGGATTAGTATGGTGGAGGAGGGGTGTTTAAAATTAACAGTATATTTTTCTTTTTCTTTTTAAAGACTTTTTCTTTAAGTCTCCAGAGCAATATCATGGCTGCTGTTAGCTTTGAAGAATTCTCTGTGCCGCCTGGCTCAGAGCTGGCCCTGCCGCCACTTTTTGGTGGCAATATCCTTGAGAGTGAATTGGAGACGGAGGTGGAGTTTGCTGACAGTGGGATACCAGAGGAGGAGGAAGAGGAGGGAATGTTGCGCCAGGAGGAGATGACCCGGCGCAAGTGTCAGGTGCTGGCTCGGCGCTGCAAGGAGTTAGAGCAGGTAAAGGATTGTTGGGAAGGGTGGCCTTAACACATTAGCTAGGGCAATAAATATATGGCTGCTTCTCTGGTTTGCTTTCCCTTTGCCTCCAAGTGAAATCATATGAAGCTGACTTATACAGGATCAAGCCACCGATCTGATATTTGGCCAGTGCTGTCTGCCTGGACTGGCAGCAACCATCCATGATCTTTGGTAGCATTTGTTTACCTGAAATCATTTGTCAGGAGATAGATAATCCACTTGTGAATCTCCAGATGTTGTTACATGCTGTCCAGTCATTTCCAACTTATGGGGACCCTGTGAAAGAATGACCTTCAAAATGTTCTAACTTTCGCAGTCCTGCTGAGCTCTTGTTTAATGCAGGACTGTGGAATCAGTCTATCTTATAGTTGGTCTTCCCCTTTTTCCTTTGTCTTTGCCTTTTTCTAGCATGATTGTCTTCTCCCATGAGGTGAGGTTTGAACATGGGATACCCTGGCCTTAAATCCAGCATCTGCTCTAAATGTGCAAGAGGAAAGAGACTGTAACGTTTAGGGCAGAGGGGCATTAAACCATGCCAAATTAAGATTCAAATGGCACAACCTGTTAAAACATTGGATAAAGGACCTTTGGGAGGGGAGAAGGGAAGGCAAGAGAGCCGTCACTCAGATGTGTGTGTCACTTCACCCACCATTACAGGTGAATGAGAGGATGCTAAACCGGCTGCATCAAGTCCAGAAAATAACACTGCGGCTCAAACAGGAGCGTAGGTGAGTCCAACAGTACTTTGGGGCTGATGTTTCAAGATCTTCCTCTTCTTAGAGGAGGACATAAGAATGAGGCCAACTGTGTGTTTGGTCTGGCATCCTGCTGCCAATGGTAGTGAGCCAAATAGCTCTGTGAAGCCCATAAGGAGGGCTGTTTGGTATTTTGGGGTCATGCTGCCACTGAACATGGTGGGTCCATGAAATGTCCCTGCCCAATACACCCACCGGCTGTGAATTTTTCTGATCCCTTTTTCAGGCAGCCTCAGCCAGCGGCCATTGCCCCATCTCATGAGGCTGGATTCCTGAAATGCGCGGTGCCTTGCATGCGAGCACAGCATTGCCAAAGGTTTGGTGAGGGTGCAGAATGGCTTTCTAGTAGACCTCTGTTTCCCCTTCAGGTTTCTCATGAAAGTCCTGGATTCCTATGGTGATGATTACAGGCAGGGGCACCTTGATATCGTGCTGGAGGTAAGATTGTGTGGGTCTGAGGAAAGAAGTCAGCAGGTGGGGCAAGAACAGGAAGACATTTCACCAAAACCAAGAAGGCAAAACAGAACTGGGATGGGGAGGGAGATGGGAAAGCAGCTCAACTGATGCCAGGGATTTTCTCCATGTGAGGATATTATATATTGTATTTGAAGTACATAGGGTTGGATTCGGGCCTATTCAAAGGAGTCATGACTTAAATCTCATAGATTTTTCTGGGACTCCAGAAAAGGCTGGATGAGTAAGGCTGGATCCAACCCGTCATGTAGCACTTTATATTTTCCTATTGCATTTTATTCAGTTAGCCCATAACACTGTTGGCCACCATGATCCTTCCAAATAGGAAAAGTTAAACCAGGTGTGCCATAGTGAAGCACTGGTGCTCCCCCAAGTCACTGGAGAGGGACCAAGTCTGCAGCATCAGTCCGGTGCATCTGGCACCAACTGCTTCTTGCTGCCATAACAAAGGGAGCCACCCTCCTTAACAAAATACCTTCCACTCATTGCCTTCCTAGCTGAATTTAGTATGCCCTCTAACAAGGAGGGCCAAACCTCTTTCAGACTGAATTTTATTTCAGAAAAGTTCTTGGAGGCCAGTTCCAGGGTTGGGTGGGGTCTACGGCAAAAGGGGTGGGGCCAAAATACCATCATAATTTAGTTTTATGCTCTTACTGTCGATAGCTGTGCCTTAGAAAAGGCATTTCAAGCTTTTAGAATGGGAGAGGGGGAAATGGCCAGGAAATGATTTAAAGCCTTTTGCTTTCCGTATTGCACTCATGCAAACCCCAAGGGGAATAAGGGCCCTCTTGTTGTATCCTTAAGGACAAGAAAATTCAAGAATGGAGACAGCCTGCCCAAATTATCATCTTTCTCTAGGATGAAGGGAGCCACAGCACTGATGCACCAACTCCCAGCAACACAGAGAATGAGCCCCCTGAGAAAGAGGCCTCTCGGTGCCTCCCAGGCCCTCTGCCAGCCCAAGAGCCTGAGAGCCTCTCACCAACTGAGGGCCCTGCCAGCAAGAAGCGGCGGCGCCTGCTGCGAGAGGAAAAGGAAGCACGGACACGGCGAGTGGCCCAAACGTTGCTCCCCATGGAGGAGTTTCCGGTGCAGGTACTGGAGAACATGAAGGGTTTGAACTTGACCCTGACACACACGCACCTGGGCGCTGAGCCAGAACTAGGCCCCGTATCAAGTCATGTGGCCAGGCTTATGTGTATGCCACAGTGGCTTCCTCAGGCTGGTGCCTTCCAGATGTGTTGGACTGGAGAGGCCCCCATAATTCCCAGCCAGCATGGCCAGTGGAACCAGGGGGAAAAAGGCTGCTCCAGGCTCCGCCTGTTCATCTCCTAGTGCACTTAAATATTTCAGTAAACTGCTTGCAGCCCAGAAACTTGTTGGGCCTAGTGTATCTCCTCCCTGGGGTACCTGCCCATTCTTTAAGAGAGTGGTTGGACCTAGTGGTCCTCCAGAGGTTGTTGGGCTCTAATACCTATTCATTCCAGCCAGCATGGCCAGTGGTCATGGATGATGAGAGTGGGAGTCCCTACAATGTCTGGAAGGGTGCAGTCATCCCACCCTTGCTTGAAGAGCAGCTGATGCATCCTGTTTGTGTACGTCCTTGCCTTCGGAGACCCAGTTAGTAGCAAGGTATGAGGCAGCTTTCCTGGTAGTGGCTAGGGATGTGGCGGAATCCATTTGGGAGCTGAAAATCTCCAGACTCTGGTCCCCTTTGCAGCATCTGAGTCAGACATCCTGGTGAGCATGCCCAGCGTTCGTGGGGTGCTTGCCAGAAATTGAATCCCACATACAAACACTGTCCTCCTCCCATGCCGCCATTTGTGCTGCTGCTCCTGACACAGATGAGGGGTGGTGCTTGGGCAGCAGTCATAGAGGGCTCCCCTCCTGGTGAGCCCTGCATGACCACTGCCCAAGCAACACCCTTCTTCTGTCAGGCGTAGCAGCATTGTCGTGCCTGATGCGCAAGAAAGTTGTTCTTGTGTGGCTCCCCAAGCATCCTCCTCCTCCTCTGTCCGGTGCAGTAACATAAACTACTGCTGCACCGGACACAGAAGAAGGTTGCCAGTTGCATGACCTTCACTCTGCAAGAGGACTTTGCAAGACCAGGCTGTGCACAAGAGGAACTCCACAAAACGCTAGAGGGACAGACTCTGGGGAGTTTCATTGGAACCCTCGTGACAGCATCCTCACACATGAAACTCTGTCCCTGTTGCCCCTTTATTTGTATTACAGCAACAATACCTGCTTTTTAAAACTAGCGTTTGGTGCCGCTGACCATTAATTTTATATGCTGGGCATTAGTTTTTGTTCTTTGCTGTTTTGGAGATGAGGTGTTGCTGCTTTTATTCATTGTCTGTGTTTTAATCATCATTTCTATGCTTTTAAGACCTTGAAAGATGCTTTGGGTGATTCCTTTTTTGAGGGGCATAGGGGAACGAGTATGATTAGCTATTAAAACAATTAAATATATTTATTTTTAGCATGAAATTAAGAATCTCAGCTTTTCTTTGCAAAGCAAGCTTTTCCTCCTGATTTCCCATCCTCCCCCAAAAGGAAAAAAAAGATGGAAGCATCCCACTTCTTGGCAGAACAATTTTGTATCTGCTTTTTTTTTTTTTTCAAATAAGCAAAATTATCCCAGCAAAAACAACTCATGTGGTTTCTTCTAACCACAGAACAGCAAATGCATAACACATGGAGTCTTCTTTTTGGCTTGAGACAGTATTTCTAATCACTGGTTTTTCTGGCAACAGATAAAATCAGAAGAGGATTTCCAGTGTGAGCAAGAAGATGTCCTCGCTCCTACATGGCAGCAGTCCAGCCCCCAGGACAAACTACTCCATTATCCCAAGTTTTCAAGCCCGGGAGCCTGTTCTGATTTTGACTGAGACTGGCCACTCACTTGACTCTCAAAGGAGACTGTATATATCTGCAGGCCTTTTGGCGCTCTCCTGGGTTAAATAGGCCAGTGGGCGGTCTGAGGATGCCTTGTTCTACTCAAAGGAGCACCAGTTCAGATTTAAGGAACAAGATGTGGACAATGGAACTGTCACTCACTTCCAAGAGAACTGGATTCAAACCAGCATGAAGCTGCTGAGGAAAAGCTGAAAGACAAAACAGACTGCCCTGGACTTTTATTAAATAGCATGTGGTAGTCAGTATGTAATTATATTCAAGCTACTCCATTGTACAGCAGCTTTTTCTGACACTGTGCCCTCCCAACAGATTGGACTATAAGTCCCGGCATCCCAGATGCTAGGAATAGTAGTTCAACCCATCAGGAAGCAACCAGGGTTGGGAATGCATTATTAGAGAGGTTTATTGTTTCTGTTCTGTGTTCAAAAGGTAAACATTGGAACTGGATTAAGGATATGTAACAGTGCTTAAGTCTTAAATGTTTTGTGTGTGTCTGCAGGCTGGGGAGGGTATAGGGCAGAGAGTGGGGAGACAGAGTTGGGTCATTTGTGAGAGAGGTAGAAGTCTTTAGTCTCTACTTCATCACCCTTCCTAGAGCAGGTCTTGTGAGTTTCTAGAAGTAACCTACATCTGATGAGAGTACAACTATCTCCCACTTTTCAGTTCCAATACAGTGAAAGGAAAATGGAAGGCGCTGCTGTTTTGTGTACCAGGCTTCTTCTGAGGGGGCAAAGAGACTTCCTACAGCTATTAATTGTGTCCTGGGGAGGGCGTGGGATCCTTCGAAGCCATGATCTGTTAAGAGTATCTCAGCCAGTGGTTCTATGAGACGCAGCATCATGAACAATTCCAGTCTGCACTAGAGCAAAACTCTCCAAGAAAATTGTATGAATCATGCAAGTTCAATTTGCGCATTTCTGAGCCATAGTTACACATCAGAGAAAACACGGAAGTCACCAATGCTGCCTCCTTTCCTAAGCATATACCTACACCTTTTCACATCTTTAGAACTGTGAGGACTAGAATCCTTTAACAAAAATCCTGCAAAATACTTACACCTTTGAATTGAACAAAGCAGGTATAACAAAGTTGTACTTGGCAGTCATCAGCAGAATGCATTTATTTATTTGATCCACATCCTGCCTTTTTCTTTTGTAAAGAACTCAAAGTGCCTTACATCATTCTCCTTCTGCTGCTCTTCTCTTATCTCTACATTGACAACCCAATTCCGTCCATTGGCTGAGCAGGGACCAGAATCCAGATTGCCTGAGTCCCAGCCCCACACTCTCAACCACTACCTTTAATCCCAGATTTCTCGCAGGGGTGGACAAGATGCCTAAGTCCAGGTCTTTTGAAGTTCGACTCTCATCATTCTTGATCTTTGGCTGTGCTGGTAATGTCCTTCTGGTAGGTGAAGTTCCAAACACGTGGGAATCTACCTTCTCCCCACCTTGGCCTTACAGCAGGATTATCTTCAGATTTGCAGATTTACTTAAAAAAAAACCCCTTGTGATTCAGAAGTCCCCAACCCAAGATACTGGCTTAAGGTTACGATAGGGCATTTACAGTTTAGAAACAGGCTGCCTCCAAGCACATGCTGAGCCTTGTTTTCAGTATCAGAACTGAGCCTTTAGTCTTGTAATTATGCCGCACTGATTTACAGCACCTCCCCCAATTATCCATTTTAAGCAGACTGATTAAGAAATGGGGAGAACATTAAACTATTGGGAGTCAAACTATTTCCAGTTTAGCACAAGCCAGCTAGCAGTCTGCCAGCACAGCCCAATTGCCTTTTGCGTACCTGCATGAAGCAGTTGCATAGAGATCCAAAAAGTTTAGGACACTTTCAACGACTTTCACCTCAACTGATTTCCAGTCATTCTCAGCTAGCATAGCAATGCTGGCTGGGAATGATGGAAGCTGCACCACAGGGCATCTTGCAGATGCCAGACTGGGGCAGGCCCATCTCTTTCAAAGGAGCAGGTAAACATCCTTGGCCTCGGCAACATTGAAAAGTCTTCCTTGAAAGAGTCCTGGGGAATACAGTTTTGTAAAGATGGCTACTTGGACTCCCATCCTTCAGCTCTTCTCAGAACAACTTTCCCTAGCAACCCTTGAAAGATGGAGCCATGGGTACCCAAGCTTGGTTAAGTTTTTGGAATCTTTGTAGTGGGCAGGGCAGCAGCTGGACTCCCCACTGTTTGCTTTCCCGCCATTCCAGAGTCGATTCTCTATAATAACAACTAAGAAAGCCTCTTTTAAGTTAACAACTATTTTATTATACCCTGAATTTTTATTATACCATTTTATTATATATTATATTATATCCTGGAAACATTACAGATGTTCAAGAAGCAGTGGGGGAGCTCTGCGCCTGTTCCCGGGGGCTCACCCCTCAGAGGTTTTTCAGCCACTCAAGGCTTGGTCCTTCCTTGTCGCAGGGATGAGAGGGAATATCTGGCATATTGCCATCATCCCGAACTGGAACTGTGGAGAGAGGAGGAGAGAAAATAACTAGCTGTCCATGTCCAGCAGCAACTTTGATACAGTTAAATACTTCTGGTAGGGAAGGACAAATAATATTTCATGATGTTGTACAGAATGTGTTGTCACAAATGATATTAGTACATGGGGTTAGCGGGAAGCTACTTCCTGACAAAAAACTGTGCCAGAGATGAACACTGTGTAGGAACCTTCCCCTGCCCCATTGCTGCAGAGATCCACTGGGGAGAAAACGATACCTATGCCGTTTGCTGACAGGGCAGCTCGTGGAGGTTCAGATCCTCTGACCACACAACTACTGACAAAAAAACGGCCAGCTGCTGGGTAAGGAAACAGACTGTGGATGTAGGTTATACCTGGATATGTATATGGTACAGCTTGGTTGATCATTCCACTAAATTTTGTGTACGGACTGACGAAGGGTACCAATGTAGCTGAAAGGGAGAACAAGGTCAGAAAGGAATGAAAACATTGCAGGTGAAGTAACAGAACACAGGAAACTGCTAAATATCTAAGACCCTTGGTCTGTCTAGCCCAGCCTTGCTGGCCCTGGCTGACTCCTGCTCCCCAGGGATTCAGGCTGGGATCTTGATGAGCCCCAGCTAGAGATGCTGGGATAGAGCATGGGACTTCCGCATGCAGAACACTCGCCTCCACTAGACTGCGCCCCATCCCCAGCTACACCCCCAAGCCACAGCAGTTGGTCCTGAGCTGCCAAGAGTCATTTAGGTCCTGGGGTATTCTTTTTTTAACATTTATATAGTGTTCTACATCCCAGTAAGTATGTAAGCAGTGAACATGGAGAGGGGACCATAATAGCAAAAATGATTGAACCACAGAATTAAAACCTTTGAATGGCTTCAAGAAACCTGATGTAGCTCCCTTGCTAAAGCTAAGCTGCTTTGGTCCTGGTCCGTGCCTGAATGTGAGACCCACCAGCACTGCCTGGATGATGTCTCAAGTTCAGTGATGTAAGAAAGGTCGGATTTGAGCACGTAATGTAATATCCCAGGCTGCAGGTAGAAGCAACTTGAACTTACCGAAAATGGCAATGCCAAAAGAGGCCACAATTGCAGGTTCACTTGCCCATGCGTTTTTCAGAAATGTGCCAATTTCTGTAGGATGGGTGAGAAGAAAAAGCATGCACACTTAACAGAAATATTTTCTGTTGATGGTTTTCTGGCAGTGGATTAGGATCACTTAAGTCAGAGGATGCTGGAGTATCAAGATTCCCACTGTTGGTGAGGAGGGGACAATTTTTTTAATTTATTTTGATTAATATCCTGCTTTTTTCCTAGAAAGGGCTCAAGGCAGCTTACATCATTCTCCTCCTCCATCTTATCCCCACAACAACCCTGTGAGGTAGGTTGGGCTGAGAGAGTGTGACTGGCCCGAAGTCACCCAGTTGGCTCCATGGCTGAGTGGGGACTCGAACCCAGATCGCCTGAGTCCCAGTCCCACGCTCTTAACCACTACACCACACTGGCTCTCAGTGTGGCAACTGTGGTCTGTTTGGTTTTACTTTGCCTTCTGCTGCAGAAAGTAGCATAACTCAGTGCAGCAGCAGCGGAAGCTCTCCTATAAGCACTTTCTTTGCTGAAGATAACAGGGGAGTGTGGGCTTCTGCAATATGTTTTGCAGAGGCTGGACTAACCTCTTTCAGAATTTTCCGGACTCATTGCTTAAGGATGTTGGAACCACAGTTCTTAAAAGGCCTTGATTAGCCATTGACTTACCAGGAAACTTAGAGGAAATCACTATGTGCTCACAGCCTTATTTTTTTCTACATGAAAACTGGGCATAAGGGCAACATACACTTAGCTAACTTCTCTGTCCGAGACCCTGCTCCAAGTGTCCCCATGCTGCTCAGGTTAGATGGGAAGGCAGCAGGTGCTATCAGACAGCAGGATCCTCATGTTATCAAAGGGAATTATGGAGCTATTCCAATTTTCCACGCTTAGCAGATTTTTTTAATGGCAAGAAAAAAGGAGCAATGGGAAAACAAAAGGGCACACTGCAGATGTTGTCCAGGTCCACAGTAAAATTCTTTGAAAAATCGTGAGCGCTGCATGAGAAGAACCTTGTCTAGAAACAGTCAGGGTCTTTCCAGTAGTGGTTCTGCATCCACTGCTGCCAAAGGGACATTTACCCACCCAAGGAAACCTAAACCGCCTCAAGGGAAACACCAAGCAAATTCCATTTTATTTGCTCAAACTTTGGTCAGAATCTACACTTTGCTTTCTGTGCTGCTGCTTTTAATATTGGTGGTTGGTCTCATTTGGGCTTTTCTTTTCTAACAGTATAAACAACATCAAACATTATTAATGGAAAAATGGAATAGAAATATTCCAAATAAATAAAATCAATACAGAGTACTTTAGTGTGTGTTTACACAGAAAGAAGTCCCAGTGAGTTCAACAGGCATTTCTAGGCAGAGGCATGCCTAGTGCTACCAGCATCGTGCTGCTATTCTGTGAATGTGGGAAGACAATTGCCCAATAAAAGGCTTGTCTAGAAGCATCTTTCTGCTGCTTTAAAACTAGAGAGCTGGTGTGTTTTCTGTAAACAAGAAAAAATAATGTGGTTTTTGGATCCAGAAAGAAAAAATGGAATGGCATGGGTTAGTTCTTGGCAGAAATATGTGAGGGCTTGCATTCACTCTGGATCTTCGAGTAGACCCATTAGTATAATTGGGATTTAAGTTAGACTTACATTAGATGTAACTTATAGGAGGCAAGCCAAGGTGTAAAGGCTCCATATCAAGCTATAAGTATTTTAATCATGTATTTATATTCTGCCCCTTCTCCTCTTGTGGCGGCTTACATAGCTCTCCTCCACTTTTTATTCTCACAACAACCCTGTTGGGTAGGTGGGACTCAGAGTGAGGAATGGTCCAAAGTTACCCAGCTATTTTCTTGGCCGAGGAGGGGGGAAACCCGAATCTCCCAGGTTCCCAGTCCAGCACTCTAACCATCCCACCACCCGCAACGGCTCCTACCTACAACGAAGCCTGCAAGCCATTCATGTTATTCACACGATCCATATTACCTCGGTCACTTTCCAAAATACCCTCTTCATCGACCAGTTTAGGAAGGTCATCCTCTGAACGTCCTAGTCCATCTGTGCAGCCATCCATCACCCAGCACCCTACCCCTGGAGGCCCTTAACGAATCCTTTTCTACATCCAGCCACTGAGAAAGATACTGATCCATCACCCCTTCCCCGAAAGAAACAAAAATAAGCTGCCCCCACACGTACTTTTGAGCGCAACCATCTTGCGGTCCCGACGGAAGAGCGCAAGGCGTTGTGGGAACGGTAGTTTGGCTCTCGCTCCTCCCTCTCCCACCGCTGCCTATTTCTGCGTATATTTTAATCGCGATGGACCCGTTTGCGAGGCCTTGGACCCGTTTTTTGCTAGCAAGGCTGGGCGTAGGCAATCCAATTCACGAGGGCCTTTTGTCGTAAATGGCGCATAAATAGCATTATTATTATTGCATCTCAAGGTGTTTTCATACAAATGCGGAAATACATTTTGCTTTGTGCATAGAATTGCAACTGTAGGCATGATGTGCATACGCTTCTTCCCTCTCACTGGCACTTTCTGTATTTTCATCCACTCCCACGTGCACCCAAATAATACGTGACAGGGCACAGAAAGACAGATGTTCTCTCTGGCGCGCTCCCTTTCTCCATGTCAATCACATACTCCTAAAGGTGCTTTTGGCAACAAGCAAGAAGAGTCCATCGGGTCTTTTAGGAATTTTGATGACCTAAAATAGCATCTGTTAAGCAGCAAGCCTTTTATTTTCAGATGTTATGGCCTCTGATCTCTTCCTACCCCTTCAATCTTTCTGCCTGAGTTTCCCCCCACAAAATCAAATACAGAAAGGACTACCCTTTCCTCTTCATGGTCCATACATCCCATTTTACAAATAGGGATATCCGTAGGACGTCAAAAACATACAGACAGACGGATGCATGCATGCACATGCATTAGAGCATTTTAAAATTTAATAATAATAATTGTAATAATAGTAATTAACCTTTTTTCCTCTTTCTAATTTTCTTCAAGGAAACCTCTGGCCCTTTAAGTTCAGATTAGCTTGTTTGCCTGTGATTTATAAATATGCTCTTGGCAGAGAATTTTAGGTCAGATACCTTCCTTGATGTACACTGAAGGCACCCTAAAAGTTAGGGGTGGATGAGATCAACTGATCTTAGTTCAAAATACACAAACAATACAACGTGTGCTGGCATTTGGGAGATGCTGTTATTGTAGACTTTTGCTGGGGTTGGGGGTTCTTGCAGCTTCCTGTCCCTCTGCTAAAAGTGTCTCTTGTGTCTGTAATTTGAATAAAAGGCAATGAATAAAGAAATAAACCAGCTAAGAACAATGACTGGTTTCACTGATAGCTCTAATCTGAGACAGGAGAGTCTCCTGGAGAGCATATTTATTTGACCCTTTACTCCTCTGGGGACTGCAGGTAAAGAGAAAGCTTACTTTCTCAACTGGTTCCTTCTAGATGTGCTGGAATACAGCCACCATCATTCCCAGCCAGCATGGCACTAGATTAGGGAAGGCAGCTAGATGGGCCTTAGCTGTGATAAAAACCGAATCTCTGTACCACTCTGCCGTTTGGACCCACGTTCTTCCCAAAGATCAACCCAAAGGAGGACACTCTCATCCCTGCCTTGCAGGCAGGCAGATGCTTCTCTTGAGTCATCTGGGACTTTCCAGGTCTGAGAGAAGGAAGCTTTTGACCTCGCTTAACCACAAGCCTTCCATTTCGGACATAGCGGCTTGTTCTGTTCCTCTTCAAAACGGCCGAGCCTTCCTGTTGTGTTCATGAACATGAGAAGGGGACTTATGGATGTATTTCATTTCTATTCTGCCTCAGAGCTGAAGATCTCTGGGCAGGTTATAACAGTCCATATTGAAATGCAAATATTTGTAAGATGAAAATATTAAAATACGACAGGTATGAAGATACAATAAAATATATAACATCAAAATACATTAAATGTTTTGAATTTAGGACAATTAAAACAATAACAAAGAGAGACTCGGTAGAACACCTGAGAAGGGCAAACTGTTCAAGCTCCTGGGTACCCAGATAGGTTAAAAGCCTCAGAATAGAGAGCCATCTTAACCTGGCTCCAAGTAGGGAAATTATTCTACAAGCAGGGAAGGCCCTCTCCCTCATTGCCACAGATTTAGCAGCATCTCATTCTGAGTTTGAGAAGGAGTACCACTACAGTGTCAAGCTCTTCTCTGGGTCTTGGGGGACCCATTGCTGTTGCCAGATGTCTGAAGACTGGCTTGAGTTACCCAAAGGCACCCCTATGCTCATGATTATATCTCTGGTCTGATACTGGATCCTTGCATAAGTCCCAACATATAATCGTTACATTTTGTGGGGCCCTAGGAAGAACAACTCGTCCTCCTCCCCCTCCTCTTCTTCTTCCTCTTTCTCTCACACATACGTGCGCACGCACACACACCTCTTTCCATTTCTGTGAATATATGAGACCCTGCACAAAATGTTACAGTCCTCTTCTTCATTCTTCCAGCCAGCCTACCATGGCCTCCTCCAGGGACTCCATTCCAGCCCACAGCCTGCAACTCTCACCATTCCACAGCCACTGTACACACTCACAGTCCTTCCTTCGTTTTAACTGTTTTTGAACTTTTGCACACTTAGTGGTTCCCCCAAGCCTGCTCATAATTCCCTCTTGTGTGTGGATATTGCCACTTACAGCTTGCATGTTGAAAACAGAAGGAACAATGATGTTCCATATTAAGGTGTCCAACAAAACAAAGTAACACCACACAAGGATCATAATGTGCAGACATGCTTAGTACATAAATATTTCCTTGCTGTACTGGAAATCTGCTGTAGATGAGGTACCTTTCTACCCAAGGGTGCTTGTGTTTCCTTATTCACACTAATGTGTGGTGCTTTACATGACATTGTCATCATTTGGGGCCTCTAACGGAGCCGGCTGGAGCTGGGGGTCAGACTAGATGGCCCAGGAGACCCCTTCTGACTCACTCTGTTTCTATGTTTCTAGTTCTTTGCAACCATTTCTGCAGTTGCTTTTAGAGAGAGGAAACTGCAGTTCTATTTGTGAATAGCATCATGAAACCCTCACATATTTGTGCAATTTTACTATACCACGGTGCCTCCTAGTGGTTATGTAATGGAATTTATAGAAAGGCATAGGGAAAAAACCCTGGGGGAAAATAACTTTACAGAAGATGATCTAGATCCCATAAAGCATCCAGAAACACTACCTCAGAAAAGTGGTGGGTTAAAGGCCTGATATAGAAAAGCCCAAGGTCAGACCATTGGACCATTAATGCAGGATTGTTTGTTCCGATTGGCAGCCCCCACCCCACTTCAGGGCTTCATGTTATCAACTGGCCCCTGACCTTTTAAATCGAGGCCTTTTTCACCACAAGGCACTGAGCCTCTGAGAACACACATTAGTGTGCCAAATATTCCCATGAGCAACTAGTGTCATGTTTCCGGGAGCAAGAAATTTTTTGTTTCAAGCATCTCTTGCTCCAATAACTCCTGAACATGGAGGCTCTGACTGAATTCTTTCCATGCTCCAAATCCCACCTCTGCTTGTGTCCATCTATTATTCCTCAAAAGAAGAGGAGAGGGAGTCCTCTCATAATAGGAGAGGGCAGGGGACACCTTTCTCTAGTCCAGGGGTGGCCAAATGGAAGCTCAGGAGCCGTACGTGGCTCTTTGAGTTTATTTTGTGGTCTGTCACTGTGGGCGCTCACTGCCCATCACTGCCTGAGGGCACCCGCTTGCCACTGCCGCTCATGGGCACCACTTGTGGCTCTCAAGCACCTAACATTTGCCATGTGTGTCTCTTCTGATGGGCAAGTCTGGCCACCCGCTCTAGCCCCAGGAAGCAGGCAACACAGCCAAAACATTCCTGGACCACAGACAGGCCCTTTTCAATTCTCCTGCTCCACTCCTGCTCGTGGAAACAGCTCCCAGAACTGTCTTAAGGGCGATCTCAGAGCAGAGTCCGTTCGATCCTTCCTTTGTCAGAAGAAGAACTCTTCTTCTTTTCTTTCTCCCTGCACACCGCCAAAACAGTGACTGATGATGGATCATCATTTCCTGATGGGTGCAGGAGGGTGTGATCATATATGCTAAGAGTCCTCAGACACTCCAATTCTCGGCTGAGCCTCCGTGTCTGCTCTAAAGATGCCCGTCACTCTCCCTGTTTTACTTCTGACTATCTGTGAGTACAGTGTGGCATGCAAGACCTGCAGGTGGGAGGTGGGCTCCTGGGGTGCCCCCGGCCTGTGGAGACAATGTGTGTACATCTGGTAAAGCCAGGGCCGGCCCTGCCTTTAGAGAAGTGTGATCTTGAAGTCTTGCAAAGAGCCATTATATCGTGAGGCTGGTGCTATTTTTAATAGCCAGGAGTGAGTGGAGGGGGCAGTTTTGAGAGTGTCAAAGCACCTTGACTGTCTGTGAGCAGCTTGATTGGCAGGGGGGATGAGAGAAGGATTTGCTTCCCACCTGGGGACCCTGTCAGGAAATGAAGCCAAAATAGAGTGTAAGAAGCTTAGGCAAAATGAACTGGAGAAGACACCATAACACCATGGCAAGACACATGTTCGTATGCAGGGAATGCCAGGGAAAATCTCGTGCTGCATAAGACTTTGGAAACCCAAAGTCCACCAATCAGAGTACACCAGGGATGGGCAATATTGATTTTTTTTTCCTTCTGAAGAAGGCCAGTGTGGTATAGTGGTCAGAGCACTGGACTTGGACTCAAGAGACCCGTTTCCAGTCCCCACATAGCATCAAAGCTCACTGGGTGACATTGAGTCAGTCACTGACTCTCAGCTTAATCTACCTCACAGGGTTGTTGTGAAAGTGAAATGGAAGGAGGAGGGTTCTGTAAGCCACCTGGGGTTCCTTGTAGGAGAAATGGGGGGATATAAGTACAATAAGTGCATAAATATTCTGTCTGGGCTAACTTGTCGGAAGCTATGTGCTGGCGGTAGGAGCTGTGGCTGAACTAGATGGTGCAATGCACAGCGTTCCCACAGTCGGCCTGTCTTGCAAGCTGGATGCCTGATCAGCACGCCTGGGTCTGGCACGTTGGTGGTGTCTCTCTCTCCTCTTTCTTCTAGCCCTGCCAAAGCCCTCCATCTTCTGGCTCCAAGCTCCAGATGCAGAAGGGAAGCATCTCTTCCGCTGTACAGCTCAGGGGGAATATCCAGGCAGCAGTTTCTACCTTTACCAGGGAGGCAGCCAGAAGCCCCTGGCTGTCAAGAAAGCCTTGCCGAATCACTCTGAAGTGACCTTTGTGATCGACGGATTTCACTCCCATGAACCATTCTACTGCAGTTATGAAATCAGGGCATCAGGGAAGGCTGTTCGCTCCCCGCTCAGCGGCCCTGCAAACATCACAGAGGGTGAGTGCTGGGCCTCAAGCCACTTTACTGACCAGCTGGGAAGGCCTCCAGAAAAGGGTACCAACTAATGGGGAAAGCAAAAGTTAGCCTAATTCTCTTGAAATGCTTGTCCGCCTTTGCATCATAATTAAAACAAGGAGGATAACCTTTGCAAGAGGTCAGATGTAAAGAAATACAAACAAGTGGATTGTTCAGCCTCAACATGAAAAGAGAGCCATGCTTTGGGGACATGAGCTTAGTGAAAATAGTTAGCACATGGTCCAGATTTCCTGGTTTTTCATGTTAGGAATATCAGATCTATGTAGCAATAAGCAAAACAAGGGTGAGGGCAGGGTGGGGAATACCTAGAAAAACAGACTTGTGCTGAATTCTTTTGACTTTTCTGATGTAAATTTCTTAAAATTATTGTTATTTTCTAAACCAGGGCTCATGAGGCTAGGCTGGAAGGGCTCCACTTTAAAAGCAGAGCTTGAGTTGGGGCTTGGAGGAGCATGGAAAGAAGTTAATAATAATATTAAAATAATCATTGCAATAATATTAAAATAATTATCATTGGAGTAAAAAGTTGGCAGCCTGAAAACTATGGAGTTTTCAGCTCACGTAGGTAGCATTTCTCTTTCTCCCTCAGACCACTATCCTAAGCCATCCATTGCTGCGAGTCCCTCGACAGAAGTCTTCACAGGACAGGACTGGACTGTCCGTTGTTGGGCCTCATCGCCAGGGGTCACCTTCGTCCTCTACCAGGCCAGGGAATTCCGCTACGAGGTCACACCCCGCGGAGATTCCAGTGCTGCTGAATTTTCCTTGAAGAATGTCACTGTGGCTGACACAGGACGATACACCTGCTATTATCACAGCATCATCGAGCCTGTCATCTGGTCCAACGCCAGTGATGGAGTGCAGCTGAGAGTCATAGGTGAGAAATGCACACAAGGGCAGGCCTCTTGCCACCTTGGATGTGGAGTTGCCACCTTGCCTTTTTGGGTGGGGCTTACATCTTAGAGGCAGAAATGTCAGTGTCTGGAACTTATTTTCCCTCTGGCACGACCAAAATGCTTCCCTTGTTACGATTCTGCTTCTAACATTGTTGGGGAGGCACAAGGAGGCAGTGGGGTGGCTGCAGGCTGGAATTAGCTGGTTTAGGAGGCCTCAGGGTACAGGGATAATCACATTTTAAATTCACACACACTTTTATTACACAGATATCCTGGTTCTCCTGCAGGATGCTTTTCTTTCCCTGTCATTTGCCCCTTGTGCACTGCATTATGCTGAAAATCCTTCTTGCTCTATGGTCAGCAACTATGAATGCTGGGAAATTCCTGTAATCTTTGCAGTGATAAATACAAAATAGTAACCCAGCTGTTAAAAAATACATATCTATGTTCATGAGGACTAGAAACCTGTCTTTGCAAATTAAGAAAGCAAGCAAGCAAGCAAGCCGAGACATCAGTGAGCATCTCTTGAGTGCAGTCCATCCAGTTTTATCACCTCTTTGCTCCACTCTTGGCTCTTGCAGATGCAGCTGAGGACCACAGCTATCAAGAGGTGTTGGTGGACTCTGCAGGGAGATATCGAGTGCATTGCCCAGTGCCCACCACTGCTGAGGGCTGGTTCTATCTTTACAGAGATGGGCAGCTCTTTGCTGAAACTAGAGCTTGGCAAAACGGGACAACAGCCAGCTTCAGCCTCACTGAAGAGGCACTCAACATTACCAGGGGAGAGCTAAGTTGCCAATATAGGGAAAACCAGCTCAACAACACCCAAGGTGAGTCTAGAGAGAATGGGAAAAGCGCACAGAGGCAGAGAGTAGACGACAATGACTTTATGCTACACTATTATTCGTTCATGCCTGCCACAAGAAATTTAATTCAAGTCACAGCTCCTAGCATGCTCAAGCTTCTCTACACGAGGCATTTAACCCACTACTTTACTAAGCTCCTTCTTCCATTTTTTGCAGGAGTAAATGTGGGTCCTTTACATGTTGGTATTCTTGAGGAGTGGGGGTCATTCTCCGCTTTTCTAAGTATTCTATTACATGCCACAAGGTGGCACTGTGTATAATTGCGATATAGCAGAGTTCTGAAAGAATGAATACCTCAATTTCCTCACCCTAAAAAAAGCTGCAAGAATGGCTGCAAAACATGGAGGAGCCCGGCATGATGACAAACTACCATGCATGAAAAATCACACATGCACGATAAATGCCTCGTGTAGAGAATCCCCTAATGTCCCATTTCCTCCTTAATTTTCTACCCGGTTGGAAGCATCCAGCTTCACAAGGCAAGTTTTCAGTCTTTATCAATTGATTTTTTATGTGGAATCTTAATGTGAATTTCCCACAATTTTACTGGGAGTCCAGAGAACATTGTAAGCAATCTATAATCCTCCCATGTTTCCCTGACATTTCTTCCACCCATTTTTCTTGCCACAGAAAATCCATCAAGGCAGGAAACAGGAAAATAGCAACAGAACAGCTTTGAGGCATGAATAGGAAACCCCACAGTGGGAGCCCTTGTTCCTGGGGAAAGTGGGTGGTATTCGGGTTGTCCCTCCTTTCTGTATTGGATTTCTGATTGCAGAGCCATGTCGTTTCCTGCACTACGTGTCCTTTCTGCTGATCTACTGGCTGTCAGCCATAATTAATTGCTTCCTCCTAGAAATGAGGTTTCTTCAACCCACATACGCAAATAAGCTATTTAATTAGTAGACTGCATTGGAAACAGCCGCTCTTACTTCCAAGTACATCCGTGTAGGTTCAGGCTGTAACGCAGCAATCCGCTAGCTGGAGCTTGCAAGAAAATGTTTCTTTTAAATTCTGGGTTATACGAGAGTAGATAGTGCAACTAATGAGCAAGGGAAATGCCACCACCAAGTCAGTTGTGAATCCAACTAGACCAGGTAGCCAAGATCGGATCAGTTGCAAAACCGATTAAACTCCAGTGAAATCATGGCACTTACAGCCCAATCCATGTTTACTCAGAAGTAAGCTTAGCCACAATCCCCTTGCCAGGTGCTTTGGGCTTTCCTTTTAAAAGCAAATCTCTAAAAAAGGGTGGAATTTCACTGCTTCAAAAGATGTGAGCACAAGTGTGCACATAACAGGGATTCGATAGCACTGGAAAGCATTACTTCAAAATATCAATACGTGAGTATATGTGGTGATCAATGAGGGGTGAGGAAAGGGGAGTGGACAATTGTCCACATGGCGATGTCACACCCACTGTGTGGGCAAATCTCAGTGAGATGTGCACACCAACAAAACACCAAGCCCCTGAAGTGCCAGTAGCCAATTACCATCCTCCCTGTAGTTTATAGCAGAAAAGCAAGGGCTGAACACTCCCGCAGCAAAAAAATTACCCTTAAGACTAAATGAAAGATGTTTACTTTTTGTTTTGTTTTTTCAAAGAAACACCCTTTGTCTACTGAGAAATATTTAGAGCCATTCATAAGAGAAGTTCACACTTTTCACCTTATTATGTATTTTCCTCTTTCTTTAAAGACGTGCACCTCCGGAGTACGGATTTCACCACGGCCAACTGCTGGCGCCTTGGGCTTGGGGCCAGCCTCCTTTTGCTGGCTCTACTTTTCATAGTCGATGCATGTTGGAATGAGAGCAGCAAGAGACCCGAACCAAGTGAGGGGAGCCTGGACTGGTAAAATCCCACTGGATCAACTGTGTGTGTGGTTTGAAAAAAGTAGCTTGTTCTAATGACTTCTTGTGGAAGCCAGCCACAAAAATGTTTCAACGGCAGCCCTTAAACTGTATAATCTGGAGTAGCCATGTCAAAGTAAATGGGACTCCTTTGAAACAGGAGCTTTGGTGCCATCTACTCGCAGGATTTCTTCTACCACCATTATCCGATAACCTAGTCAGAGCTTTTCTACATGATGTGTGCTCCGGATTCCTCACCCACAGGAGTTTTAGGTGCCTTACATGGGGTCACGGTTTTTGCTCTTATTGTTTCTGCAGCTTTGCACAGAGTGAGGAAAGTGTGGTATTATTTAGAAATTATGCCATGAAAGGCTCATGTATTTATGTCATTGGGTTATACTGCAGCAGCACCTAATGTCTGTAGAGTGGAACATATGTAAAGGCAGAATAAGAAGGCTCTCAGGAAAACGATAGGTTTCAAGGAGCCCATCCTACTCTGGCAGAGAATCCAGAAGAAGCAACCTTGGTGGAGTGGAGTGAGAAGAGCCTCATGTCAGGAAATCCCTCCGTTTGTTGGTTTTTCACTCTTGGGAAGAGCCATAATGTAGAGGCAGAGCATATGTTTTGCAAGTGAAATCTCATGTCTTCGGTCCCTGGCGTCTGCAGAGAGGGCATGCAGGTTTGGACAGTTAAGTCCTACAATTCCCAGTAATTCCCAGCATGTTGGGATTTATAGGATTTACTTCTACATGCATAGGATTTTGCCCTAAGTGTTTTCTGTTGCAGCTGGAGAATGTGACTTACTGTTTTCTTTCCTAGCCCTTGTAGGAGGGACTTCGTTGGCTACAGAAGTCAAGCCAAGTCACAATAATTAATTATATACATCCGTGTATTGTATGCTTGCATTCATTGTTGGTGTTATTAATTTAAAAACTCGAAATAATAGCTACCAAAGAAATGTAAAGTTGTCTGTTTGGAAGGGAAGGGCATGACTGCAGCATAAGCACGTGACAGGAGATCGTTTGCCCACCTGAGCACCGGGAGAGGGCAGCCTCGGGGTAAACGCTCTGACTCCTTCCATCTCAGAACTTGGAGGCCCCACTTCACAGGGCTCCTCTTCCGCCTGCTCTGAAGAGCCCAAATCTCCCTGGGTTCGAAACATGTACCAAGAACAACGGCCTCTTTCATTCCCAAGAGTACACTTCCCTGACTCTGAGCCTAACCTACCTCACAGGGTTGTTGTGAGAATAAAATGGAGGGACGCATGAGGATTATGTGAGCTTCCTTGGGCTCCTTGCAGGAAGAATGGTGGATTATGAGTATAATAATGGAAGAAATAGTGGAACCACAGTGCAAGGTTCTTACGCAACAGCAGCTCATGCTGAAAGTTTTACTCTTTGGGATAGCTGTCACAAGCAGCAGTAAAAGAGGTCTGAGAAAGAAGATACGTAAGTGCATGGAAATGGAGGGAGGGCTTTCATTGTCACCCAGAAGAAGAAAGAAAAAGCTCCCAGTCCTGCCAGCTTTATTCTACAGCCAGAAGGCTGCTGCTTGGAGTGGTTGTCCTCTGGAGTAGGAGTGGGCGAGATGCATGTCCGCAGAATTTTTGGCCTACAGTTCGCAGCACCCCAGCTGCCATGGGCAACAGTGAGGACCAGTGCTTTTTTTGTCATAGAACGCACCGGAACAGAGTTCTGGCACCTTTTTTTGACAGATTTTCCAAGGTTTAAAAGTAACTTTTGAAAATTTGATGTTTGGTCCACGTGGATTTGAATTGCCCTGTCGAGCGTAGCAGGTCGGTGGCAAAATCATTAAAACTGTGCATGCGGGCTGCTTGTGTGTCGAATCCGATGCATGCGTACTTCGTCCGCGCTGGTTGTGATGGCACTGCTCGGCTTGTGATTGGTTGTGTGGTCATGCGCTGAGTGCTTAATGCGGGTGGTGACCGTTATGTTTTGTTACACAACTGACGTGTGGGTGTGTGTACAGTGATCGACTACGTGCGAAAGGTAAATAATTTCATGAGTTCCAGCACCTTTTTTCTTACAAAAAAAGTACTGGTAAGGACTGAAGGGATTTGTAGGCCAAATTTCTGAAGGGCCATAAATTTCCAAGCCTTGTTCTAGAGCAGAGAGGCTGTGCCCTTCAGACTGGTTAGACTAACTTTGCTAAGCATGACCTCATCACCCAGCAGCAGCCTAGCACAGGTTGTGGCTTTCTGCTCCGTGAATCCCTGACAAGGATTGACAGTGAAAGGGCAAGCAGGGACCTTTCCTAAGCATCTGTTGGTGGCTTTTCCTAAAAGCAACGGCCATGACAGGTAGGTGCACAGGGTGACTGTAACCAGTAACCCATGGAATGGATAAAATGTGTAGGAAGCCCCAATTTGGGTTTTCTGGAAGCGACTGGAAGTCTAGCGAAGTGGGGAGAAGGTTCTTCCCATATGTGCGTGGATAGGAGGCCTACTGTGTCTCTATATAGAAATGTACACAGTAGGTCCATCTTTCTGATCCTGGTGCTCTCAGCATTTGTTGGACTGCAACTTCCATCATCCCCAGCCAACATGTCTTATGCTAGCTAGAAATGATGACCGTTGCTGTCCAACACATCTGGAAGGCATCAGGTTTGGGATGACTTAAATCCATGCTTAACGAAGTCCTCTTCATGATCTAATTTAAGCACACACAGGAATTTAAAATAAACGACTGTCATCTTTGGAACCGGATCTCTATATTTTTACACAATTCAATCTGTCTAAAAATAATCTTTCTTGAGTTTCCTCTGTATGGCTTCTTTTATCCTATGGTTGTTCCCTAAACCTCTATATCAATACTCTTATTTATTTTTACAGAAACCATAGTTGCCATGGTGTGCATTCCTAGACTTCTCCCCAGCCATGACTTAACAGCACTTGGCTGCATTTGCAGAAAAGTAGAGGTTGCAGGCTGAGAAAAATCAGTCTAACAGAGAGAGCGTAGGCGTGTGTCATGCGAAGTGCCAGTTCATGAGAATTTACCAGGGATCCCTTCTCTGCCTAACAATTTCCCAGAAAGCACCTGTCACTTGATAGCTGGGGTGTTTTGGGGTGGAGAGCTCATTGCGTTACCAATGAA